CAGGAACCGGCAAGCCACTCCAGTATCCCTGCCAAGAAAACTCCATGGACAAAGACAACAGGCATATAAAAGTTATGACGCTGGAAGATGAGCCCCTCAGGTCGGAAGCCGTCCAACATGCTACTGAGGAAGAGCGGAGGATAAGTACAAGTAGATTCAGAGCTGATGAAGCGGCTGGGCCAAAGCCGAAAGGAAGCTCAGTTGCGGATATGCCTGGAAGCGAAAGGAAAGTCCAATGCTGTAAAGAAAAATATTGCATAGGAACCTGGAATGTAAGAACCATGAACCTGGGTAAGTTGGATGTGGTCAAAAATGAGATGGCAAGAATAAATATTGACATCCTGGGCATCAGTGAACTAAAATGGACGGGAATGGGCGGATTCAGTTCGGATGACCATCACATCTACTACTGTGGGCAAGAATCCCGTAAAAGAAATGGAGTGGCCCTCATAGTCAACAAAAGAGTGGCAAAAGCTGTACTGGGATGCAATCTCAAAAATGATAGAATGATCTTGATAGGAATCCAAGGCAGACCTTTTAACATCACAGTAATCCAAGTTTATGCACCAACCACTGGTGCTGAAGAAACTGAAATTGACCAATTCCATGAAGTCTTACAACACCTTATAGAAATGACACCAAAGGAGGATGTTCTTCTCATTATAGGGGATTGGAATGCTAAAGTAGGGAGTCAAGAGATAAAAGGAACAACTGGCAAGTTTGGCCTTGGGAGTTCAAAACGAAGCAGGGCAAAGGCTAATAGAGTTCTGCCAAGAGAACAAGCTGGCTATCACAAACACGCTTTCCCAACAACACAAGAGACGACTCTGCACATGGACATCACCAGATGGGCAGCATCGAAATCAGATTGATTATATTCTCTGCAGCCAAAGATGGAGAAGCTCTATACAGTCAGCAAAAACAAGACCTGGAGCTGACTGTGGCTCAGATCATCAGCTTCTTATAGCAAAATTCAAGCTTAAACTGAAGAAAGTAGGAAAAACCACTGGACCAGTAAGATACAATCTAAGTCAAATCCCTTATGACTACACAGTGGAAGTGAGGAACAGGTTTAAGGATTTAGATTTGGTGGACAGAGTGCCTGAAGAACTATGGATGGAGGCTTGCAACATTATACAGGAGGCAGCAACTAAAACCATCCCAATGAAAAGGAAATGCAAGAAAGCAAAGTGGTTGTCCAACGAGGCCTTACAAATAGCGAGGGAGAGAAGGCAAGCAAAATGCGAGGGAGATAGTGAAAGATACAGGAAATTGAATGCAGATTTCCAAAAAATAGCAAGGAGAGACAAGAAGGCCTTCTTAAACAAGCAATGCAAAGAAATAGAGGAAAACAATAGAATGGGAAAACCAGAGATCTGTTCAAGAAAATTGGAGATATGAAAGGAACATTTCGTACAAAGATTTCCATAATAAAAGACAAAAGTGGAAAGGACCTAACAGAAGCAGAAGACATCAAGAAGAGGTGGCAAGAATACACAGAGGAACTATACCACAAAGAAATGGATGTCTTGTATACCCTCGGTAGTGTGGTTGTTGACCTTGAGCCAGACATCCTGGAGAGTGAAGTCAAATGGGCCTTAGAAAGCATTGCTAATAACAAGGCCAGTGGAAGTGATGATATTCCAGCTGAACTATTTAAAATTTTAAAAGATGATGCTGTTAAGGTGCTACACTCAATATGCAAGCAAATTTGGAAAACTCAGCAGTGGCCAGAGGATTGGAGAAGATCAGTCTACATCCCAATCCCAAAGAAGGCAGTGCCAAAGAATGCTCCAACTACCACACAATTGCACTCATTTCACACACTAGCAAGGTTATCCTAAAAATTCTACAAGGCAGGCTTAAGCAGTATGTGGACCGAGAACTCCCAGAAGTGCAAGCTGGATTTAGAAGAGGCAGAGGAACCAGAGACCAAATTGCAAACATGCGCTGGATTATGGAGAAAGCTAGAGAGTTCCAGAAAGACATCTACTTCTGCTTCATTGACTATGCAAAAGCCTTTGACTGTGTCGACCACAGCAAACTATGGCAAGTTCTAAAAGAAATGGGAGTGCCTGATCACCTCATCTGTCTCCTGAAAAATCTCTATGTGGGACAAGAAGCTACAGTTAGAACTGGATATGGAACAACTGATTGGTTCAAAATTGGGAAAGGAGTACGGCAAGGTTGTATATTGTCTCCCTGCTTATTTAACTTATATGCAGAATTCATCATGTGAAAGGCTGGGCTGGATGAATCCCAAGCCGGAATTAAGATTGCCGGAAGAAATATCAACAACCTCAGATATGCAGATGACACAACCTTGATGGCAGAAAGTGAGGAGGAATTAAAGAACCTTTTAATGAGGGTGAAAGAGGAGAGAGCAAAATATGGTCTGAAGCTCAACATCAAAAAAACGAAGATCATGGCCACTGGGCCCATCACCTCCTGGCAAATAGAAGGGGAAGAAATGGAGGCAGTGAGAGATTTTACTTTCTTGGGCTCCATGATCACTGCAGATGGTGACAGCAGTCACGAAATTAAAAGACGCCTGCTCCTTGGGAGAAAAGTGATGGCAAACCTAGACAGCATCTTAAAAAGCAGAGACATCACCTTACCAACAAAGGTCCACATAGTTAAAGCCATGGTTTTCCCAGTAGTGATGTATGGAAGTGAGAGCTGGACCATAAAGAAGGCTGATCGCCGAAGAATTGATGCTTTTGAATTATGGTGCTGGAGGAGACTCTTGAGAGTCCCATGGACTGCAAGAAGATCAAACGTATCCATTCTTAAGGAAATCAGCCCTGAGTGCTCACAGATCGTGAAGCTGAGGCTCCAATACTTTGGCCACCTCATGGGAAGAGAAGACTCCCTGGAAAAGACCTTGATGCTGGGAAAGATGGAGGGCACAAGAAGGGGACGAGAGAGGATGAGATGGTTGGACAGTGTTCTTGAAGCTACCAGCATGAGTCCGATCAAACTGCAGGAGGCAGTGGAAGACATGCTCTGGTCCATGGGGTCACGAAGAGTCGGACACGACTAAACGACTAAACAACAACAACAACAATGAATATGTAATGCCTAATGCTATCTGGAAAAAGGTATATAAGCCCAGAGCACAAATGATCAGGGTCCAGTCCTTGGGAGAGAACTCCACTGGACCTATTGCTGTCAGCAATAAATTTTACTTTCTTTTCTCCAGTTGCTGTGTCTGTAGTCTTTGAGCACACCTTAAACATGTATCCAGGTAACCTTCGCAACACTATGACCTACATCAAATAGGGGTACCCCCTGAGGGGTCCCTGCTGGAGTTCTGTGGCCCTAGCTCCCATCTGGGTGTCAAACAGAAGGAACTCCTCACAGATCCCTTTAATGGGATACCCTTAACCAAGGAGGGCAAGCAGAGGCTACAACCTCCCCTCCAGCCAAGACTAAGGCTTACCCAATGCCTAACCTCACAAAGTAGTGACGACTTCTAAGAGGTGGGCAAAAACTAAGTGGCTGGTGCCAATTTGTCAAGTGGAAAAACTCCTGCCCAGCCTTGAACATGGCAGCCAACAATGGCCATAGCAAGGTCTAGCATGAAAGCAGCAGCATTTGGAAAAAGGGGTGGCTTGTGGTCAGGCTAGTTAGTCACTTCCCTGACTCTCAAGATGTATTAAAAATGCGCTGTCAAGTTTATGCTTTTTGAGAATTTTATTGTTTTATTTGGGAGGTTTTTAACTCTTGATGTTTTATGTTTTCAGATATGCTGTAAGCCACCCAGAGTGGCTGGAGAAAGAATAATAATTTATAGTTTCATTATTAATTTGTGGGGGGTTTTGTAAACTACTTGGAAACTGTTCTGTTATTAAATGATACATAAATATATGAAATAAATAGATAATTTATTGGATTAACCAAGTCCAATGTATGCTTATGGTAATATGCTAATGCTGCATGCCTGACAGGAAAGTAAAGGCAGAAAATGTAAGCATGTGAAGTGGGAATTCAGAAAATTGCAATATAAGAGAGTCAAGTTTAAAACAAGAATGGAGGGAGTGGGAGAAAGAGAAACATCAGCAGAAGGTTAGGCTGAATTTTTACGAACAAAACACATCAAGATGTGCTTTATTATTTTGTTGCTCTTGGCAGCAAAGGATTTTTTGTGTGTTTTTTTAAATCTAGAATTCTGAGGAAGCTTTTGTACTACCAATGCCAAGAGGATGGAGAAGTTCAGGAAACATTCACCTGCGTTTTCTGTGTTGCTTCGGTTACAAGGTCACCTACACTTCACATACCTTCTATTTTCCCTTGTAAAATATGTAAACTGTTCAGTCTCAAACAACATATTCTGAAGCATGAGGTGAATCAGACTCAATTTTATTTAAAACTGGAATGCTAATGGATCTGCAGCTGTTAACATCAGGCATTCTATCTTTGAAATCTCATTTGCCTTCCCTCCTTCATTTTCCTACCAATAAATTATGCCCCACCCAAACAGACCTTCTTGTCACTATATGAACTCCTCAAACCTTGCCTACAAAAACACCAAGATGTCCCAGGCATAATAAAATATTTGCTTTCTATGGAAGCTCTTCTGAATAATTTTTAACCTGAGAAGGGATGTGCCATAAAAGTAACTGCTAAAAGGTGTGAATCTGACAAGCATCTGATCTGAAAATAATTTTTCCTTCATAGGTCTTGCTGACGTTTCTCAGGTCAAGTAATTAAAAAGTTAGCCAACTCCCCCCCCCCCCATAATACTATAACATGCCTTGAATGATTAATGTATATTACCAACTTCAATGTCTTAAAATGCACCTCACCATGATCTCTCCACAGAATAGAAGAGAGCATTTTACATTTTGCTAAGTTATTTCCATTATATTTACACTAGCTCCCAGAAATTTAATTATTTGAGCTTTTTTTCTTTGCATGGTTTTAAAGAAATTTCAACATTTAGTGCTAATATGCTAATTTAGAACATAACATTGAACTCACCGGCTGAAAACTGTGTCACTGACATTTCTGTTTTAATGTTAATATATTTTCAGTGGAAAAAAGGGGGCATGGTTAAGCATACTGTGAAAAACTGAATTAGTAACTATTTGCAACAAACCTTTCAGGGTTAATTTGAAAGAAACGTAGCCTAGCAGGCCTAAAAATAATTGATAGTAACTTCGAGAACGCAAGGAGAAAGACCCTCAAAAAATTAAAACACTTTTATTTTAATTATATAGTTGATTTACAAAGCTATGTTCAATAAATAAAAACACACTGTTATGTTTAAAAGACTGGAGATTTTTCCAAATGGTCAAACAACAAAGATTTGGCTTTATATTTATACAAAAAGAAAAAGAAAACCCCAATCACAAGTATTAAAACAGGCATAACCACTTTGGTTTCTTAAACATCGGGGAAAATAAAGGACTAGTTTAGGAAAACTTTCTCTTCTGAATGACGGCCATATGAAATTTAAAGCACAGGACCCTCTCGTACATGTTATGACATTTTCAAACGGGCATAATCAGAATCAAAGTCTTTCTGTAAGACGAAGGAATATTTATTTACAGGAAAGAATTTGGCTTTACCCGTTTGTGGGATACATAAGTTGTCTTTAGTGCTTTTTCAAACAAAATCATATAGTCTTGCAAGGCAAACAGCAGGACTAGACTTCAAATTCAAATATAGCATGGAATGAATTTGCAGAATTCTCATTTTCTGCATGCTCCAGAAATGAGATGCATCAGCAATGAATCAACTTACTACGATGCTACGGAACACGTGGACCGATCACCAACTAATGGGATATATTGAATTTTGTTTTGCATTCAGGATGGCGGACCTCAAACACATGCACAATAGTATCTTAATTTTTAAAAAGAGAGATCCAAGATCCCAAACCTTAAGAATTAAAGCCAATGTACAAGCTTACCACCTAATCCTGCCATCTTTACATGAATATTTACGATCTTCAAATACCTACCTCAGTTAGGGGCAGACATGAGAATGTAGCCCTTTTACCCAGTGTGGTAGTTATCAGAGGATCAAACAATAGTACCCAGAAATCTAAGAAATTTTTTTGGAAACCAATGCAGGAATATGAGCACCGAGCAACGCTACCAGAGTAATAATAAAAAAAGAAGCAAAGGCAAATATTCAAAATCAGAGGCAATCTATGATATTCCTGCTCCCAGGGAGCACAGCCATTTAAAAAATGAGAACCAAACTGCATCAGATCTCTCTAATAAGCCCCTTTATTCAGGCAAATGTTTTGTTCATTAACTGCTGTACTGAATGTGGCAATGAGTGGGGGTGTGGGGAACTTGCCTTTAGCATCATCAGGCCTTCAGCTACTCAAGAAGTCTATGCTCTCAGCCTTCATTGTGGTGGTGGTTGTTCAGGTAGTAACAATTAGCTAACTAGATTAAAAAAACACATTTTAGCTATGTAGATGTGAAACGCAGTTTTATTTGAGGGGAGAGGGCTATCAGGAGACTGAGCAAAAGTCCCACTGAACATTTTAATAAAGAGCATTTCACGAAATTGACCTGAACTTCCAAAAGGGAAACTCCACAATTTAGGGGCTCAGAACGCTATGTTTCAATACAATTAATCTTGCAGTCCATTTAAAGTGGATAGATTCTTATTGGGAAGGTGCAGAAGAGCACACAATGCTTTTTTAATGCAATTTCTTGAATGGAGTCTACACAGAATATTTTAGTGGGATGGAAACAGGAACAGAGTTCCTTAAATCCTCTTGAATGAAGCAGGGATTATTGGTTTGTTTCTGTCCTTTTTTATTATGTATTTTGTGTGTTTTTATATTGTAATTATATATTGTGAACTGCCCTGAGATCTATGGATATAGGCAGTATACAAAATTTAATAAAAATAAATAATAAATCCTGTATATGTAAATAACTGAAAGATGAGATCACAGAAATCATAGTTTCAAAAAAAATTGCAGCTTAATTTGGAATGCTGGCAATCTATAGACCAAAAAAGAACAACTCCTGTTTCTGCGCATAAGTTTCTGGCAACTGCAGGAGATGGAAAAGAAATAGCATTTAATTAGCATAAGTGTTATGGGATGATTCTCAGCCTCATGAACATTAAAGGACTACTACATTCAGCAGTGTAGAAATTGGGATTTGTGCCACGAAAGCTGAACTCGGTCCTTAATTTTAAAGAGCATTTTAATTAAAGAATAGGAAAAAAGAGAAAGTTACTTTGACTACAATACTGATCACCAAAGCACACAAAGAATTACAGTATATACAGCAGGAATACTAACAGGAAGTGCGTGGATGGGACTTTTGTGATCATCTGAGAGAGTTGGAAACCAGGCTCTTATTTAGAAAAGACTAATGACGATCGTTTTTCAAAAATATTATAATACAAACAATATCTGTTCATCTTGTAATGTATCCACTCACATTCACACCACATAGGGTATGAACAGTGCTTAATATAAATAGTTTTCTCATTTGAATATTGTTTCTGTATTTGTCATAGAAAAGGTCAAAAAGGTAAGATTGGAATTAGGCAGTTTTTGCACATTGTGCCAAACTGGCTTAGAGTGAACATGAGATCACAGCCACTTTACCCTCCTCTGGTCATTCTGTTGCTGGACCACACTGAGCTAAGCCATGTTTTGACTCACCATGCCATCTAACCCAGGCTCTTGGTTTAACTCTTATCAAAACTAATGATGAGCTGCAAGTAAAGTGTGTTCTTGGTTTGCAGTTTGCCCTGCAGAACTAGCCTTCAAGCCTGAGATGGGACAACATGCTAAGCCACACCATGGTGCGCAATGCAGCAGCAAAACAACTAAGGAAGAGCAAGGCAGCTATCGTCTCCTCCCTGGGAGCCTGCATACCCAGGTCATTGCACTTGGCCACTGTTTTGTGTAATGTGAACTAGGTCAGTGTGTAAAAGCAAAATGGAAAAAATAGAATCGTTTATCATGCAGTACAAAGATTTGTGTAAGTGGTCCCATTGATTTATCTTCTGTGACCCTGCAATAACTTTCAGTCATACCAATGCTAGCTTAAGCTTAACCTCTTCTAAATATAGGGCCGGTACTGGCCATGTTGCAGGCTACCAGGAAAAAAACCATTTGTTTTGTAATATAAATCAGCCTTCACCAACCCAGGACCCCTCCAGATGTTTTGGAATGTGACTCCTGTCAGCGACATCCAGCATGGTTGTGTGGCTGGTGCTGATGGGGAGTTGTAGTTCAACACACTTGAGGGACAACTAGGTTGGGAGAGGTCGAGCAAATACATTAGCACTGAACAGTTATATGTACAAAAAAGTTTTTTAAAAAGTAAAAAAAGAAAGAGTGAGAACTGCGGACTCATGAGCAACTCTTCTGCTTCCCTTCCTTCAACACTGCTCCCCAGTTTTGAGGCTAGGAGTGCTACTTCATGTAAGAAGTAGCTGCTGTATAGCATCACAGAAATTGGCCCAGGACAGAAAGGCGCTAATGTGCCAAACACTGTTATGTTGGAAAGTAGTCCTTTCATGAAGTCTGGTCTTTATGAAAAGTGGCAGTTCAACAGTGCAGCACTAAAGAGACACAAAACGGTGGGTAAAAAAAAAAAGAGAGAGAGAGAGAGAGTCCTTTGTATTCTTTCCCTCATCTAATCAAAAAGGAGAGAAATAAAAATAAACTCACGTGCATACACTCATTTCTCTTTTAAACATTACCACAACTCCTGTGACTATAAAGTTACCTCATAAGTCATTACAGCACTTTTCCACACATGCAAAACAACTAATTTCCTGATTTTCTTTTTCTTTGAGTAGTGCATCATCAAGGCCACGGTGTATCAACAAAAGTCTTTCTCCACTTGTTTCCATGTCCATTGCCAGATTGCTTTATTTTGCTGGGAAGGGAAAAATAAATCACAAAATTATTATCTGAAATTTGGGACACTTTAAAAACAAACAGTTAAATCTGATAAATCGAGTAAGTGCCTTCAGAACTTAAGGTAGGTTGCTTGAGATAGGAATAATAGGCATTCACAATATACATTATGAAAGATCAGCATCAATTGGTTTTTGCAGCTATTTTCAGTTCCACAAACCTATTCGAGGATGTGCAAATGTATTTGAAGTGTAAGACTGAATGCAGAAGGTCCCAAGTTCCACCCTTAAATTGTCATGTGATGCAAAAGATCTTTACAGCACACCCTGGAGAGCCAAACAAATCATGGCTTAGCATGATGTGTTTGGTCCATCTGGCTCTGACTGCCAGTGGCTCTCCAGGGTGTCCTGTAAAGATCTAGTGTTTTCTAGCTATTCCTTTGTAGCTTGGCAAACATCTTGGGTGGGGTGGCTAAACAAATCAGAGTTAATTATGGCTTGGTGTACTCACAAGCCTTCCTTAACACAAACCCAGTTTCACAAGCCAACAATAAATCATGGCTTGAGAATGTGGTTTGCTGATACCAAACAAACAATTGTTAAGGTGGTGGGTTTGGATGGTCAAACTACGGTTTAATAAACCATAGTTTAATTAACCATGGCTTACTGTTATGTGCAAATGAGATGTCAGTACAAGGCAGGTTTGTATGTCCATGTGGAGAAACAGTGACATGGCTAGGTTACGTGAATGAATGATGTTCTGTTATAAAAAGGGTTTGATCTGTAGATAGTTCTGAATGAGACAAAAAGATTGGCAGTTTACTTCTAAGAGAGACCTGGAGCATAAAAGGTGTTCTTCAGTTAGCATAACAAGAAAGAGTTATGCTAACACAATTAATAAAAGGGGTGTCTATATGCCTTGCAAGACTTTCCATGATGTCAGTTGACACTGGAGACCAGCTTCTTAAGACAGGGTAGTGGAACCAAAAAGGTCAAACTGTGGCAGATCTTTAGTGGACATTCCATTTGGACTCGCTCATTCTTAGTTAAAAATCAACAAGACATTGGGATGACAGAGCATAATTTTTGTGCAGTTGAGCTGTCTTCTGACTGAAGGGAATATAAAGACAGACAAAGTACTAACGAGAGAGTGTGAAGAGGACAGTCAAGTCCAGACTGAGTATTTCAGCCTAGCCTACATCAAAGCGTTGCTGTGAAGAAAAAAACGGGGAGGGCTCCTTGCAAAAAAGGTAGGATATAAATTGAATAATAATGTCCTCTTATTTTACACTTCAAGTATCCCCACCGACTCTTTAACACAGTACAAGTGGGGTGTAATGAATTTTACTTACATTCTCATTGAATCTAGCATTAAGAAGATGCACAAACAGTTGGAACAAACAGATTAAACACTCATGATTATCTCATTGATGAATTGCATGAATGACTAAGACCTAATTACTTGCAAGTTCAGTTGCAGTCCTAGATTAATTAATCTCGATTCCCATGAAATCAAGATTAATACAGAAGCCACTGAACTAAATAGCGAGCCAGAGATTAATGAAGTACGTAAAACATGAACAATTATTTCCTACCCCGCTCAATTCCCTGTGGATTAATAACAAAATTAGGAAAATCAGTATTTTTAGTAAGCATTAGTCTAACAGACTGATCACATCCACTACCAATACCATTTTGTCTGATCACATCCACCACCAATACTATTTTGCCTTTATTTATAAAGGAAGGAACATAATTTAAAAAACAGGAATAAAGTGGCAATTCAAAATGTTGCAGTGTGGAAAGGTGTTCATGGTCAGGGTTCCTGACCACCAGCTAAGCAATGTTGCAGGAAACTCTTCCCCCTGACCCTGTGTGTGTGCCTGGCAACTTTGCCTGTAGGCCATTCGCAGCCAAGTGGAATCTGCAGCAATCCTTGCACAGTAGAAGGCTCTCATTCAGTTTTCCAGTCAGTCCTACCTTCTTTCAAGATGTTCCAATCCAATTCCTCCACTCAATATACCATATTTTTTGCTCTATAAGACTCACTTTTTCCCTCCTAAAGGGTATGGGGAAATGTGTGTGCGTCTTATGGAACGAATGCAGGCTGCACAGCTATCCCAGAAGCAAGAGGGATTGCTGCTTTCACTGCGCAGCGATCCCTCTTGCTGTTCTGGCTTCTGAGACTCAGAATATATTTTTTTCTTGTTTTCCTCCTCCAAAAACTAGGTGCGTCTTGTGGTCTGGTGCGTCTTATAGAGTGAAAAATACGGTACTTTAGCCATTTAGCATGTTGTGTACTCATTGGACTGTTTCTGTCTCATTCCCCTCTTCTCCCTTTTCAGGTTCTCTCTCTCTCTCTCTCTCAAACCATGGGACTGCTAATAACCTCCCTCTTGTGTGAGGGTGTCGTAATTTTGGCTCCACAAGCTCCACACTCAGATAATATGTTTGCCATTAGTATATGTTCTATTTGTGAACTGCATTCTTTGCTACAAGGCTGTGAGCCTCTCAAGGGAGGCAAACAGACATCTACAAGTTTTACCCTGGCTCAGTAACCAGCCTATATTTGTGCCCGCTGCTGACTCCTTCCCTAGTCATCCGCATTTGCCAAAGGGGCTGGGGAAGATGTAGGAGATTTGCTTCATATTGTTATTGGCTTTGGAGAAGAAAGAAGCTCCTTTCTATCACTGTTCTCCGTTGCATTGCATTCTGGGGCTCAGCAGTTGACTGAAATTTTGGGAGGGCAATCTGTGGACTGCAAAGCCCCCTGCCTGATTTAATAAGGGACCAGGGCCATTTGATGCAGCAAATGGATTTATGGAGCCACAGCTGCAAAACTAAAATCTGTAAAGATGCTGGAAAGAAGGAAGTTTGCCAATGGCTTTAAAGTGACTATAAACCACCACTGTTTGGAGACACCCGCACACACCTTATTTCATAGCTTGAAAAACTGGACCTCAGGGACTATTTCTGATGAAACATTCAAGGATTGTGTCTTACTAGAAAAACTAATAACTAGAAATACTAATGCTTTGAAGTGTGCCTCCTGTTTCATGAAAAAGGGAAAAAATCAAAACAAAGGGAAAATCCCATAGCTCTACTGAAAAGCAAAGCTAATAAATACAGGCAAAACTTACCATCATTCTAACATCACTCCTTTCGCATCTTTGCAAAACCAAGCAAAACGTTAGTAGTTAGAGAAGCAAGGAGTAAACAGCAGTTTAGTAGAAACAGTGTTAAAATATATTGTAATTTAAGACATGCAAGAGTTCCATGTAATGGAAAAGAAATTAGAGGGTCTGATGCACAACCAGCCTTTCTCTTGATTCTACATCAGCATTCAGTGGGATTTCCCCCCATACCAGTTGGATCAAATGAGGAAATCAGAGACCAAAAGGCAAAAAACCAAAAAAACCCCCCCAAGTTTTGCTAAGCACTATCCTAGAAACTTGTGAACCCCATGCAAAAGATAACTCATCTCTACTTTTCAGAAGGAACAAATCTTTCATTAAGAAACTAATTCCTTTTGGCAAATGAATTTATAAGATCAAAGTGGTATTTATCCTTAAAAAAAAAAAAAAAGCCACCTGAACTTTGAAAAGGTCCAGATAAACCAAGAATTACGGAGCCATAAACTATTTTCTAATACCCATAAGAGATCTATGAAAAACCAATAATTTAAGGTCAGAAATATTTTTTCATTATCTTGTATACATCTTTTATACAGCCCCACAAACTAATTTTTGGACTGGAACAAAAACCAAGTCCCTGAATATAGATCAAAATTTCAATTACTACCTACCATTAAGTGGTTCTTCGACAGCTTTCTGTAAAATATTTAAAATATATATGTGTGTATATATATAAATATAAATGTCTTCATGTCTAGCTTGGATCTCCCAAATTAAATGACTCTAATTGACATATACAATAAATAATGATTCTACAAAACAAATACAAGAAACAGCAGAACATTAATTAGGTTAATGGCAGGCTGTTAGCTCTAGGGCCAGTAATGACAACATGTAGTCAAGAGCAGAGAGAAAATGTGTCCCACAGGTTGGCTCACAGCCTCATCCCCCCTCCCCAAAACTGCAAGATTGCTAGTCCCTTAGCTCCCAGAGGAGCTGATTTGGACAAGAGAGAAAGAACACATGGAGTGTAGATCCCAGTGCAATGATGAGTGTACACTTAACCCTCCATTTGGAGCCTACTGGAGCAAAGAGGATGTTTTATGAGACCCCAGCCTTAAAAGTAGGCTTTTCTTTCCAAGGCTTCTGAACATTAAGCATTCCTTCTCCCAGTATTTATACAACGGTGTGATATCTACTCATCCTTCCATTCTCAACTTCTTCTGATCATCTGTACCTATGAACTTACACATATGAAGATATGCTCTCATTACAACAGAGCAGACATGTGATAAGACCCAATCAGGAAATAGCTGTTGGCAAGTCAAGAATTTATTACTACAATATCAGATTGTGACTGCTAAGATGCAGAAATATTTCTGAAATAATAATTCTTCTGAGACTACTATAGTCACTGGTTGGAAGGCCTCAAAATCAGTGATGAGGGTCTTGATAACATATTGTGGCCTATTTAATAACAAAAGGGGAAAGGATTTGAAGGATCTTATCAGTCAAATTCAACAATTAGGGGCAGGAGAATATGCCTATGTTTAAGACAAAAGTAGGCAAGATAGAAGTCCCAAGAAAGCAAATTGGCCTAATCAATTGCACCCAAAACATTTCAAGGCATTTTTTTTCAAGAAGGCTACCAGCCAAACAGATTACTTTCATCTATGGATGTAAAATAATCTAATAACATGGTTCAGGATTGAAGAACAGGGATAGGGCTGAGACAAAGCCAAAGGACACTGCATATGAATTAAGGAAATGTTATGTAGCCCTCAGATTCTCCCTCTTGAAAGAAAATAAGTTCCTATTTAGAAAACATTAAACGGTCCTGTTTAAGAAAAACAGATATTGAAAATTGTCAAAGGCCAGTTAAAGTTATTGAGCTCTATACAGCTGTTGTTGAATTAAAATATTACTAAAACAAGAATAGATGGTTTTGCTACTAAATATCATAATATTTTCTTGAAATGCATTGTCATATCTTCTTCTGGGGGCATTAAATGCAGATATGCAAGAACAAACCTTTCCAAAAACATAGGCTTCTTTATCCTTAAGAAAGGATAAAGATGCTTCTGGAGTCAAATCTTACCAACCCATCACCCTTTTAAAACAAGAATTTAAAATCTGGGCAACACAATCATTGGGAAGTATACTACAGAAGATCAGTTAAGTTTTATTTAAGGAAAACATAAATTAGAAATGAATATAAGGAATCTTTTGAATATAATTCATGTGATTACTAAATCTAAAAACCATAGAGGGTTATATATTTTTATGTGGAAAAAGCTTTTGACTATTTAGAATAGGGCTATTTGTACCTGATTCTGGAAAATGCTGATCTGGAAGGGAAATTTTCCACAGGAATATTGAAGATATATACGAACTCATATACTTCTGTCTCAGTTAGTGGTGTACGTTCAGTTTACCCTATTTTTAAATTCATTTCCCCCTAACTATTGATCCTTGAGCCAAAGCGACAGGGTCTAAGCAGGCAGTAAGTAGCATTAAGATGGGACAGTAGGATTTTAAAATTAATTCATAAGCAGATGCTGTGGCATTATTTATATATTATTCAAATAACTCTTTTGAGAAGCTACTGAACCCAGTTAAGGAATTTAATGTGATTTCTGTTACAAAATTAATTTTACAAACTGGATGGGTTGTTTTAACTTAGATAAGACAACAAACAAAAAATTAACAAAATATCTGATTTAATGGAGAGACTTCCCTATTAAGTATTTATGCAAAGTCTGGAAAAGCTAACTAAAGTTAATCATGAAAAACTCATGCATGATGTTTAAACGTATTTTGCAAGAGGAAAAGGTCTGCCCCAGAAATTACAGTAGTCTCAAAGACAGTTTTTATTTTTTGAATATACCACTGCCAGTATCTTCTGAAATAACCATTAACTGGTAAAAAAATACTAATAAATTTTGCCTGGTATGAAGAAGAAAAAAAGAACCCCAGGGTTTCAGGAAAACTTCGTCAGACTTGGAAAATACATTTGAAGTGTACTAAATTTGGCAAGGAGTTGATAAAAGACCAATCAAAGTAGCCAAAGTGTATTATCTGCAGTGGATACAAGGAAAAATTAAGGCCAGGATTGTCACTACTCGCTGCATACATGTTTCTCTCTCTGCTGGCTATATTAAAGGTTGCATTTCCCAACACTTTTTAATTGTTTATGGGGTTTGTTATTACTGTTTTTTATTGAGAGTTATGCACCTCAAATGATTTTAACCAAAGGGTTATGTATACAGGCATCTCACCACTTATGTGGGGCGTTATGTTCTGGGCCCCCGTGCACATAACTGAAATCGCAAAAAGTGAGGAGCACCCAACTTTTATAGGGAGGGCATGTGGGGTGGGGAGGGAGAGACTCGGGTGCACTGCCGGAACTGCTGCCTGGAAGTTGCTTGGGGCCACTGCCCAGTGTGCCTTCTCTTGCTTGGGGCTGCTGCTCCCAGCCTTCCCTCCAATCCCTCCCATCGCAGCAAGCGAGCAGCTGAGAGTGACTTCCAGGCAGTAGTACCAAGTGAGGGAAGATGACCGGGCAGTAACACCTGAGCAACTTGCAGGCAGCAGCTCCGAGAGAGGGAAAGTGCGCCATTTCAATAATTTTATTTCTTTATTTCACAGCAACCCGTGTAAAAGCGGTCGCGCATGAGTAGGACACGCATGGGGTGGGGAGAGAATGTCTGTACATTTTTTTTAAAAAAAGAAATCAATAAACAAACCATGGTTAACATGATTGCGTTGCAGCCAGTCTGAAAACTCCCATTGTAAAAGAACTGTGGTTAGGGCCTAATGGGACATGGAAAGAGGGTGTGTGGAAGCTTAAGGTACATTCTTGATCTCCTAGCCATTGGCATAAATGTTAGGTCTGCACTAGGGCATAGGGCAGGTGTCTTATTTGCAACCTGACATATCCATAACAGTGTGAAGTGCAACCCAGGCAGCTTACATGATAGATCAAAGGCCGTCCTGCACAGACGGATTTTACAATTTGCAGGGGAAAGGACTGGATCTCCTCCTTTTAACAGTAGCTGTATGGCTATCAATTTCTCCTACTGCCAGAGGGGGAGAAAATGAAACTTCAAGCAAGGGCTCAAGTCTGACAGATGAAGAAATATTAGAAGCACCTGCCGTTTCACTTTACCTTTCAAGTGTGTTTTCAGGATATATATATATATATATATATATATATATATATATATCCTGGTTCCATTGGTATAGACCAGAGTAAAAAAAATAATGCAGGCCTAGATGTCAAACATAGCAAAAGTGGTGGTAAATCCATTTATATATTGTACCACTTCAAGCAGCTAACAAAGCTGAATGCTTTTCCATGTTCCTCCTCCCCACCTGCTACCCCCAACCATCAGCCAAAAGAACTCACATGTCAGGGAAAAGATTAGTTTAGAATGATTCTCATTAATTTTTATTTGTGCAAGGCTCTTGTTGTTGTTGTTGTTGACAGAAGAGCATTCAATCATATTAGCCCCATCTGCAGTCTAAAGTGGCACAGTGAATAAACAGCTTTACCAACCAATCCGCCGCTCATGAGAAACAGTCTAATAGCAAACTTCAAGCGCAGCATCTTTTTGCCTTCCAGTCATATTTGAGTGACAGTGCGTCTATATAAGGAAGCAGGGATGAAGGGTAAGAGAGCCACACTGGCTCCTGTCAATCCCTCTTTGGGCTGATCTTTACACTTTAGAAAGTAGCCAACACTAGTGTCGCAGCTGATAAGGAGCTTGCAGGAGCGGTGAAGCACCTCCCCCCCCCAAAAAAAAAGAATAGGGAGGAGGGCTTATTAGCATTGTGCATATGCACAAATCCTCGGCCAAATCAGAACAATTTGGAAAGATCAGAAACTTAGCTGAGCTCAAGTGAGCCCCTCCGAATAACCTTGAGCAGTTTAATGGGCCTCCAGTAAATTTCTCCCCCCAAGCTGATAAGAAAATAAAAAAATCAGAGTAAGGAAGGGGGGAGCTGGGGAGAATATATTTGTGACTGACAAGGTTGGGTTTTAATTGGGGGGAATGATCCTTTACTAGTGGACTCTAACTGCAGTGTTTTGGGGTAAGAATGCTGAAGAAATAAATATCCTTGTTCTTGTTAGTTCTTCTAGTGCTGCTGGCCTCTGGCACGTGCACACACAGCTTTGTACTTCGATTCTGAGACTTTCTGGGGTCAACTGAGCAGAGCAATAAGCTTGAAGCAGGGCTTCCCCCCCCCACTCCTCTTATCCCCCTATCCCAAGCACCCATCCTTCTGAAATTCTGCATGTTACACTGTAGAGGTGTTCCTAGGAAAGTATGCCATTTTCATACAAAAATAACTTCCCCCAAAACCACAAGGAGGAAAGCAAATCCCTTTAAAAGGCACCTAGCACAACCCCCCCTCCCGCATTTATGTTTCTGAAATTTGGCAGGTTTTCACCTTTAGGGAAGCACATATCTCTTGAAGACACACAGTATCCCCTAACAAATTTACCACAACAAAGTAGAGGAGATTGGATTCATTCTTTTTTAACCACTCCAAAACCGTAAAAGCTTTCCTTGCAGGAAAATGAACCCAGGAAAGCTTTGGTTTCACCAAATGGAAAATGGGACCTGAGGTGAACTGAGCAGCCTCTGAAGGAATCAAGAGTCAAATTGAACTACTCTCTGAAGTGCTGAACTGGGGCCTGAGATTAATCTTTAGGCTTTAATCTACTACCATTTCACCGTTCAAAGCTGTAGTATACAAGTTACCTGAAATGCATTGCCTTGATTTTATTTTTCAAATGTTTCAAATTTTTCTAGCTTTTTTTTTATTTTAAAAAAGGTTACTTCTCCCATTCTTAACGATTCCAATGTATGAGTGGTAAAGCTGCAATTCAAGTCTCCACTCTGTAGTCTTTGTATAATGAAGGAGATGGGAAAAGATGTTGAATGAATAAAGAGTTGAATGAATAATGAGGCAAGCCAGGGTTGCATGTCTACATAACCTATTAATATGGCAAGAATTCTCATTGCCGTGATTCTACTTGCTACCAATCTGATCAAACCAATTGTGAAAGATTCAGAATCACATTATGTATCACCTGAGTCATCCAGCAACCCCGTATGCATTAATTTTAAGCTTACCTTTGGAGGCTGATGATCTTTGAATCTGGTACCTATGGTTACAAGTAAAAATATAGCACAATTTCTTACTGGATACTCAAAGCACACAAATCTAATCACCACTATGCAGGGACATAAGACGACCAAGAAAGAATTTCAGCCAAAGCCTTGGACTCATGCTCTGTCCCCTTCCTGCCTTCTTCCTACATGGCTACTAACATTTACTTTCAGTTGTTGCGCATGAAGCACAGCTTGTTTAAGCCAGCACCTCCTACTGGTACGTGATGTTTGCTGAGAGATGCTGTGAAACAGAAAGTAAAGGCTAGCAAACTCCTTCCAATCACACAGGAGGAGAGGCAAGAGGGAAACATGTGACAATTCATGGTTTTAGCATTACCTGCAATGAGGCCATTGTCTAATATGTTCTCTTTTCCTTTCTACTTCTTAACTTGTGTCTCCGTCTCATCCTCCTTGCTTTTCCCATGCTTACCTTTTAAACATTGCAGGAGTGTGACAGAAGCAAAGCTTTTCTTCTGGTTGCTCGTGCAAAGTTACTTTCTTGGCCCAGACCTGCATTCTTGCAAGCTTTCCAGGAGTGCATGTTCAAAGCACGAATTGTGTGGATTCAATATTTATATCTTTGGTTAAAACCACATGTCCCTCCTTCCCTTTTCATGTTTGCTATTGGAATGCAGTATACAGAATGAAAATGGTACACATGCAGGACTTTCCACCTCTACGACCCAAAGCAAAGAAGCAGAGTTCATAGCCATGCATGCATGGATTCCACAGCAGTAGCCTTCAGCTTTTTCAGATGCAGAACACACACCTGCCTGGAAGACCCACTTTGGCTTTTATCTTACAATGTGTGACTATATTTGTCTCTCCTTCTATCCTCCTCTCCCTTCCTTCCTTCCTGTCCCTGGCTGTTTCTTCACCACTAACGATCTTTCACCACTTCTTAAGGACTTATTTATTCCAACTGCCATTTCTTAATTTATTTGGCTGCTGCTGTGGGCTTAAAAAAACAACAAAAACAAACCTGCTACCGCCCACTTTACCTGTTTTAAAGCAGTGATGGTTAGAAGTTAGAGCACAATGTACTAGTAGACTCATGGGCAACTGACATTAGATTGGCAAGGGTTTCCGGTGCTCGATTTTTATTTTTACAGTAGCAACAACTTCCCGCAACTAAATTAGGCTGCTGAAATGAAGAAAGCTAACAAGGAACCAGGAGTGTACTTGTGTTGAAGGACTGAGACCTCATCAGTTCTGTCACTCAGAACAATTTCTTAGACATAAAATGAACCATGGTCCTTTAACACTAACTAGAGGTGGACATATAGGCTGGAGTTCCAGTACAAAACACAAAGTGGTTCCAAAAAGCAGAAGTCTGCTCAGCTCTTGTATCTATCACTATCAGCAGATAATTGCTTTTTAAAAATTTTATGCTGTTAGCCACCTTTGGAAGTCTTCAGGTGGAAAGGCAGGACATAAGTTTACTAAAAATTAAAAAAAAGATGCACTCTCACACACAAACATAGACAAAACAATGGAATCATGGTCATAGTGCAATTCAGCGCATAATTCAGCTTTGGGTCAATCATGACCCAGCCGAGAAGATCACAATTACACAGTACTACTCCTCTCCCTTCACACCTGTATCAGAAGCAACTGTGGAACATGGATACATAGAACAAAAAGCTACGTACACAAAACACTTTTGGAATAGATTGTGTGAATGCAGTTCCAATCTCTTCATGTTTACCTCCTCAATAAGTTTGTGAAAGAAGTGCAGAAGCGTTCCTTCCTTCTGAAGCACCCACAAAGCTTAGAAAAACTTTAAAGGGCTTAACCTTTTCCTCTGAACAGCAGCCTCCAAGGCATAGTTTCAAAGAGTGATGCTGCTGTGCATGGGGGGGGGGGGCTAAGAATCAGAAAGCCCCGTTATATCCATGGGCCAAGTTACATGCTTCTCTGGATAGTTTTAACCATGTGATATCTATTATTTCAGCTCAAAGACTTCAAGGCCTATGTGCAAGATACACACAGATGTATTATTACTGTCTAGCTTGCAAACTTTCATTTCATTTATTTTTTGAATACCTATTAAGCAGCATTTGTGCCAGAGCAACCCTCACATTCTTCATCCACATAACTCGCACATAGAAAATCCAAACCAAATATTTTCAGGTATACATAGACAACAACTGCCTACCCAACCCAACCCCATTTTCTCTCCAATCAGCAAACTCACCTTCCCTTCATTTACAATGCAGGCATACTGCTTCTTCAGTCTTGAGTCCCCAAAATGATATTGGAAGTACAGCTGTCATCATCCCCGGCTGAATGAATGGTCAGGTATGAAGGGGGTTGTAGGCTAACAACATCTGGGGCCCAATGTTGAACTACAGTTCTACTACAAGTAAGCCTGGGACCTGATTATGTGCCCCCAAGTTTGATTGCTGATTGCTTTCCTTTTATCAATAGATCCCCCAGACCAAAAATATTGATCTGTGTTAGAATGCATCACAAGATGCCTTATAGAACTCAGTTGCTGGATATGTGCCCCTACTGATCAACATCAGCACCTTCTATTTCCCGTAAAAAGTTTTTTCTGAAAGAAAGGAGAATGATAGGCTCCACACCACTCAATGGAAGGCAGCTCATTGTACTCATGGCACAGGACTTAAAAACAGCCCAATATAACCCTTGCAAACAGAGACAAATCAGTGAGATCCACTGTCAACTGCCATCCCTCCTTCAAAACAATGCTACACAGTGCCCCAAGTATTTATCTGATAGGCTAGGTGCAATATCCAGCAAAGTAGTTCCATTAGCCCAAGGATTTCTGTTTTCACATTGGTACTTCACCTCCCTCTCCTCTCCCCATGTGCCATCCCCAAATCTACTCGTGTGGTAAAGGAACTTTTTTTGCATGATATCACCCCATGTATGGAGAACCTTTCTCAGTCTGAGGGCCACTTTCCCTGGCTGCACGCCAGTGGTGGGCGAGACCCAAGGCAAAAGGTAGGTGGAGCCAGAGGTAGAACAAAGAATGCAACTCTTCCCTTTGTACAGGAGGCTACATTTCAGCTACACTGGTTTCTATCTACACACCCCCACATACACATCCTCCATCCAGGCAAGCAAGCAAGGGGCATTATCATAGCTCAAGGACACATCTCAGCCAGTCAAGAGCCCTCAATGAGGGTACAGAACAGGATCTGTGAGCAGTGTGACCTGGGGAGAGTCCTGAGGGCTGGAAAGAAGCACTGGAAAGGCTGCATTTGGCCCCTGGATGTGAGGGTTCCCCTTGCTCGTACACAAGGCAACCTGCATTTGTGATCTTCTGGTCAATCCTCTCCGAAACGGCACTAAACAAGAACTTTGTTTGAATATTCATTTGATTTTAAGATAAAGCATTTCATGTATACTCTAAGTAAATAGTACTTACCAATAACAACCATATAAATGAAAGCAATTGCTGCTACAATATCCATAATTCCTAAGCCTGCAATCACAAGAGAAGTTTGTTTTGGTGGGCATTCTGTTGAGAGAGAGAAAATGGAGTATTTAGGTTAGCATTTTTGTTTCTATTTTCTGAGTTGGTCTGGCAGTGTAACTACAACACTTAGGAAAAGATCTACAGCCATAACATCTTGCACCAATGTGCACATTAATTGCTACAGAAAGTGTCAGGTTTTGCTGTATCTTTTACATGCATCAACCACCATAAGGAATATGCAGAAAAATATTAAGGAACTGTGGGTCAAAAACCAACAGCAAACAAATACACTTGGCTGTATTTTAATTTTTTGCAAGCATTGGTCTCCAAGACTCATAATTTCAATGGTTTTATGCTAAAACCTGGATCACAAACATCTTCTTTGATAATATGCAGTTTAGTGAAATTAAAATATTATTCACTAACAATGAAGTTATTGACAGGAGACTGAAGAACAGATGTTACTTCCATCTAGGACAGGGGGGGAAAACCCCCAATACAAACACAATTATTTTTAAACTCAAAATGGTGAGTGTGGAGGAAATATTTAGATGCTGGATGCCAAAGAACAACTCACACACTTGACGAACTTATTGAATAGGCTTGTGTTAAAATGAGTCACCGTGAGCCTAAAATTTTTTTTTCTGCAAAATTCTATGCAATGACTTTGACACACAGTTACACAAAGCTTAGTAATCTTGCTGAAATTTAAGAATGCATACAATCAATTTCCTCTTCATTAATCAGAGACCCCAGATTTTGTGGGCTGGTGTGGTGTGGTGGTGGACCTCTCACTAATGCCAAAGGAAAAGACTAGAAACTGCATAGCAAAATCAAACTCCTTTCAGATATTTTGTGATCTCAAATGAGTATCTGCAATCCACAGGAGTCACTGCAACCCTGAACTAGCCTTTATCTAATAAGAAAGATAAGAGGCGAGCATACAGAGCCATTAGAACAGAGCTACTGCCGCTTTATTTGCCAAACATTGAATATTGCTTTAGAGCAGTGGAAAGGGCTGAAGACTGGATGCCTGCAGTTAAAGATAATTTATTCAAACAAGGTTTTAGGACCAAAAAAAAAAAAAAGCAGCTCTATTGCTTTATTTTTTAAAAGGCTGCAATAAATGTAATTTCACAGAGGCAGCTTTTTCTAAACTCAAATCTAAGCACAATCTCCACGCCCCCACCAAAATAGCACCGCAAATTTAGATGTCTAGTATGCTATTATTATTTCTGGCTGGCCACCCTTAGAAAGACAACCTTTAAATATTTGAAACTCAGTCATTTCACACATTCTGTCATCTTGCTGATGTTTAATGCTGTTAAGAGTAAAGAAATGCATCTAAATGTGAAAAGATTTATGTTCACAATTTTCTCTGCTGCAGTAAGTGAAAACTGCATGTGTGTGTGTGCATGCGCGGGCAGGCGCACAAACACATTACACACACTAAGAATGTGGGCACAAATTAAAATAATTACAAAAAAGGTCAGCAGTAGCTCTGAGTGAATCTTTAGGATATGCAGTATTACAAAGTTAACAATTTAATGCAAACCCTTTAGCTCCTACTTACAAAATGCAGCAGTACATGGCATGGTAAAGGTAAAGGTACCCCTGCCCGTATGGGCTAGTCGTGACCGACTCTAGGGTTGTGCGCTCATCTCACTCAAGAGGCCGGGAGCCGGCGCCGTCCGAGGACACTTCCGGGTCACGTGGCCAGCGTGACGAAGCTGCACTGGTGAGCCAGCACCCGTGCCGCACACAGAAACACCGTTTACCTTCCCGCTATAAAGCGGTACCTATTTATCTACTTGCACTTAGGGGTGCTTTCGAACTGCTAGGTGGGCAGGAGCTGGGACCGAACGACGGGAGCTCACCCCGCTGCGGGGATTCGAACCGCCGACCTTACGATCAGCAAGTCCTAGGCACTGAGGTTTTACCCACAGCGCCACCCGCGTCCCAGTACATGGCATAGCTGTTCTAATTAGAAGGTAACACCACCTTCAGGCAATTGTTCAAGAGATAAAATAGTAGCTCCAAGTCCTCATAGATCCCTGTTCTATAAAACCCTGTTACGATTACGATTACGATATCTTTATTGTCATTGTCCCTTGCGGAACAATGAAATTGAAATCCTGTGTGGATTTCACAAACCCTTTGTGCATTTCATAATGCAGACAAGCTGCTTTGTAGGATATTTGTTAAGTGTGCTAGCAAGCTGATTCCCCTTGATAGTATAAAGGGTAAGTAATTTCTAGGGAACAAAAAATGTAAAGAATTTCAGTAAAATAAAATACATTGCTCACCTGGCAAACTTGTAGCCAAACCTGCCACAGCAATTAAATATCCAAGCGCTTTCAGAATTATCAGAATAATTGCAAAGAGCGGTGGCTTCTCGAAAACTGGGGAAATAATCATACGTTATTGAGAAAAGAATGGCAAAACCAAAAAGATACATAAGTGAAAAATGGAACAAAGTAAACACCTTCTGAAATGTAACTGAAACCAGTGTGAACGTGTGCTACATGGAATGTTAAGTAAAAACAACCAAAAAACCTCCCAAAGCTAGGCTGTCTCATTTAATTTATCTTATTACATCACAGTACATATAACGCTGTATATTGAAACAGAAATGATATACCAAAGACAAGTAGCTGCATTCCTCGATCCATCTAACTTTCCGCACTTAGGTGCACACATGTTTATATCAGAGCTAATCAGAGTATTGGATTCATCCACTTATCTTTACCAAGTTAAACAATCTTTGCAGCTTAGCTTCTTGTCTCTGTCAGGGAACATTGGCAGATGAGGCCAACTTACCTATTGGCTTCAAGTATCACCACACTTCTGTGAATGGCAAAGGAGGAAACAAAAATTCGCTCTCTCCAGCATCTGCAGTGAAATGCCACAACGCAGACACAAGCTACACCTCAATACAGTCGTACCTTGGTTGAGAAACGCCTTGTGGCTTGAACATTTTGGCTCCCGCAGCCAATCGGAAGCCGCGCCTTCGTTTCCGAACGAAGTCGAACGGACTTCTGGAACGGATTCCGTTTGAATTGCGAGGCATGACTGTAATGCTAAAATTTATCCCAGAGGTTCTCCAGTACAGGGCTGGAGCTAGCATTGTTAAAAAGATCTACAACCCTACAAATCTAAGGGGTTCTTCCCTTTCTGCTTCCTCTTCCCTCACCACAATGGATTATGAAAACAAGTTCACGAGTTAGTAAAGTAACAGATTCTCACCTGATTGAAACACAAAGAAGAGAGGCGGCACCAAAAGGATAGTAGGGAGTACAACTAAGCCAAGGCCAAATTGAGATGCTAATGTAAAGCCCTCTGCAAGAAGCCAAATGAAATAAAAAAGGAAAAGAACAGTTACTATTCAGGGAAAGCAAGCCAAGTGTTACTTTGACCTAGACTCTACGTTACCCCTTGCTCTTAAATCCTGCAACCCATAAAGCTATTGATTTAGAGGAAAAGAACACCCCAACACATTTGTGCCCCAAATAAATATATATTATTTTACCCATTGTATTCTTGGAATACACCATTTATTACTAGTTCTTAAGAAAGGAACAGTACTGGACAGCCTCAAGGACAATAAAAATTAAGTGATACAATCACAAGAGTCCTACCCCTTTAAAGTAACAGTGTTTACCATATCCTAAAAGAGGCAGCAAATTATGAAGGTGACCTACTTAAATGCCCTCTGCAAGAGGAAACTAGAACTGTTTCCATAACAGGATGTAATAAACAGCGCTCCAGAACCACCCAAGCTAGTCACATAACAAAAGCATTCATATCAAGACTACTAAATCAGAAAAAAGGTGCTCTTTTACTTGAAAAGCTAACATTCAGATTAAGATTCTAACTGTTACCAACTTTGTCAATGGAGACTGCAGGCCTTTCTTGGAACATGTGATGCACCCTCTCAGCCTCTTAGCTTAATTCATATTCTTGTTGATCTTTTACACATAATGCTTGCACAGCGAAAGAAATACAGCAGGTGTGGGGAACCTTTTTGTTCTCCAGGTGTTGCTAAATTATAACTCTCATCATTCAAAGCAAGTTATATCCAATGCCCGGGGACGATGAGAGCTGTAGTTCAGCAACATTTGGATGGCCAACTATCCCCCACATCTGAAATCAAAGCAAAAACAAACTAAGGCCACAGTACTCGGTCATCTTACCACTCCTAGCTATTTCTGACATGACTAATTTATACTGAACAAGAAAAGGATTAACAATAGGAAGAAGGTGAGTGCATGCAAACAATAAAAAGCCTGTCCTTGAAATCTCCCACGGAAATTAAAAGGGGTTGCAGAAAAGCATCACTTAGAGAATTAGGCTCACGGTTCACAATCTGGTATAGTCACAGATTGTTCAAGTTTGAGAGTGGCACACAATTCTGCCCCTCCCCCAGATTTTGTTCTCTCCAATTCACAGCTCTTTGGGCATGCTAAAATTAGTCTGTTAGCAATTTTCAATGCATTTATGTTTTACTTTTTTAAAGAGCATGCTATTGAACTGTCATGTGTTAAATAAAACAAAATGAAGCTCTGGGCTTGTTTGAAAGTAGCATTTAAACTACAATAAGTATGCTTTATTAACTTTTTTTTTAGCTAACCGAATACTTTGATTTAAATATTTGACTACTAGAAAAAATATTTATACAGTGAATACAATTAGTAAGTCCCCCCCCTTAATTTAGTAAATAAAAGTCAAACAAACAAGTTAAATCAGATCCAAGTAGAGCACCAGAAAATGAACCAGTGTTGCTGGCCCTGTGCATACAAATCTAGGTGCTATTAGATTAAACTGTCCCTCTCACTTCTACTTGGTATGAATTGGTATGAGCTGTGAATTGGAGAGAACTATTTCCTAGCATTAACAAAATCTGAAGGAGGGGCAGGATTGTGTGCCATTCTTCAGCTCGAACACTGAGGTCCAGCGCCGAGGGCCTTCTGGCGGTTCCCTGGCTGTGAGGTTACAGGGAACCAGGCAGAGGGCCTTCTCGGTAGCAGCGCCCACCCTGTGGAACACCCTCCCAGGAGATGTCAAGGAAATAAGCAATTATCATACTTTTAAAAGACATCTGAAGGCAGCCCTGTTTAGAGAAGTTTTTTAATGTTTGATGCTGTATTGTGTTTTTAATATTCAGTTGGAAGCCACGCAGAGTGGCTGGGGAAACCCAGCAAGATAGGTGGGGTATAAATAAATTAATAATAATAATAATTATTATTATTATTATTATTATTATTATTATTAGATTAAGGGTGCATCTGAGGCCTACAAGCTTCCTTCCCTTTCCCTGTGCAGAAGGTAATAACTTCCCCTTTTCCTTTATTTGAACAGGTTTCTCATCTCCCGTACCTGGTATATAAAACCTTCTGCAAAGCTTGAAGGAGCTCTACTGATGCCCAAGTAGCTTCAGTGGTTATGTCCAGTTCTGGCTGGTTCACCAGCTCTGGCAACCTCTCCAATAGACTACTGCAACATGCCCCATGTGGTGCTGCCCTTAAAATTGGTCCAGAAACTGCAGGTGGTATACAGCATGGCAGCCAGGTTACTGACAGATGTTGCAAAGTGGCATCATGAGTCTTTTAAAAGAGGCCCCATGGAACATGTGTACTCTGTATCCACGGGGCTTCTTTTAAAGGACTCACCCTGTACCTGTCCTCAAGAATCTGCACTGGCTATCTGCCTGCTACTGGAACCAATCTGAGGTGCACCCACTGGTAGACAAAGCTCTAGCTCTATTTAATACCCAACTACCTGAAGGACCAGCTCCCTTGTTACTGGTCAGCCCATGCTTTAAGATCTGCATGACTTGCTCATGGTACCACTGATATCCATAGATCATGGCAGAGTAATGTGGCACACTACGGATGTGGAATTCCCTCCCTACAGAGGTTTGTTTGTCCCCTAAATGTCATCTGAAGACATACTTGTCTCCCCAGGCCTAAAATGCAGGCTGAGAGGTCCTGGATGCATGATTGCTTGCCATTTCTGATTTTTGTTTTTTTCTGTTTGGACTATACAGTGGTACCCTGGTTCCCGAACAACTTGGCTCCCAAATAAATCAACTCCCGTATGCTGCAAACCCAGAAGTAAGTGTTCTGATTTGCAAACGCTTTTTGGAAGCCGAACGTCTGTTTCGGCTGTTGGCATTGTTTCTGGGACCAATCAGAAGCCGCGCCTTGGTTTGCGAACGTTTTGGAAGTCAAACGGACTTCCAGAACAGATTGAGTTCGAGAACCAAGGTACCACTGTATTATTGTTTTATGGTTCTGAGATATTTAACCATGTACCGCCCTTGGAACCTTCAGACTGAAGGATGGAAAGTAGTAATGATATTAATTTTTGACACTTACCTTTGACCAAAAGAGCAGCACCAGGCACAACAATAATCATGACTATTAGTGCTACAAGACCAAAGCTGATCTTCTTAAGAAGACTCATCTCAAACTTCACAGCTTTAAGTAAAAATGAAAAGGGGAGGAGAATTTAAACACTAAAGTACTTAAACACAAATATGCTGCTTTTACATTTCATCTGATTCTATGATCTACTGGAAGAAAAAGCATCAACAGAATATATATGCTGAACGTTTCTGCAAGTGATTTTGGACAGTGGTGATTATAAATAAAACTACATAAACATGTTTATGCTGCTGTAATCATTCCATACCACACTTACAGAGGTGCAGTGAAGCAGGGACAGGCAAGGATGAGGCACTACCACCTACTTCACAACAGAGGTGATTATCTTCTGGGGTGCTATCTGCCAATCTTCTGCATGCCAAATAAATCAGCTTCTCCCAAAGAGAAACCCACCAAGTAAGCTAATCAGAAGAAAGGTAAGTTACACTAGCTTGCATGACTAAGGGCTAAAATGCCACCATTGTTCTGAAAAAGACCCTTTTTATGACCAAACAATTTCCCAGAAAATAATGAGCAAGTTTTTAGGTCCGCCAGAACTCTTCATCAGGGTGGAATTCAGGAAAAGGCTCAAAGAAGTATGAGGGGAGGGGAAATGCCTTATTACTGAGACCACAATGTCTGCATCAGTAAAAAGTTCAGCTTTGTAAAATAGTCTTATAAGGGGCAGGCTGTGGGAGTTGTCATAAAGAGCATCTGCAGTTCAGAATTTACTACGGTGCTTATTTGTACACTTATGCATAATCTAAAGCATCCACATATTTGCCAAATGGGAATGATGTGCCTAGTGCAAACTGGTTGCATTCCACCAAAGGCTTTTAAAGAGGCAAGACCGGAAGTGGGAGACGAGGATAGCGGAAATGGTATCTGCAATTCTAAGAGTTTGTAAAATGTATTTTTAGGCTTCTGGAAATTGTCAAATGGAGAAGGGAGAATTCCAAACACCTGGAAAGAAGCGTATATTACCTTAATCCCTAAAAAAGACACAGATGGTTTAGAGGTAAAAAATTATAGACCTATTTCGTTACTAAATAACGACTATAAATTATTCGCAGACGTACTGGCAGAAAGGTTAAAAAAGTCTTAAATAAAAGAATCCATAAAGACCAAACGGGTTTCCTCCCGGGAGACAACTGAAAGACAACGTAAGAAATGTGATTGACATCATTGAGTATTTGGATACTAGAATAGACAAACAGGCGGCGCTGATCTTCATTGACGCCGAGAAGGCATTTGACAACGTCTCCTGGCGTTTCATGAAGGAAAATTTAAAAATGATGGGAATTGGTGAAGGATTTAGAAAAGGTATTGACGCAATTTATCAAGAGCAAAATGCCAAACTTATAATAAATAACAATATATCGGAGGCCTTTGATATTGCCAAAGGGACTAGGCAAGGTTGTCCTTTATCCCCTTTGTTATTTATAACAGTGTTGGAAGTGTTTAATAAAAGGTTAAGGGAAACACCGGAAGTTAAAGGAATTAAGGTAGGAAGTAAGGAATTCAAAATAAAAGCATTTGCAGATGACTTGATATTAACATTGGAAGATCCTAAGAACAGTCTACAAGCAGCCTTACAGAAATTAGAAGAATTTGGAAAAGTGGCAGGTTTTAAGCTTAACAGGAATAAGACCAAAATGATAACAAAAAATATAACCAAGGAAGAGATAGCAGAGCTAGAACAAAGGACAGGAATTACGGTTGTTAAGAAGGTAAAATATTTAGGAGTGTGGATCACAGCAAAAAATATAAACTTATATAAAGATAATTATGAGGCTACTTGGAAGGGTGTCAAGAAAGACTTAGAAATCTGGGAGAGATTGAAACTTTCTTTCTTAGGGAGGATCTCGGTTATTAAAATGAATGTCCTGCCCAGAATGTTATTTTTGTTCCAAACTATACCAGTAATGAAAGGACTAAAACAGTGTAAAGATTGGCAAAGGATCTTAGCGAGATTTATCTGGCAGGGGAAAAGACCACGAATAAAAATGAAAATATTGGTAGACAAAAAGAAAGAGGGGTTTTTCTTTACCAGATTTGAGTCTATACTATGAAGCGGCTTGTTTAATGTGGGTGAAAGACTGGATAAAGTTAGAGAATACTGATATCTTGGATTTAGAGGGCTTTGATAACAGGTACGGGTGGCACTCGTACCTGTGGTACTAAAAGGTGAAAGTTCATAGAGGCTTTCTAAATCATATAATCAGAGGATCATTATTTCAAGTATGGGAAAGAAATAAGAACTTGCTGGAAAAGAAAACTCCATGGTGGATCTCACCAATTGATGTCTTAACTGTTAAAAAACTAATATGGAAGGGAAAAGAGCCACCTATGAAGAACTTATCAATAAAACTGATCAGGGCATAAAACTCAAGCCCTATGAGGAGGTAAAGAATGTACTTACGGGATGGTTGCAATACCATCAAGTGAATGATCTGTTAAAAGATGATAAAAAGAAACTGGGATTTGAAGATAAAAATCTAAATTTAATGTAGAAATTATTGAAGGCAAAAACAAAACATTATCTAGGATGTATGACCTTTTACTGGATTGGTATACAAAAGATGAAGAGGTGAAGGAGGCTATGATAAAATGGGCCATAGACATTGGTTACAACATTGACTTTGTAAAGTGGCAGGAATTGTGGAATGTAAATATGAAATTCACGGCGTGTACGGCATTAAGGGAGAATCTCTGGAAGATGATTCATAGGTGGTATCTCACACCAGTGAAATTGGCTAAGATTTACAAACTGAAGAATAAGAAGTGCTGGAAATGTGGAGAGGAAGATGGTGAGTTCTACCACATGTGGTGGACATGCAGGAAAGTAAAAGGCTTTTGGGAACTGATCTACAATGAGCTTAAAAGGATTTTTAAATATACTTTTCCCAAAAGCCTGAAGCTTTCCTGCTAGGAATAGTTGGCAAGGAAATTAAAAAGAGGATAAAAATCTGTTTCTATATGCCACAGCGGCCGCTAGAAATATGTTGGCCCAAAGCTGGAAAACAGAATTAATACCTACTATAGACGACTGGCAGAACAAGATGATAAATTATGTTGAACTAGCTAGAATAACAGGAAGACTAAGAGACCAGGATGACCAGAAGTTTCATGAAAATTGGAATAAATATCTGACGTATATAAGAGATAAGTATAGAACTTTGAGGACTCTGGCAGGGTTAGAATAACTCTAACAGTGTTTGGCAAATATGTAAAGGAGATAAAACATGTAACTTTAGAAATTATCTGATACTTATCAATAAAGTGAAGGGAAGTCCGAGGCTCGGTGGAGCCTATAAATAATTGTGTACTATATATATGATTTTGTAAAAGCTATTTTATATGCAACTTATGTAATCTAGACTGTATATATGTATAATCAATGAAAATTAATAAAAATGTATTAAAAAAAAAAAAAAGGAAATTGTCAAATGGCAATGGTGGTTGCTCGTGAGTAACCAGTCATGACTCTGACCTGTCTTTTACAGGTTTTATTTTGGTGCAAAACTATTTACAGTCCAGAACCACAAGTTCATGTCTGCCTCAGTCGCTAGCAGAATCTGGGAGTGGTCGTTTCCAGGTCCTTCCCCAGCATAAGAGCTTAGTCACCCCCAGCCTTTTCCTTCCTTCTTTGCGTTTTACACCTCTGCGCAAGGTGGGCGACGGAAAAGGCATGCTTCCCTCCTGGCCGGCTTGGCAAGGAGCAGTGCTGAGGCTCCCAGCAGCATCCTCTAGCCCTTTCCCCTCCTTTACCCGGGAGGTGTGGCCTTTCCCACCCTCAGACTACGGAGTAAGGCGCTGGGGCTCCCAGCAGCATCCTCTGGTCCCTTCCCCTCTTCCCCACTGGAGGTGTGGCTTTCCCCACCGCAGGAAGAGGAACTGCTTTGCAAGATTTTCGGAGGTTCCCTGTATCCCAACTGCCCCTCTGCCTCCCTTCCCTGTTCCGATGGCAGTCCCCTGACAGAAATGTTGGCTTCCTTCTGTTATTGCATGCAATTAGGGATAGTTGGATTCCTTAAAGCCTGGTCTCTTTGTTGCTACACGCTTTGAACGCACATGCAAGTGGGGTGATGGCTTTCCATCGCTCTATGAGAATATGTTGAAAAGAATGGCTGCCTCCATGAACACTACTCCCCTCCATGCTGCCGCCATACATTTATGTCCTGCTATGAACATTCTCATTTGCTTTAGATGCCTCTGTGTTAAATTCAAATGGTTTGCCTGCCCCTTTCTACTACTGGCACACATTATTCATCCTACACTTGTAACTGAAACAAAAATTCCAACTCCTCCACTAAAGGTTCATACAATAGCAGATTCAGGATCGGCTGTGTGAAATCTGTAGCAATCATCTACACAACCTGTAAAACTCCGAGAGACTCAAACTGGCAATATCAAAGGGACAACTGCAACTATGCGCTCCAAGACTTCCTGCCCCCATTACTACTTTCTGTCATGTCAATAGGAGGCCACTTCAGAGATGCTGCGTTCCTGCACTCCTCTTCCTCCCAGCAGCAAACACTCCACCTGTGCCATACAATACTGGCCACAAGCAAAATCTACAGCTCTGTCTATGTGTTGCTGTATTCTCCAAGATTCTATTTCAAATCAGAAGTGCTTGGCATAGAGTTCAATTCGTCTGCTGTTAGCTTCATGTGTGAGACAGATCAGATCCTAAATTCTTCCTTCCTATTCAACAGAACATGCCAGTCTTCTTCCTTTTCTTTTTTTAAAGACACCCAGTTAAATTAGCGAAGTTACAGAAGTGGTTTGCTTCAAAGACTGATGGTTCATAGGTTTATACAGTACTTTGGGAGCCTTCCAAAGAAAAGAAGTTGGAAAAATTGTACACTCAGTAACACCAGCTGTGCTCTCTTCTGCCCTAGGCACTGTTAACAAACTGCCAGGTACGTTTCTCTGTTCCAGAATCATCTTTGTAGATGTTGCACGTGGTTAAAAAAAAAAAAAAGACACAGCATGATTTCCGTGTTTTAAAAAGCATGTGTGAGAGAAAGAAACATTGCAAGTAGAATTCTAAAGAGCAGCATTTAAAAGCTGAACAGCTATCAGTAATCACCTCTCACTATACTCATGTTTTCTGATACATTAAAGCAGTAGCTGTCTTATAGTTTACCTCTGCAGCACAGCAATAAATTGGAAATGCTCTGTTTTGCTACTCTGTCGAATGTTTACTTAATCAGCGTGCCATGAAATAATGCCTACAGGCATTGGGTTAGCATCCCCAAGAAACATTACATCACACAGATGTAAGTACTCTCCAGCACAATGGGACTGTTTTTAGCTTAATAATATGTACTGTATCCAAAGTGATGTCTAAAGTGATTAGTAAGCTTTGAAGATCCACATCTAGCATTACAAACTCCCTCAATGTTCACAATGCCCACTGCAACAGGCACTGGCCTATGAATGACATTTTAAATTACACAGTATTATAAATAACAATTTGCGTTCTCTCAAGTGCTTCAACATATGTACCAAGGGCATGTGGAATTTTCAGAAGCAAATTGAACGAAAATATTACCTATTAAATCCTGCAAATAAAAGAGACAGGCAACTGCCAAACAGATGGCTACTAGCACTACCCAATCATTGCTCTTCTTTTGTAAGCCACAGAAAGAATTACAATTGACTTTCCACATTATTAGGAGTACAGTGTTGCATTTTTTTCTATGTGCATAGCCGAAAAGGAGGGGTTCCCCAGATAAGCAGCAGTAGCAGCAGGCCATGCATTTCAATATATTTACCCCTTGCCTATGAACTGAAAACCCTTCACTTGGGCTCTTCACTCTTGGAGTAACAACCCTCTAGGATTGATTCAAATGCCTAGGTACATGTAGCAGAATCACAATGTATAGGAATAAAGTATGTCTGGGGGTGGGGCGGGGTCTGGAAGGAAAGAAAGAATAAGAGGATAAATGGCTGCCATCCACAAATATAATTCTTCAACTGGTTTCTGAAGAAGCACAAAACAAGAGAAAATCCTGAATTTTCTGGTCTTCCCTTGATAATGGACTGGATGAGAGCCAATAAACTGAAGTTCAATTCAGATAAGACTGAGGCACTGTTAGTGGGTGGTTCACTAGACTGGATAGGTAGAAGACTGCCTGCTCTTGAAGGGGTTATACTCCATTTTATCCTTAAGTAGCTTGGGGTGCTTGTGGATCCAATATTGTCATTTTGAGGCCCAGGTGGCCTTGGTGGCACAGAGTGCCTTCTGCCAGCTTCAGCTGGTGGCCCAGCTACACCCCCATCTGAATAGCCTAACTTCTGTGGCCTATGCTCTGGTAACCTCTAGGATGGATTACTGCAATGCAATATACACGGGGCTGCCTCTGAAGGAGGTTTGGAAACTTCAGCTGGTGCAAAATTCAATGAGCAGAATGCTCAACAGAACAAGACAGTTTGAGCACACATATAACACCAATCCTGCGCCAGCTGCACTGGCTTCAAATTAGTTTCCTGGCCCTGTAAAGCCTTGCATGGCTCAGGACCTCAACACCTTAAGGATCACCTCTCCCCATACAAATTGACCTGGACCCTGTACTTGTCATTGGAGGTCCTTCTCTATGTCTCACCTCCCTGAGAGGTCCGGAGGGTGGCAACATGAGAATGGGCCTTTTCTGTAGTGGCTCCCTGACTGTGGAATGCTCTCCCCAGAAAGGTTTGCCTGGTGCCATCACCACATGTCTTTAGGCAACAGGCAAAAACATTCCTCTTTACCCAGGCCTTTAGCCATTAAATAATCTATGGCCTGTTAAAGCGGTGTGTGTGGGTGGGTGTATGTGTGTGCTGCTGTTATTATGATCATTTTTTATGCTTTTTGTTATTATGCTTTTTATTATACTTTTATTATTGATGCTCCGTAATGTGTTCTTAACGTTGTACACTGCCCTGGTATCTTTTGATAAAGAGCAGTATATAAATTGAATTAACAACTACAAGACAACAGCTTCACTGCTGTTTATGTAGCAGGCACTGACTGGATATTCTGTATCTGATATATATATACTTGCACATGCTTATGTTTCAGTAATCACATCTATTTTGTCGTTATTTGGGTTCCTGCAACTATGTCTTTTTCTTTTTCTTCATATGTTCCTATGTTCATCCTGCTATGTTCTTTGTGCACCAGTGGGCATGACCCAGTTGCTATGTGTGGGGACTCCGGCACTCATTTAGTTTAACCATTGTGGTGGATGCCATTATATGACTCCCATTCATTTCTTAAAACTGATCGTTTAATGATCACAAACATGAATGCATACACTCATACACAAATATTTTAACGACAGAGAGGTATAGCATTATAAACACCATACTGCTATAATGCTAATTTATTAGCTATAATACAGGTATAGTGCTGTAACACTCTACTACAATAATTCCACAGCAGTATGGTGTCATAGGAATATTTCTCTTTCACGTTTTTTATAAAGGTGGATTTTTAAAATGAAGTAAAAAGTGGTGCTCAACACAAATGTTATCGTAATGGTGTGCCAAGGTGTGCTTGGGTCAGTTATCCTGTCTGTCATGGAAAAACTGCACCCTTTAGAAAAGACTGAAGAGTGCATTAAAGGTAAATACATCTGTGAAGTTTCAAGTACTCCTTCCATTCAAGTACTCCGTATGAACCCAGAGAAAATCCAGGATGACAATGAATGAACGACAGTGCTGTGTGGATGCTCTGTAACACTGAGTGAATGAAGCATGGCAATTTCATACTAAATGCCTGTGGGGAAACGTTGGCTCATTCAGAGAAACATGTTAATGGACACCATAAAATGGGCTCGTAAGGTCAGATACAGAAAGAGAGCCTTATTATATGGCTGTTCAGCAAGTTTTCACTTCACGGAAAATGTATTCCACTATCTGGGAATGATGATCAGCCTTGGCTGTCTCCCCATGCCAAAAGTTACTTTACTGAACACCGAATGATACTAATCTATTATTTAGTATGGGTATTCATTAAAATTCTCACAGCAGTTTAAAATAGGACTCGGTGTAAAAATACAATTTAGCTAAAGTAAGTTTGAATAACTGAGGGGGGAAACTATTAAAGCTGTAACTCTATCTGTGTCTTTAATTCAGTTCTTTCAGTTAAATCTTTCTCTCCCCATCCTGTAACCTTCTCTTTACAGCAACTTTGAAGCTTTATATCAAAGAGCTTCTCCTTGTCCTTTAATAGAGCTCTACAAGGGTAAATTATTTCCCCAGATGCTATATGGAGCATTGGTGTGGGCTCATTCGGACATCACAGTACACGAATCAGTACAGCATAAATTATTACCTAGAATGGTGGAGTAACCAGATCTACTTCTAAGGCCTTTGTTCAATCAGAGACAGTCTGCCATATTCAGCAAGAATGCTTGCTAGGAAAGAAGTAACTCCCCTTTAAGCATCACTCCATTTTTATTGGATGCTACAGATTTTTAAATGTCATACAGGACTGCCAATGTTTAAAAATAGGCCATGGGGAAGCAAAAGTGATTGACGATCTCTGGAGATCACGCGTTAATCTATACTGCTGTGATTTTGTGAGGGAAATCTTGTAACTAGCATACCATGGCAATGTACCATGTATTCTGATGCTCTGTTCTTGGTCTTGAGCTATGTATACTATTATATATGTGTGTCTGCATAAGCCGTGAGCGATTAACTTTCCTTATTTACTTATTAAAGAGGTTGCTCTAATTTTATACCAATAAACAGAAGAAAAACAGTAATGGAGCCCACAAAGGATTAAAAGGCTTTGATTGATACCCAAATGATAATGTCCAGGAAGCTTCTCTTGTGAAAATTTTTCATAACTGGGAGCCACCACTGAGAAAGCCCTGTTCCTGGTAGCTATCTCCCTTGCCTCTGATGGCAGGGCACCCACAGAGGCCCTTTGGTTGCAAGGCATAGGAAGGTATATGCAGAGGCAGGCCATGCTTCAATTCTCCCATGCAAAAAGAAGGGTTTTCATCTAATTGCTGGTTTTGCCCTTCTAGTTGGAGCTAGAGATTAGTCGAGTGCTGAAAATATCTCCTCCTTTAAGAAAACCAAACTAAAAACCGAACTCATTGTATAACAATTAATAAGAAAATAAACTGCATTCAAAAATTATCAAAGGGGGGAAATGGGCATGGGCCAAGAGTTCTGTTGCACTTTCCTTATTTACACGGTGGCTGCTGCGGTTTGTGAGCATGCTTTCTTTCATCCTACAAGTCTCCCCAGTGGTCTGCATTCTGAAACCTCACCAGGTGACTGCACTTCCTAAAAAAACTCACAACAATAAGGTACACTCAACCCTATTCCCACCAAAATTGTTAAGAAGTTCTAAATCACCCCAGAAATGCAGCAAAAAAGTAACCACCCTAGAAGCCTATTTCACAGTGGGAGGGGTTGGTTTTGCGGGAGTGGTGGTGGTTGTTTTTGAAGAATGGAAGACAGATTTCAGCACAGCACAGCCACAGTCAGTGCAACTAATGCAGCAAGGGCATGATGTGATCATAGTACCCAGTCCCAGTTAGTAAACTAGCAGCAGCACCTTCAAAAGCAGCACCAAGTACTACAGTTGTTTAACCAGGAACTCACCAGAGCAAGGCTATCTCTGTCTAGACAACACTGGTCTAAGCATTCTGTGGCACCAAACAACTAGTGCTTGACAATGATGAATCAATGAGAAACAACTGACTGCAAACATAATCCGTCAGCAGAGTGCAACCCAGTCAACCACAAGATGAACACCTCAGTCTTTTCTGGACTGAGCTTCAATTTGTTGGCCCTTATTCAGCCCACTAGCACAGCGAGACGCTGGATTTAGCATTTCCTCTGCTTCACCTAAACTAGATGTGGAGTAGAAACAGAGTTGGGTGTCACCCACATGTTGAGAATATTCTACCTCAAACCTCCAGGTGAACTTACGCAATGGTACCACTCTGAGGCATCACTGTGTTACTATTTGTTTTAGGGCGAGTGGTGCATGAAGTGGCGCGTGGGCATTTGTTGTCAGTCTTCTGTATCTCCACCCTGAGCTGACTGTTACTTGCATAGGGCATTTTGTTGGGTAGTGTCACTTGAAAGGATAACAAAACCAGAATTTGTGGCTGAATGCAATCAGCGACGCCGTATCTACTGTTGCTTCCACACTTCTCTTGGGATTCAATTAAACAACAACAACACTGTTCTGGCTCATATTTGTCACTGGAATAATCCTGTTATATTTATATTTCAATAATGTGAAATGCTAAGTTCTGAGGTTAGATGTCTAGCACATAGTTGCTATGAATTTTCTGTTCCCCTGACTCCCCTCAACATGTCTGAAAGATCCCAAATCTCCCAGCACCTCCATTTCACACCCTGCATTTTGCTAGTGCTGCTTAAGCCTTTATTGAAATGTTATCCGCAGCTGTACAGTTCAAGCACTAAGAATACAACAGGAGCCCTGCTAGGTCAGATCAAAGGCCTATCAAGTACTGCATCCTGTTTCCTGTAGTGATGAATGAGACGCCAGTCTAGGAAGTCTCCTAGCAAGATGCAATTGGGATATGAGCTGTGCAAGTACCTATTTTCAGATTATTTTTCAATCCAGTTGTTCACAGTAGGACTGATTTGTAGGCAGGCATAGGAAATAACTCCCCCAAAATTAAATGGCCAAGTTGAGGATCATCAAGAAAGGGAGGAGCAGTCACCTATTTCTTGCTCACAGAGCCAATACCCCAATGAAGAGTGGAGGTGGGACAGAAAGGTTGCCAAACCAGTTCCTCAAGCTAAAGCCATTTCAGTGTTCCAAGTCTAGCCAGGCCCACTGAGATTGGGGTATTGGGTCAACAGGTGGTAGGGCCCCCAGACTCGGAGCTAGCTTTCTTTTTTTACAAAATAATAATCCTTCTAGAAAGAAGCAAAATGTGTTCTGTGTTCACTGTACCGCTAAGATCTTGAACAAGCAGTCATCGATAACCACAAGTTTCCTTTCTACAACAGATCATCAGAAAAAGGTACTGATCACCATCAACAGAAGTCACATATTAAAGGGTATCAGACTTGAAATTAATTACAATGGAATCTTTTATTCCTGGTAATTTTCCAAGAATGGAAAATGTTAGAAGCTACATAAACTGCTCATACTATGAAATCTTACACATTTTTTTAAACATAATGCATTAACTACTACTTCTTTTTACTCCATTGTTGGGCACATGCAAAGCATTTTACGATAAAATACTATTCAGCATTGGTAAGGAATAAAGAATTTAGTACTTACCAACATAGCCAACCTGTAGCAAAAACAATGCTACCGCCAATATGGCTGCACCAATGACTAAGAAACTTTCCATTGGTTGAAACCAAGATGCTATAAGAAAAATATAGTAAAAAATACAAATTTTAGTTTGATTTAGCAACACAAAACAAGCAAGTCTTATTGCATTAATTAATATACTGACCCGACATTAGCTCTGGGGTTTACTTTGGAGACCACAGGAGGAACCAAACACTCACAGTCCAAACTGTCATTTTTCTAAGTTTCATTTTCATAAAATGACAGAATTGTGTATTTTTACTGTTCTCCCTTGGGCATCCCCCCCTACACCCAGTATCTTAAGAGTAACAGCTTCTCCATCTCAACAGACTGGCTCATTTCCAGGGGGACAGACTGAACATTAGAAAACTATTCTCTAGTTTCATTTTGACATTCCAAAAGTCCTTGACATGGAACAGACTATTGATAGATTACATCAAAAATCTTTATATGCCATTCACTAGTACAACTGAGTAAAGTTATTAAATATGTGCACACACATTAAAATATGAATGTTTAATTGTTGATTGCCTTCAAGTATGCTATTATCAAAGGAAATTGAAACAAGTTTAAGATGCTATTAAAAAGTTATCAAGAACTTGTTACTTTTATTCTTCTTTGATCTCATGTCTACCACAAAGTCAATTAATTCATGCCTAAATCTGGATCAATATACTAACAAATTGAGACTCAGAACAAGTTGTACCACAGTGGCATCTTATCCATCCCAAATACTTACAGACTCTATATTACCATGGTAGTTTACATAGAACTTCATAATCTAAAAATAATATCACATTTCTTCTGCAAAGCCAAGTAAAGCTATTTGGCTAACAAAAGCAAGACCCTAGATAAAAAACACTGCAATGGATTTTAGCCTTTGGCATGCTTACTTAAATTTTTTTTACTTCTATATAAATAATTTTTATTGAGATTTAAGATCACCCACCAACACCAGTAAAACATCAAATCTTATTACATATATCCTACTTTATGCTCCGTAGAGCTGTTGACTTCCGTCCTTCCCTTCCATCAGTTTTCGTATTCTATTCTATAGTTCACAGTTTCTTTGATTAGATATTACAACATGACATAAGATTTACTTCAATCCTGCCAAAGTTTTCAAATTTGTACAGTTCTTACTTATATAGATAAAAAATTTACACCATTCTTTTTGGTACTTTGTCTCCTCCTGATTGCGAATTCTGTGTGTCAATTTAGCCATCTCAGCGTATTCAACCAGCTTTATCTGCCATTCTCCTATTGTCGGCATCTCCTGTTGCTTCCACTTTTGAGCTATCAGAACTCTGGCTGCTGTTGTTGTGTACAAATATAATCTTTGATCAGTCTTCTTAATATCTTCTCCCACCAAACCTAGCAAGAATTCTTCCGGCTTTTTGGGAAAGCTATACTTAAACATCTTTTTTAACTCGTTATAAATCGATTCCCAGAACTCTTTTAATTTATTACATGACCACCACATATGAAAGAAGTCGCCATCCTTTTCCTTGCATTTCCAGCAAGTTTTACTACTAGTTCTGTACATTTTTGCCAATTTGGTGGGAGTAAGATACCAACGATAGACCATCTTCATAACATTCTCTTTTAAGGCAGAACAAGCGGTGAATTTTATACTCTCATTCCAGAGTTTGGCCCATACATCATAGTCTATGTTGTGTCCTAGATCAATAGCCCATTTTATCATAGCCTCTTTTATAAGTTCGTCTTTTGTATTCCATTCTAATAGGAGATTATACATTTTTGAAAGTAGTTTAGACTTACTTTCTATAATGTCTATTTGAAATTTCGATTTTTTTGTCTTCAAATCCTATTTTTTTGTCCTCTTTAAAAACATCATTGACTTGATCGTATTGCAACCATCCTGTCAATTTTCCAGCAATACAATCATAAGGCTTCTATTTCCAACCTTTTTCAGCCTTCATAAGAATCTCCTCATAGGTGGCCTCTCTCCCTTCTATGTTCAGTTTTTTAACTGTTAACATATCAATTGGTGACACCCACCACGGTGTTTTCCTTTCCAACAAATTCTTGTTTCTGTCCCAGACAGACTTACCTGGCAGGGGAGATACCATGATCACAATTTTTTTTTTACTTCTGATCAGGCCAGTCCTTGAAATGCAAGAATACTGCGCAGAAACACAATGACAATTCAAGGAGCACAACATGACCTAACTTCTACAACTGCTATTGCCAGATTGTGATAACTACTTCCTTCTAATGGAATAAATCTGGCCATGCAAGTAAGCAGGAAAGAATCAAACTTCTTGAATGGAACAAACTGATTATACCCAGGAGCAGATTCAGCTTGTACACTTCAGCAGCTTGTCAGCTACTCACTAGTTATGAACAGTGCTATTTGTGACATTAAATTCTTAGTACAAGCCAGGTCCCACAACAAAGCCATTAAGCTCAATTCAAAGGCTAAATCCATCTATCTATCTATCTATCTATCTATCTAAACTGAAGAACCAGCAGTGACAAAAAAAAAAAAAAGCAACATCTAAGCTAGCTCAGTCAGTAGAGCATGACTCTTAACCTCAGGGTCATGGGTTTGAACCCCACATTGGGCAAAAGATTCCAGCATTGCAGAGGGTTGGACTAGATGATCATTGGGATTCCTTTCAACTCTACAGTTCTATGATTCCATCTACTTTAAAGGCCACAACAGAACTGAACTAGCACTTGCAAGTTGCAAGAGTAAACAAACATGGAAAAGAGTGAACATGAAACATCCAAAATTATGCAAAGGAACTGGTGGAAAGAGTGTAATCATACAGACAAAAGGTCTACAGCTCATTAAGGGCTGCAAAATGAATGTTCTTGCAGAGGCCTTTATCAACAATACATGAAGTGGAGACTATGGAACGGTCCGTAACACTTCTGCAGAGAGAAGTCTGCTCTACACATCTGCATGATCTGGGAATGGAGATTTGTCTTCTTCTTGCATCCCCTTGGAATGATAAGGTCACAAGGCTGGGAGAGGTTGCGGACCCAGCCTTGTTCCTCAACGCTAAGGTAGCAGCCATTGCTAGGAGTACTATGGGCAGGGGGTGTATCACTTATGTCCCTTCCTGGATAAAGCCGATTAGCCAGTGACATACATGCCTTGGCCATGCCCAGACTGGATTACTGTAGCACACGCTACATAGGGCTACCTCCAAAAGCATCTGCTTCTGCAGATCTGGGACCAAGGCATCTCTGGCATCCTGCCATATGATCCTGTCTGCCCACTGCATTCAACATGCAAGGTCAAACAATGCATCCCACCACATTCAGAAGGACAACTGGCTTGAGTGTGAGACATGGCCTATTCTACTTTAGCATCCAGCAACTTGTGGAACTCCCTCTTTAAAAAGACTTGGTTTGCTCTCTATCTCTGAAGCTCAAGGCAAGCTGTCAAGACCTTTGATTTTGGCAAGTTTTTAATATGAGTTTTAAATTTAAATCTCCTTGTTTTTATGTTGAATTCCCCTTGGGGTTTTTACTGCATGCAACTCATTCTGGTAATTGAACTGCTCCTACTGTGCTTTAGGTCTTGAATGAACTTTTTTGGAAGCCACCTTGAGTTTACTTTATTAAAAGAAATCTAGCTACATATTTTTTTCAAAATTAAGAAGACCCAGCTGAAAACACAGTTCTTCATTCTTATCAGTTCATGCTGGCAATTTAGTTGCACTAGGCTACATCAAAAAACATTTGAAAGAAGAATTAGCAATTCCATCCAAATTAGCAGTTAAGAATACAGATGGGGAACAAGCTGCCTGGGACCCAGAACCAGCCTCTAAAGGCTTTGAGTGGATGGACATCCCACTAAAATATTTACTGGTGGTAGCAGTGTTGCTGCTTCCATTTGGTTTTCTTTAAAAGACCCACTGTACAGAATTCATTAGGAATAGTAGCAACAGAAATGACACTTGAGGCACTGCTACTGCAGGGGAAATGTCTCTCTTGGCTGATTTGTTTGTGGAAGGGGGGGCGTTATTGGTTTGTTGTTGTTTTTATTATTATGTGTTTTGTGTTCTCATTTTGTATTTTCATGTCGCGAACCAACCTGTGATTTTCGGATGAAGGGCAGCATGCAAATTTAATAAATACTCCTAATAAATAAAAACAAACCACAGAGTCCAGGAGAATCTTTAGCAGTGGTGGGGAACCTGTGGCCATTCAGATATTGATGGACTCCAACTCCCACCAGCACCAGCCATCATGCCCAATGGCCAGGTATGAGTCACTATTACAGGCATCTAGCAGTTCGAAAGCAAGTCAAAGTGCAAGTAGATAAATAGGTATCGCTCTGGCAGGAAGGTAAATGGCATTTCCGTGCGCTGCTCTGGTTCGCCAGAAGTGGCTTAGTCATGCTGGCCACATGACCCGGAAGCTGTACGCCGGCTCCCTCGGCCAATAAAGCGAGATGAGCGCCGCAACCCCAGAGTTGGTCACGACTGGACCTAATGGTTTACCTTTACCATTACCTTGGACCCCACTAGTACAAAAATGCTTCAATGCTCATGGCTAGTTACAGTGCAGTTAAGGAGCACTGAAGAGTCTTTCTCTGCCCCCAAATAGGTGTCAGAACTGAATCATGGCTCCAGTTTCCTCTCGAAACATACCGTGACACAACACTGTCAATTGTTAAAGGTAAATTGAGCTATCATGTTAGTCAGCTAAAATTGCTTATCCTTCTGCACTTCATATAGCTACATTATACAAATGCAGGCAATTACAGACCGTCTACGAATGAAATAATGCTGTGTGTTCAGAGTAGGATAATTTGATCTAGCCATTTCTTACACAGAATTCTTGAATAACAAAATCCCAAAATTCAACTAATGGTTATAAACAAGCTGCAGGCCAAATGTAAATTGACTTTTAGAGTCAATTCCATTTCCAGAATTGATTACAAAAGTATTAGAATTCTGAGTTGCCATTACTTGAACATTCTTGAAATTCTTGGTGTATCATGCTTTCAGGAATGCCCCCGTGCATCACTGCCATTTCCTTTCTAACCAGAAGGTGGCATTACGCTTCCTTTGTGAGCTTGGGCAGCTTTTACAACTACATTTTAAAGGTATGTTTTGCCTAAGATTCAGGAAAATCACTTCTGAGAATAAGGACAATTTTGTTGTCAAGAACTGGAAGTGGAAACGTTTCAACAATAAAGAAAATTAAACAAAAGGGGGGGAAAGGAATATACATTTCTATATCAATTTCAACACTCATCAAGACATTTACCACAAGCGATAATCTCAAATCCCATAGTTCTACAAATGTGTATAATTCAGCCTGATTAATTCCATTAGAACTGAATAATAAACACATTTTAAAACTCAAGAACCAAAAGAACAATCAGCCTATATATTTCAATTCCAGTTCAAGTTGCATTGCACCTGTAGCCAAAACAGCAATATCCATGGAGAAGAAAGATGTACATATACATAGGAGTAAAGCTCTTGCTGCTGCATTAGCTCAATACAGACAAGATACATTGTACCTCACTACCCTCAGAAGTGTAAGGAATGACGACCCGAGAGGGCCTTTTCTGCGGTAGCCCCTAAATTGTGGGACTCGCTTTCCACAGAGGCATGCATGTCTAGTATTTTCATCAAACAACTTTCGCCTTGTGCTGAAGACATCTCTCTTTACATTGGCCTTTGGTGCCCCATAAGGCTCCGCATTTGTAAGAAACCAGCCTTTTAGTGTGGCAGTACCCACTATTTGGAACTCCCTGCCTACTCACATCTGGCGGATGCATCCAGTGCACTCCTTTCGGCACCTGCTAAAAACATTTTTGTTTACACAAGGCTACCCACACATGCAGAATGTTTGTATGTGCTTTAATCTGATTTATGATTTAGTTAGCTGCTTTCGATAGTCTTTTCCTTGTAATTTTATTGTTGTTGGGTTGTTGTTGTTTTGCAAACTGCATTGAGCTTGCTGTTTTTTAAAAAATCAAGCAGTACATAAATTATATGAAATGAATAAGCATAAGGGCATAATCAAACTGCCTTATACCGAGTGAGGCCACTGATTCAACTAGCCAAGTCCTGTGTATTTCAGGGGTAGCCAACATGAAGGCCTCCAAATTTTGTTGGAATATGGCTCTCATAACCCCTGACCATGCTGGCTGAGGCTGATGGATGGTCTCACTCAGAGAGGCCCAGTATCAAAGAGTTTGGACTCAATTGCACCTGTTGAAGGTGTTTTGTAAGGCTGCTTCCTGGGTGTCTGTGTCTACTTCTGCAAAGCACTACTAAACTGACATTTCTACCTCTGCTAATTCCACTCTCAACACAAAGGCTCTTCCTCATTCTTGTCCAAATGTGGCTGCCCAACTCAGGGTGTCAAGGGACATTGCTACAGTACATCCCTAAGCAGGTTGATCTCCAACTCCAACAAAAATGAAATTAGACTTATCATAAGCCTTTGTTCTACTTTGATTTGGGAGGACATCCTGCCCACACCTGGTCCAAGGCTGTTCCTCACAGACTAGCCTATGAAAGCCTCTTTCATCATTATTTGAGTTGTGATTCCCAGAGGAAGAGAGATTGTCCATATTCTGCCTCACTCTACTTCATACTGGATGCTATTAGTTTGCCTTGTTGATTTAGCAAAGTTACATAGTCTCCTAAGAAGTAGCGATTAGTCTACTTCCAGTCTCTGACAATTTCACACCCATTCATTCAAAAATCCATTCTGTCCATAAACCTGACTTTTCTATTAAAAAACCCCCAAATCTGTATGAAAGTTCACATTTAAAAACATTTAAATACAAATTTTATTTCAACACACACATTTCTAAGCATATTTTATTCTAAAATATACATTTTATAATGGATTTGTGTACTTTTTTGAGGCAAAAATTGTACTGCACAATTCCAAGAAGTGGATAATCTGAAAAATAATTATGCTCCAATTCTTGTACAGGAGCTAAAAATTAGGTCAGTTTGCCAGGTAAACAAATGGACAGAACAAGGCCCTCCATCCCTGCTTAAGAGGATTCCCCCCACCCCGCATATCTATGGCTTGTCTCAAACTGGGTGCCTAACTAAATTCATTAAAATTCTGCCTCTGGAAACAGATGGTGAGGATTATTTTATTCATTTTATTTGTCACTTACTAAAAACTAGAAGATAATAATAATAATAATAATAATAATAATAATAATAATAAATTTTATTTATATCCCGCCCTCCCCAGCCGAAGCCGGGCTCAGGGCGGCTAACAACAATCAAATAATCAAACAATCAAATAATCCAACATTCTAAAAACATTTCATTATAAAAATTAATTAAAATCAAATTAATGGCAACCGTTGAGCAAAATTCTGCGCAGGTTGCCAGAGGAGGGAGTCAGGCTGGGCCCTGACCAAAGGCCTGGTGGAACAGCTCTGTCTTGAAGGCCTTGCGGAAAGATGTCAGGTCCCGCAGGAACTTAGTCTCTTGTGACAGAGCGTTCCACCAGATTGGAGCCGCGGCCGAGAAAGCCCTGGCTCTAGTTGAGGCCAGCCTAACCTCTCTGAGGCCTGGGACCTTCAGGATGTTTTTATTTGCAGACCGTAGGTTCCTCTGTGGGACATACCAGGAGAGGCGGTCCCGTAGGTACGAGGGTCCTAGGCCGTATAGGGCTTTAAAGGTTAAAACCAGCACCTTAAACCTGATCCTGTACTCCACCGGGAGCCAGTGCAGCTGGTATAGTACCGGATGAATGTGATCTCGCAGCGAAGACCCCATAAGGAGTCTCGCTGCGGCATTCTGCACCCGCTGGAGTTTCTGGGTCAGTCTCAAGGGCAGCCCCACGTAGAGCGAGTTACAATAATCCAGTCTGGAGGTGACCGTCGCGTGGATCACAGTGGCTAGGTCAGGGCGAGAGAGGTAAGGAGCCAACTGCTTAGCTTGGCGGAGATGAAAAAATGCCGCCTTTGTTATAGCTGCAAGCTGCGCCTCCATAGAGAGGGAGGTATTGAAGATTACACCCAAACTCTTAACGGATGGTGCGGGCACTAATTGCACCCCCGCAAGAGATGGGAGTTTCCCCCCCAATCCCATATCGTCCCGTCCCAGCCAGAGGACCTCTGTCTTCGAAGGATTTAACTTCAACCGGCTCCCACGTAACCATCCAGCCACAGCTTCCAAACATCTGGTCAGTGTGTCTGGGGCCGAGTCAGGATGGCCATCCATCAACAGATAGAGTTGGGTGTCATCGGCATACTGATGGCAACCCAGCCCAAAACTCCGGACAAGCTGGGCGAGGGGCGCATAAAGATGTTAAAAGCATCGGGGAGAGTATCGCACCCTGAGGCACTCCACACACCAAGGAGTGGCGCGATGACAATTCCCCCCCAAGCGCCACCCTCTGTCCCCGACCAGAGAGAAACGAGCGCAGCCATTGAAGGACTGTGCCCTGGATCCCCACGTCGGCAAGGCGGTGGTCCAGGAGTTCGTGATCGACCATGTCGAAGGCTGCTGACAGGTCTAGAAGAATCAGCAGCCCCGACCCGCCTCGATCCGGCTGCCTGTGGAGATCATCTGTTAGGGCAACCAGAGCCGTCTCGGTCCCATGACCAGCGCAGAAGCCGAACTGGAATGGATCCAGAGCCGATGTTTCATCCAGAAACCTACCAAGCTGTTCAGCAACCGCTCTCTCAATCACCTTACCCAGGAATGGAAGATTCGAAACCGGGCGGTAATTGGATAGATCTAAGGGATCTAATGATGTTTTCTTTAAGAGCGGGCGCACCACTGCCTCCTTCAATTCCCCTGGAAATATCCCGGTGCCAAGAGACAAATTGATGATATCCCCAGGGGGGCCCGCACCTCGTCTGGACACGCTCTAATCAGCCAAGACGGGCACGGGTCAAGAGGACAGGTGGTGGGCTTTCCAGCTCGGAGGAGTCTGTCCACATCGGCTGGGGATATCCGGTCAAAGTGGTCCAATACTGGACCCGAGGACAGTCGAGGGGCCTCCAGTTCCTTTATTGTATCCAAATTGGCAGGGAGGTCATGGCGGAGCAACAGGACCTTCTCTGCAAAATAGCTCGCAAATGCCTCACAGCTGTGTGTCAGATTGTTATTTAAATTTGGCTGTCCTTCAAGGGACGTTAAAGACCTAATTATACTAAATAATTGCGCCGGGCGAGAGCTAGCGGATGCAATGGAGGCCGAGAAGTAAGACTTCTTAGCGGCCTTCACTGCCATCTCATAGGTTTTCATAAAAACCCTATAAGATGTTCTTGAGGCACCCCGCCATACTCGCTCTAGCCGTCTGAGGTCCCGCTTCATTTTCCGAAGCTCCTCGGTAAACCAGGGAGCCCGGTTTCTGTGGAGTCGCAGAGGGCGCTTAGGTGCGATCTCATCTATGGCTGCCAGGAGCTGGATATTCCAGCCCTCAACAAGCTCAGTCAATGAGTCGCCAGGGGGAGCAAGGTCCCGCAAGGCTTGACGGAATCTATCAGGGTCCATCAGCCTCTGTGGGCGAGCCCAAATCGGCTCGCCACCTAAGCAGGGTGGGGGTGGAAAGTCAATCCTGGCTTTCAGAGCGTAGTGATCAGACCATGGCACCTTCATCGAAGGAGACATGATCACATCTATACCTACGCCAAAGATCAAATCCAGCGTGTGGCCTGCTTGATGTGTGGGGCCTGAAACAAACTGGGAGAGCCCTAGTGTCGCCATGGAAGACACCAGGTCCAGAGCCTGTGAGGAGGGAGTGGCATCAGCATGGATGTTGAAGTCCCCCAATACCAATAGGTTAGGGAACTCCAAGGCCCAGCCGGCCACCGCCTCCAGCAGGCCTGACAGGGTGGCTGCTGGTGCGCTAGGTGGCCGGTACACCAGCCAGACAGCCAAGCTCACCTCAGAGCCCCACACTAGGCCAACACATTCAATGCCGGGGATCGATGGCGATGGTAGAGCCCTGAAAGAACAATCTTCCCGGATTAATAATGCCACCCCTCCCCCCCGGCCCACAGTCCGTGACTGGTGGAGGACGGAGAAACCCGGGGGCGCCATCTCTCGTAAGGTAACTGTTGCCCCTTCGCGCACCCAGGTCTCCGTCACACAAGCCAGGTCAACCCCCTGCGAGGTGAAGAAATCTCGCAGAGTGGTGGTTTTGTTGCCTATAGACCTGGCATTGCACAACACCAGTGACGGAGGTGAGTAATCCTTGCTCACCCTACCCTCGTCCCTCGGGATGGGGCGCAGATTGGAAGGGGTACGAGCATATCCGTATCTCGATCCCCTTCGCCTATAACATCTGCCCCCACCACCATACCTCCCTCGCCCCTCCATGATAGCAATCCCAAGCCTCATACAAGCCTCCATTTACAAAATAGAAAAACAAAACAAACCAAAAACAATTATACCTAAACAAAACCCCATCCCAAACCACAATAAAACGGAAGAAAATAAAAATACATAGATAAAAACCACTGTTCACGGTGGTAAAACAAAGTAAAAAGTAAAAACACCTTTAAAACACTTTAAAATATATAAAAACATAAGCACCAACTAAGAGCAAAATGTCTGAGTGAATAGGAACATCTTCACCGGGCACAGAAAACTAATAGTGATAGTGCGAGGCACATCTCTCTAAAAGGAACATTCCAGTCAGGGAGCCACAACCGAGAAGGCCCCATCTCATGCTGCAACCCTCCACACCTCCACTGGAAGGAATACACAGGTGATGAACATAGGGTTCAGGTAGGTTTACATGGGACAAACCAGTGCCTAAGATATTGAGGTCCTGAGCTGCACAAAAATAGCACTTTGAATTAAGTCTGGAAATGAACTGGCAGCCAGTACAGTTATACAATCAAACCTCCTACTTCTAGTCAACAATCCGGTTCCTGAACTCTCCATTAGCTGCTGTTTCCAAACTGTCTTCAAGGAAGACCCACATATCACGCATTGCAGCAACCTAACCTAGAGATTACCAGAGCGTAGACAACAGAAGCTAGGCTATCCTTGTCCAGATAGGGTCACAGCTGGGACACCAACTAAAGATGCTGAAGGCACTCTGCACAATTTGTGCACAATTTGTGCTTCTGGCGAACCAGAGCAGCGCATGGAAACGCCGTTTACCTTCCCACCGGAGTGGTACCTATTTATCTACTTGCACTTTGACATGCTTTCACACTGCTAGGTTGGCAGGAGCAGGGACCGAGCAACAGGAGCTCACCCGTCGCGGGGATCTGAACTGCCGACCTTCTGATCGGCAAGGCCTAGGCTCTGTGGTTTAACCCATAGCACCACCCGTGTCCCCCACAACTTCATCTAGAACAGCTTAAATCCCACCTACCCAGTCAAAGGAACCACCTGCTAACAGTGCTTCAGTGTTACCCGGATTGAGCTTCACTTTATTGGCTCTCGCCAACCTAGCATATCCCACAGCTGCCAATGTGAAGGGCCCAGGACACATGTAGCCACCTGCATTGATCCAAGCACCTTTCCCACATCCTTGAGACATACCAGCTGAAGCTCATCCAACAAAAAGAACCAGACACTGCTCTGGATACCTCTTAAGATTCACCTACTATATTGTATAGGGAAGGGGTAGCCCGGTGTGGAAGAAAATACCATTCTAGCCACTATGAATGCAAACCAGCAGCCTAAGCCTCTTCAGCCTGAATGATGTATCACCACCAGAAGCAAGCATTGCCAAAAGTGTGCACTGCCACCTTGCCTATGGCTTGCTTGACTCTCCTCCACTTACCACACTGAACATCCAATGAATGACAGAGGGACAATGCTCATCTTAATCATGGTGCCAGGGAGGGGGAGGGGCTGAAACCTCTCCTCCATCCAGCCCAACTTTACAAGGAGATACATATTGTCCCTTCCTTATTTTGCCATCCACTGTGCTGTTTACAAACCTCATATGGGAACATTGGGACTCTGCAACCCAGTGCATGCTGCCTTCTTGTGGAGAAAAGGTTTATGATATTTTATTGCAGCCACCTTAACCTGCTGCACTGTTTGGTTTTGTGGTTTTCAGACTGGCTGCGTTTTATGAGCTGCATTGGATTTTGGTAACGAAACGAAGGGTGCAGGTACTTTAAATACACTGTGGAATTCACAAGGATAAAAGAAAACTGTCTAAAATCAAGATGCAAGCAGGAGTGGCTCCCCTGGCAGGGAAGAGGAAACAGTCTCCTGGCAGGGTCATCACTAGTTTACATGAATGGGGAGAGGTAAAGTGAAGGCAAGGTCAGGGCTAATTGGCATAGCAGCAGGAGCACTGGATTGGTTCCACTGGTGTGACTGCACAGCCCTGACATCACTACATTCTTGCCCCTCCTGATAAGTGGCAAAGAGGACCAGTGACAATGGTATTCTGATGTTGCTCCTAACCTCAGTTTGTATTGATGATTATTAGTGTTATATATTATTAGTGCTTTATTTTACGCCTGCTTCCCTGGTGTTTGTCCTAGCACGGCTTCAGATTTGCTACCAATTTGTGGTTGTAGGTACTTGCATTAATCCCATGTTTTGTAATGGCATTGTGCCACAGACAAAAATTAAAATTTAAATCACTTACCGTATTTTTCCGTGTATAAGACTAGGTTTTTTCCTTTAAAATAATGTCAAAAATTAGGGGGTGTCTTATACACGGGGCCATCTCCCCCCATTTTCTTAAATCTGAGTCCCCCAAAATAGGGGGCATCTTATACATGGGGGCATCTTATAGACGGAAAAATATGGCACTTTATTACCACTGTAATTTATTATACTGTAATTTTCCATTCCATTGCCCATTCATCGAGTTTGAGGAGATCCTTTTGGAGCTCTTCAAGCATGCCTGAAACATTACCATCTCAGATAAATCCGCTGTCACCTACCTGCCAACATGGCTTCTTGCACCCCAACAAACTTGTTTGCCAGCTACAAATGATCCTGGCCCTCTAGGAAGCAGAACACCAAGAAACAGATTCTCCAACCTCCAGCAAAGCTCTTCCCAAGTCATAGAGGATTTGGTGGAACGTTTCTTGTGCTGTGCTGAGCAAGCCGAAACACGTTCGCCAAAACTCAGTGCAACACGAGACTTCTGTCTGCAAGACACAGCATGAGAAGCCACACTGGGCACACTGCCCATTGTAAAGCTCAATAGAGAGCGCCACCCCACCCTGCCCTCCTCTAGCAGCCACAGAAGTCTCAGGGGAGGGAAAGACTCCATTGTCAGCACCAATTCTAGCTGGCTACTAAACTAAAATGTGTGGACCCCTGGCTACTTTGTCATTCACCCAAGAATCCAGATAAATTATACATGGGCCTTTAAAAGCACCAGTCTTGATACAGAACAGATAAAAACAAGACAAATAACTTACGTGTACCATATCGAAGTTCAATTACATGCTCTCCTTCTCTGTTTCTTTCTACTACTATACACGTGTAGTTTCCAGGAACGGCTTCCTTTAGAGACATCTTGATTGATGCAACACCAGCAGTTAGGTTCGCTATATCCAGTAGATCTACACTCAAAAAAGTATTGTTTCTGAAATACCTGTTCTCATAGCCATCATAAGTAAAAAACTCTTTCCCATCTATTTTCCAGTTCAAAAACATTTCATCTCTGCTGAACCTTTGTAGATTAGTAACTATGCATGGTATGATAATTTCGGTTGTATTACAGACATCAAAGGAAACATTGTGAATCTTCTTAAACATCAACTGGGCAGAACCTGCAAGAAGGAAAAACAACTGTTACTTATTTGAACAGAAAGAATTAAGTCCATGCTAGTGTTGATAACTTTTGGAAGGTACATTCTGCTGAGGACTACCCCCGTACAAACTCATAGAATGAGGGCCACTTAAGAACAGTTCTGGATGTACTGTGCCACTATTAGCCAAAATTGTGGAAACTTTTGTTAATTACTCCATCACTAATGCTGCCTCAGAAGAACATCAGGTAACAGCAGCACAGAAAGGGAAAACAAGCCAGCTATCAGTTTTTCCTCTGCATTATTTGATATTCCAATGTTTGGGATAATCCCCCCCACACTCCCAATTATTTGTTGTGATTGCTTTGTGCCAGTACTGTTGTCAAGCCATCTTAATCATATCAGAGAGAAGGTGGGGCCTAAACAGGCAAGAGTTTCTAAAATATTCAGCTTAGGAACATCTCTGTTTTACCAACATCAGACAATATAAGTTTGCTGTCCTATAGTTTCACAAAGCTTCTACACTTCAGAGATTTACAATTCTATGTGTCAATTTATTAGCTACTCAAAGACTTATTGGCACTTCATAGGCCTGAGCATCATCTTGTGGCTTACAATGGTGTTTAAATTATTGAGACCCCCAAGGCTATAGTACTGTCACAGGCCTCACCTGGTTTCAAATAATTCTAATTCCCCAGAAGAGAGTTGTTTTGAAAGTAAGTCTGCAGTCCTAACCCCATTTACCCCAGGAGTAAAGTAGTGATGTATGGAAGTGAGAGCTGGACCATAAAGAAGGCTGATCGCCAAAGAATTGATGCTTTTGAATTATGGTGCTGGAGGAGACTCTTGAGAGTCCCATGGACTGCAAGAAGATCAAACGTATCCCTTCTTAAGGAAATCAGCCCTGAGTGCTCACTGGAAGGACAGATCCTGAAGCTGAGGCTCCATTACTTTGGTCACCTCATGAGAAGAGAAGACTTCCTGGAAAAGACCCTGATGTTGGGAAAGATTGAGGGCACAAGGAGACGGGGACGACAGAGGGCGAGATGGCTGGACAGTGTTCTCGAAGCTACAAACATGAGTCTGACCAAACTGTGGGAGGCAGTGGAGGACAGGAGTGCCTGGCGTGCTCTGGTCCATGGGGTCACGAAGAGTCGGACATGACTAAACGACTAAACAGCAGCAACAGCAGCAGCAGCAACAACAACAACAACGCTAATCAAACTCAAGTGGATTTACTTCTGAGTAGACAGGACTGCAGCCTAAACCCCTTCTCTCCTTTACAGATAGTAAGAATCTTGGACCAAATTAAAAGCATTATTTTGAGATTTCCCTTCAACTGTCAGCATTTGAAAACTCTTAAAGCACCATTCCTTGGTCATTGGAAGAAAGATATTGGGAATGCTCACAAAAAAATACTCAGGTGGTGCACTTCTAATCTCCAATCATTCTTCCTGAGCAAGGTTGGGTTGTGGAATACTTCCCACTCCTGGCTGAGCTGACCTTAAAGCAGCATTTATGATTTATCCAAACATAACTATTAACAAGCCATGCTGGAAGTTGTTGCTGGTGGAAAGGGCAAAGAAGGGGTATGCCCAACGTATGCAATGAGCATGTCAGGGCAAAGAAATGAATTAGCAAAGTTACTCTGCATCCAAATTTCCTAGTCCCACGGACAAAGTTTAGTGTAATTTACACCACCAAACCTTCAAGTGCAACTAAAATTGACCCCATATGAGTCAATGAAAGGGCTGCCCCCCTGCAGGCAGGACCCATTAGGATGCAGTTTAATTCACGCAGGAAATGCACCAGTGCAAGGGTCTCTTGGCATATCTGCATAGACAAAGTTGCTCTGTTAATTTTCTTTTCTTGTATTTAATGTTGACAAGACCACTTGGTCAGAACATAAGATGAGCCTGCTGGATCAGACCGAAGGCCTATCTAGTACAACATCCTATTGTCACAGTGGCCAACCAGATGCCAGTGGGAAGCCTACATGACTCAAAAGCAAGAACACTCTCCACACCGATGATTTTCAGCAGCAGGTATATAGAGGAATACTACCTCCAGCAGTGAAAGTAGAACATAAACCCTTATCCTCCATGAATTTGCCTAATCCTTTAAAAGTCATCCAAGTTGGTGGGCACTGCTACATCTTGTAACAGAGTAGGAAATTTTTGCCCACAGAAAGCTGACATGATTTGAAGGTGTCCTACCTGCTGTCTGAAAAGCAGGTCCACTAGTTGTTTACAGATTTCAATTTTGATATCATTAACTTTTAGGTCTTTATGTTGAGCTAGCCTAGTCCCCATCTTCTATGCAACCCAGCTTAGCCTTTTCTGTTCCTCTTCAAAACTCCCACTTTAACTCTCTCACACACTACAGACTGCTTACGTGCTTGAGCCGAAAGGTTGATGCATATAATTTATTAAACCTGTAGGTGGCTGACAGCGGCACATGTTGTGTAACTTGAGCACTTGCACTGCCTGCGTAACCCAGCAACTTGGAAAGCTTGCAGGCCAACAGATGTGGGTCCTCTGAAGGGTCACCAAAGCTATAGGCTCAACAGCAGAGTTTGCTTCACCTGATGCCTCCGACCTCTGCAATTCACGGACAAGGGATTGGAGGCAGGCTCACAAACTCTAGCAGCGTGGAAACCACAGGCTAGGAGGAGGAAACCACAGGCAATAAGGAACTGCTTTGCAGTCAAGTACCATGCACAGAATACCATTTGGTGAGTGAGCAGGCAAGGCCCTCTTCTGTGCCCAGAACAGAAATGCAGTGGGATGGTGCTAAAGAGATAGCTCTCTGTGCCCCCCTTCTGCTAGCCCCCAATAGGCTAGTGAAAAAAGATGTTTCTTCCTGCAGGCTGGCAACTTTTGTGTGCTGCTTGACAAGGCATGTTGGTTAACCCCACCCCATTAACCGGCTGCGACAAAGGCCCAGCATGGATTATTCCGCAGATTACTTCTGCATGTTGAGAAGGAAGCAGCCCAGGGGAAAGGAATGCTCTCCCTGCCATATCCCACTCCATGCCCCTCTCTCCACACGGGATCCCCGTTCCAGTTCGACATCTGTGCGTAACTGCTGTGCACATGTCCTCCGAAGTTTTCAGGGAACAGCAGCCACACAGAGGGAGACGGATTACCCGCTGCCACAGCAGTTTAGGTGGGTACTTTCAAGGGCAGCAGCCATCGCCGATGATGATTAGGTGCGAAAACGCCAGCGGGAGCCCGGCCCTCCTAAGAGCAGCCACGGAAGCACCGCTTCTCGGAAACAAGCAGGCGGAGGGAGGGGAGAGGGGAAAGGGAAATTCCCTCCATGTCTCCCGCCTGGTTCCAGGCACGGCAAGTGCCAGGCTTGCCAGCGCCCCAGTTCCCACCTCGTAGTCCCATTCACACACACACATACGAGAGCCTGCTGTCGGCTCCGCTTCCCCGCACACTCCGAGCAGCAGGAATCCTGAAGCGGAGCTTATGGAAAGCGTCAGGCGTCGGGAAGGGGGGAAGCCAATCCCAGCGCGCATCAACCCCAGCGCCCGCCTAAACAGCGGGCTCGCTCGAAGGGAGGGGACGTGGCGCAAAGCGAAGCCCTGCCCGTCATTGCGCACTTTGGTGGGACCAGCAGCGGCTCCCTCGCCAAGGACGGCGCGGGCTCCCACCGGCCAAGAACAGCCAGCCGCGCACCTGGGTGGTCCATCCTCGACCCCCACCCCCTCCCAACCCCCTGCCTGCCCTGGGGCCTGAGGGCGGGGGGGAGAGAGAGAGAGAGAGAGAGAGAGAGAGAGAGAGAACTGCGCCGCCGCCACTACTCCAAACCTGCTCCACCTGCGAAGCGCAAAAAGCGCAGGGCGAAGCTCCCGCGTTCTGACGCGAGGGGCGAAAGTCGTCCGGGCGGTTAAACGCCCCGCGGAGGGTTGGCGGGAGGGCGGGGGGGGGGGAAGGGGAGAGAGAAAGAGCCAAGGCAACTCACCGGCGCCCAGAGTGCCCAGCAGCACCCAACACACGCTCAGCGCCCACATGTCCAGCCTCGGGGTGGGCAAGCCGCCGCCGCCGCTCTCCGCCGCACTGATTCTTCCTGGCGAGCCGAAGGAGGGAGCGGGCGGGGGCGCCGGAGGAGCCGGAGCGGGGACCCGGAGTCGCCCAACCCGCAGCCTGACGAGCTTCCGCTGCTCCCTCCAGCCGCAGCGCGCGGGGCGGGGCCACACGCGGCTTTTGCTTTCGCTCTCCGCCGCGGGAGGGGAAGGCGGAGGCGGGGGAGAGCGGAAGCCCTCCGCGCCCGCGGCCCCAGAGAGGCGAAGCCGAGCCCGGTGCTCCTCGCCGCCGCCGCCGCGCGCTCCTCCCCAAATTCCTTCTCCCTTTCGGCTCGGAAACGAGCGGGGCGGTCGGGACCTGCTGCCCAGACGGGGTTGGTTTTTGGGGTGGGGGTGAGTCCGGTGGGTCCGCCTCGGAGCCGACGCTGCTAACGACCGCTCTTCCGAGTCTCCCAGCCGGCGGTTGGCGGAGTCCTGGGCGGTTCTAGCGCGCCGAGCCGCGCGCCAGCTTCGGAGTCAACGCCGAGCAACTGGCGAGGAACCGAGGAGGAATTCTGAGTCACACGGAAACTTGCGCGAGGCGGGCGCCGTCAAGGATACCGCCTCGCCCGTCTTAAGTGGATTCAGCCTGGGGCGAGATGGGAACGGGCGCTGGTCCGCGCAGCTTGCGGAGATCGCCTTGGTCGAGGCGCTGCCTCTTGCCTTGCCTGCGCGGGAAGGACTGCCGAGCGTTTTCAACACTGGGGGAAAAAAGTTGCGTGAAGCCTATATGCTGATAAAAGGTTTTCCCATCCTCTGGACCTTCAGTGGCCCGATCCTAAATACGCTCTGTATTATTCCCTGGGAAATTAAGATTGAAGATGAGAGCTTTTAAATCTCGCATCCAATTCGCCTATCTTCGCTTTGCCTGCTGCCTTGTGACTCTATCATCATCAATAAAGTTTAATTAAACCAACGCTTTTGAAACGTTTGAAGTTAAATGTGGGGAATTATTACGCCCGTTGACAAATATATATATTTTTCCCCTATTGAAAACAATCAGGTTGTGCTGGGGAACATCAGAACCAAAATAATAGGGATATTTATGTTCTTTATTGTCCCTTTCCCCAGATACTTTGTTACGCAAGCACACCCTTTTCAGTGCATTAAGGCAGCCTTGCATTTAGGCACTTACTTAGTAGCCTTGGTAGGTAGGAAGGGGAGAGCATGGAATTGCAGGTAGGCAGACGGGAGGACTGGTGGGCGAAGGGCAAATTCCATCTATGCTCTGTGCCACAGAAACCTAGTTGGCTGCTAGAGGAGGGAATCCTCTTTGCTCAGCCTGGACATGCGGCAGGCTGCTGAAGGAGGGGCAGTGCTGTCTCTTGCTCCTCTACCACCCCCACCCCATGCATTCATTTACAAGGCTGAATTAGGGCTCATTTAGATGCTACTCAGCCACGTTGGAGACTGTTGGTCATCTGCTGCATGGCACAAGTTTCAGGCCGTTCTAACATTTAAGCCCCGTTCTCGTAACAAGTGGGGGTGGGGAACCATATACCGTATTTTTCACTCTATAACACGCGCCCGACCATAACACGCACGTAGTTTTTAGAGGAGGAAAATCCGTAGGCATGCCACCCATAGGCATTCCCTCCATAACACGCACAGACATTTCCCCTTACTTTCTAGGAGGAAAAAAGTGAGTGTTATGGTGCAAAAAATACGGTAATTCCAGGGTATTTTACAAAAGCGCACAAATGACATTTTGCAGCCATAACATAAAATGTAAATTAAGTACACAGAGACAAATCTAATTACACTGCAGGATATATTCATTGCTAAGCTATCTTCTTTTCCAACCCTTCCAGCCAGGAACACTCTGGCTGTCCTTTCAAGCATAACTAATGGAAGTTATTCCGATGGAAAGGGCAAAAACGGGGTGCGTCAAGGGGTGGGCAATGCCAGGGCAGGGATACCCAGCTCGTTCTTGCCACATCTGCATCAAAGTGCATCATTTAAAGCACTTTTATATCACTGGAGACATCCATGTGTCCTGGGAACTGGATGAATCCTGGGAACGGCAGTCTGCTTAAGGGTTAGAGTTGTCAGGAGACCCCTATTTCCTTCAGAGAGCTACAGTTTTCAGAGTTTTCAATCCCTCTTCCCGGAGAGTTGGTATTCCTGCCTCGCCCCTCCTTGAGAAGACAAAGCTGGCCACTGTAATTCATGTCACGGTGACATATTAAAAAAGACTACTGCATTATGTTCCACATGGGGCTCACTCGGAAGAGTGCTCGGGAACTTCTACCGGTTCAGAATGTAACTGCCAGAATACAAACAGGAGTTCCCTGCATGCCAGGAATAGGAAGGGCATCTAGACATTGCAGTCATCTAGATAGTGCAGTCATCTGGACATTGTGGTACTCCAACTCCCATCAGCCCCAGCTAGTGGTCAGGGAGAGGGCAACCCATAGTATATACAAAATTTGGAGGGCCACAGGTTCCCTATCCCCCCCTGACGTACACCCAATATTGTTCCACCTTCATTAGATTCAGTTTGTTTTTGAGTCCGTTCCATGCGTTGGTTTGGACTTTTAAAGCCTGAAGCGGTCATGATAATGACTGCCTTTTCCAATACGCACTTTCCCAAAAATTCAGATTGAGATCAGAAGCTTTGTCCCATGTCCCATCCTGCACCCCTGTCCCAAGGTATAGTAGGTGAGTCCAAGACAGCCTTTTAATTTTTTTTTCTCTGTGAAATTGTTTTTATTGGTTTTACAAATGCAACATGTAAATAAACAAAATAATACATATCTAAATAAAGAGATTCTCTGAATCTTGGGACTCCCCCCCATCCCCCCATGGAGTCTCAATTTAAACATCTGGAACTGCATATTCATCCGTGCTCCAGAATTTCTATCAAACCATATTGTCCATAATAATTTTTACACTACAAGTGAATAAAAATCCTGCTCTTGTTTCCATCTGCTTACAGTGGTCACTTAAGTACTGTTACTTATATTTTTTAGCCATTCTATAATAATAAAAATTGTCCTCTTGTTTTCTGACTTTTCCAGTCAGTTTTGCCATTTTGCCATAGTCCATCAGCTTAGTTTGCCAATCTTCTCTGGTAGGGACTTCGTCTTCTTTCCATCTCTGGGCTAGCATCCACGTGGCTGTTGTTCCGTACATAAAAAGTCTCTTCGGGTCCTTTGGTATGACGCTACATGTAATTCCTAATAAAAAAAGCTTCTGGTTTCATAACAAAAGTTATTTTAAGCTTTCTTTTTCATTTCATTATAAATCCTTTCCAAGAAGGCTTTTATTACCTTACAAGTGCACCACATATGATCAAAGGTACCTTCTTTTTCTTTACATTTCCAGAGAGTATTTGAACTTGTCCTATACATTTTTGCTAACTTAGGATTTAAATACCACTGGTATATCATTTTCCAAGACAGCCTTTTTAGTCACAGTGCCACAGTTGTGGAATGCTATATTTATAGACCAATATTTCTGCTGCTGTTTTACAAGGCAATCTGCTGCTCTGCTTTGCTCTCTTTTGGTTGTTTGGTTTGTTGGTAGTTTTATCATGTTTCATAACCTATCATCATCATCATCACTACTGTAAGCTTTGGTGATCTTTCAAATAGAAAAGTAGGTTAAAAACCAGTCTGGATTGCTGCAGTGCACCCTACATGGGGCTGCCCTTGAAGACGGCTTGGAATCTTCAACTAGTCCAAAGCGCATGATAGTTCAGTCTGTGGCGCACGAGACTCGCAATCTCAGGATTATGGGTTCGGGCCCACATTGGGCAAAAGATTACTGCGTTGCAGGGGGTTGGACTAGATGACCCCTGTGGTCACTTCCAGTTCCACAATTCCATGATTCTATGAAAATACACTGGCCAGGCTTCCATTTAGAACTCACATAACCCCTGTTTTAAAACAGCTGCACTGGTTTCCAGTTTGTTTCCAGGCCCAATTCAAAATGTTTAAAGGCCTGATTGACATAGGCCCCACATATGTGAAAGACTGCCTCCTAGCCTACAGGCCCTCTCAGGTGTTAAAATGATCATGGGGGGGAGGGGCCTTGGTACTTTTACCACCACCACCACCCCTCATAAGTTTGGGGGTTGATGGCCCGGAGAGAGTGCATTCTTTATGGCAACCCCTAAACTGGAATTCCCTCCCCACAGAGGTATTTCTGGCACTTTCATAATTTTTTTTACAGCCCACCTTATTATCTTAATTGTAATATTTAATATTGTATTGTTAGATTGTTGTAATGGTCCCTGGGATCTCATGGTGACAGGCAGGTAAGAAATATTATTATTAAATGTTTTGTATAATATATAGATATTGGAATATGGGTGTTTGCCTGATAGCTACTGACTGAAATAATAGAATGAAGCTCTAGAAGACGGTCTGAACAGGTGTGCAACTCATATTAGCAAGGAGCAAATTGTACCCCTAAACTGAAGAATTGAACCTAGGATAGGAAGAAATGGACGAGCAATGTGTTTTATGGCAGGGGCTAAAAGGTGAGGTATAAATGAATATTTTAAAACATTCCTGTTTACTCACGTACTTGATGTCTGAAAGATACTGTTCCTGGCAACTCTGAGATTATTGTTTTTGAAATGTTCTAAACTGATTTCAGAATGTTTTGAAATCTGTTCTATTGTGAATGTTTGATACCCTGGGCTCCTTTGGGAGGAAGGGTGGGATATAAATTGAATAAAATTATGCAAGACATATTGTTCACTCCATTCTGCTTATTGCAGAGGATAACTGTGCCCGTATATAGGTTAAGTGGAGAGATATGGTTTCAGCATTTGCATTCTGCTGGCACCTTTGTAAAATAAGCTGGCAAAGAGCACAACACAATGCATTTTTCCTCAAGAAGACAATTCCAATCTGTTGAATGGGCCTTCCTCTCATTCAGCTATGCCTAGGATCACAGCCAAAACCTTAGAAGTATAAATAGACTGCAGAAAATACAATTTGAACAAAGGAAAACCAATTGTACAAAGCTGTAATAGAAGTACAGTTGTTAATTTATAAAAACAAATGATAGCAGGAAGTGCAGCCTGCCTAGAAACTGCAGGTCCTAAGGGATGGGGCTTGGTTTTTGTGTTATGAGGGAAAAAATGCTCACTGCACATGCTCCAAAGTTCTCTTGTATTCCACTGCCAAGGTTTCTTTTTTGGCAATAAGAAACTGGTTTCAGGACTGAGACTAGCTCAGATTAAATCCTGCTAGAAGCCTTATTCAGTGTATACAAGCAACAAAATGTATAATTCTGTAGTTTGTGATCTAGGGCATGTGGGGGGTGGGGGGTTCTTGCTTCCCTGCTCCCATCCTCGATGGAGGCTTCTTTGCCCCCTGACCCCAAATTAATTATGTTTTCTGCCTGAAAAGTCATGAAGCACTCGGAGATCTCTCCCTCTCTGCGATCAGGGTCCCCTAAAGCGATTCAGCCCAGCTGGCTGTAAAAAGGCCATGCGATGGGAAGGGGAGAGCTTGCAAAGCGGGGAGCGGGCGGGGAGGAAGCTGATGCCTAGACCCAGCCAGCCTCCTCTCGGCAGTGGGAGTCAAAAGGCGCTCATTTGTAGCCAGCAGAAATGGAGCCCAGCTGAGAAGCAGCCAAGGAGACAAGGATTTGGGGGCGGGGGGGAGGCGAGGAGTCTCAATTCAGCTCCCGAGATAATGAGTGAATAGACAGGAGAAGGAAGCTGGGCTTGTGTGTCTCTGTGTGTGGCAGCGTTGGGCTTGCACTCAGTCACACACAGTGCACGGTCTGTCTGTGATGAGATGACTGTGCAAAGCTTGGTGTACTGCCGGGTCCAGATAGCTGCAGCTGCAACAGCACACCCACTCATCTCCCTGCTGCCAAGGCAGGCTCTCAGAGCCCACCCACTCCCGGCTGCCTAGCACACCCACGCTCGGCGACGAGCGGCGGCACGTACACACAACCAGTTGCTGGTCGTGCCTCTCCGAAGGGTTTGCCACTCAGCAAAGCAGCTGTGCAACAAATGTGCTCATCAACGGGGAGACGGGGACTATTAACTAACAGCTGTAGCTCTGTGAGGAAATTAGCAGCATTAGCACTTATTTGCAACATCACAACAGTAGCGAGATAGCAGTTGAAGTTATTTGCATGACAGCAGGGCGTTCCAGGGTCGGATCCCCGCACAGCCATCATGCTGTGCCTCTTAGCCTACCTCACAGGGTTGCATAGCTGTCAACTTTTCCCTTTTCTTGCGAGGACTCCTATTTGGAATAAGGGAATTTCCCTTTAAAAAAGGGAAACGTTGACAGCTATGTTCCAGGATAAAATGGGTGGGGCAGAGATCTAGGGATGCAGCCATGACCTCCTTGTAGGAAAATGTGGTATATACAGTGGTACCTCAGGTTGCCGATGCTTCAGGTTACAGGCGCTTGAGGTTACAGACTCCGCTAACCCAGAAATAGTACCTCGGGTTAAGAACTTTGCTTCAGGATGTGAACAGAAATCGTGCTCCGGCAGCGGGAGGCCTCATTAGCTAAAGTGGTCCTTCAGGTTAAGAACAGTTTCAGGTTAAGAACGGACCTCTGGAACGAATTAAGTTCTTAACCAGAGGTACCACTGTAAATGCAATCATTCTCAATATTTATTATTATTTATTTATTGCGTTTAGAGCCCGCCTTTTCTCCAAGGAGGTGTACATAGTTCTCCTTCTCATTTAATCCCCACAACAACCCAGTGAGGTGTGGGAGCACCTGCTGTGGTAGTGGCCTAAAGGGCCATAATGAATGTAATAATGTAAACCACTATAAATCCTTGAATATGCTTCTAATAGAGAAGTTATGGTAACTTGTTGCTTTAAGAAACTGATGATTTTGCAAGATGCCGTCCCCCGCTGGGAGAGAAGGACAGCTAATACAGTGGACGCTCAGGTTGCGAACATGATCCATGTGGGAGGCACGTTCACAACCTGCAGCGCAGTGTCTGTGCACACGTGGGTTGTGATTCAGCGCTTCTGCGCATGCGCAAAGCGCAATTTCTGCTCATGAGTGACTGCCGAAACCTGGAAGTAACCCGTTCCGGTACTTCCAGGTTTCGGCGTGTCTGTAACCCAAAAAACGCAATCTGCAGCATCTGTAACCTGAGGTATGACTGTATTTAAATCACAAAGATATAGCTCATAAGCTAGAACATAAGTTGATACATGGTGCAAATGGCTACACGTAACAGGTTCCCGACATGCATACTAACACTATGTAACTGATCACGGTGAGAATCAAAGCTTAGTTAGCAATGCTTATTGTGCATGTGTATTAAACATGAAATGAGGTAATGATGTATATGATGTATATGATTGGTGGAAATACATCTTGAGGTGAAAGGCAACACGGCCGAAGATAATTCCAGCCTATGCCTCGTGAACCTGTAGTTCACACATATACCCTGTCTGTTCCACCCCACCCCCCTAATATACCAACGTACCTGTTACTGTAGTTTTAGTTACCTCAGGCAGCAAGCAACTGGGAGATTGCATATTTACTAAGCTAAGGGCCCCTGATCGTCCAATTGGATTAAATCAGCTCCAAGGTGCCCACAGATCCCTAGAATAATGCTTATTATAATCCTGTGTGTGCTTTTGAATCTTTCTTTCCAGGGTTACTCAAAGGACTCAGATATAGTGCTAGCAGGTCTCCAGTTCAATGAACAGGTGTTTAAACTAGAGGAACAGGTAAACCAGCTCCTAAGCTTCTTGAAAAGGGGGGAATGAGGCAATAAACATAAACATACCACATGCTCACCACCCCCCTCAACACAAAGAATACAAATTCACAACATATACAGGACCTTCAGGTTTGAATGGAGGGAGATATGATTCAGTTTGCATTTAAAATTGAATTTATGAAATCTGCACCCTCTGAAATGAGACCCAAATCGCACACTTCTGAATTTTGTGATGCAATTCTCCAAACAAAGAATGTTTACTAAGATGCACATTTTAGGGGAAAGAGTGCATAAAAAAAATATTAGCAAAAATAACATAGAAAAATGCATCATATTGTGAAAAACTGCTTCGATTTCTCCAAACTGCATACACAAATGTGTTTATCCGGAGAAATCCACCCTGAAATGCTGAAGAGATTTCACAAGGATTTTTTTTTTAAGGCAACCACAAATGGTTGAAGAAATATGGAGAACTGAATTTGTGACTGGAAAAATAGGAATCAGAGAACAAACTGACAGATTCTACCATCCCTCACTGGGCAATAGGTATAGGTCACAATATAGATTTTAACATCTGGGGAAAACTCTAGAAAAGTGACTTGAAGTTTGCAGCATGCTATTCTTTGAATAACTAGTTGAAAATGATTTACAGATGGCATTTAACTCTGAGTAGGCTTGCTAAGATGTATAAGACTGAATCAGATAAGTGCTGGAGATGCAAAGAGGTGGAGGGAACATTCTTTCATATGTAGTGGACTTGTAAAAGGGTAAAAGATTATTGGGAAATGATCCATAATGAATTGGGGGGAAAATGTTTAAAAGTACTTTCCCCCCCAAAAAGAGTCTTTTCTGTTGAGGATAATTCAGACTGAAATTCCCAGATGTCAAAAAAGGTTATTTATGTATGCCACTACTGCAGCCCATGTTTTGTTAGACCCAAAATAGAAAACGAGCAAGGTCCTAACCAAAGAAGAATGACAACTTAAGTTGACAGAATATGCGCAGCTTGCAGACTTAACATATAGAATAAGAGAACAAGAAGAACATAAGTTTAGAGAAGATTGGAAAACGTTTATTGAATATACAGGAAGTAATTGTGTGCAGTTGAAAATGCTGGCAGCATTAAGATGAATTCAACAGTGTAAATAAGTTTTGATGGATGCTATAATGGGAGACTGAATGGTATAGTTTTTGTAAAATATGCAGGGATTTGTGATATGTAAAATGAACCGTGGAAAGAGAAGAAGGGAAGTCATTGATATCTTAAGGTTGTGAAAATGAGTACATACAGGAAAGGAAAGGCATTCCCGTCTGCTCCAGTGTTTCACAATTGGAACAGATCAAAGTCCTGTTTCCAGAGTGCTTTGCTGAGCTCTCTCAACAGTGACAGCTTGGTCAGGTGAAACTCACAATAAAATTGGGGGGGGCGAATTGCCAGGGAGCTGACAGCCCATTAACAATGGTTTGCAGGCTGGGTCTAGTGCACAGGCCAGAGGTTCACTGCCCCCGTTTAAAAGGTTATGTCCAGATTAATGGGTTTACAGGTTTTTGTCACTCTCATTAAGAATATTGATAAATAGCAAGCCATACGTTTAGGAGGAGTTTCTCTTTGTTGGTCCATATGGATAAGCCTGGAAGACAAAGCTAGCAGTTGGACTTGTTTGTAACTCTAAACTCCAACAACAACAAGAACCTCTTTTAATAAAGTAATTCTGGTTGCCCGTAATACGAGGTGGTAATTTGGATGGTTTATGAGTATGCTTCTGCTTTTCGGTAACCCATTATCAGCCTAGCTTCCTGTTTCAGTTCAGCACAATCTTTGAAATGTAAGTGCTGTGCCAAACTCTGTTTTCTCAATTCTCAGGGCACTTTAGAACTTTGTTAGAACTTTAGTATTTTGTTAGAACTTTGTTAGAACTTTAGTATTTTGTTACCATTTTGCTGGGTGTGAGGAGTTTGAGAGCTGCTTATTGTGGCAAGTTGGCCAAAGGTGTTTCTTCCCAGTAAATATTTGTCTGGCACTCTGCAGCCTCCCTGGCTACCTGACCTCCGTCATCTGGATAAATCCCCATGGGAAGAGTTGTCTCAGGACATTTCCCCTGGGCTTTAATTGAAGCCCAGGCACCTGGGAAGGCTGCAGAGAGCAGACCATTAGTAAGACGATTTCTGCAATGAAGAAAGGATACTTACAGATACCCCATACCACCTCAAAAGTAGTGTAAGCACAAGTAAAACCCCTGCACCTGACCCATGAGAATTTCACAGAAATTTTCTCTGCATTGATAATTTTTGAATGCAATTTCTTTTCTCATTAACTGACGGAGAATGGGGTGGGAGGAGCACAGGAGAAATATTAAACAGCACTTAATAAGAAAAAAACCTGGCTTGACGCCCTCAGAGATTATGTTTAGAACTTCTTCTCAATTTAGGCTAATTTTGCCATATAGTTATTAGGATTCAGAGCCACACTGGATGATTTCCGAAATAAATGAATGCATTTCACATGAATGATTTTTTTAAAAACTTAAGGCTCCACTGAGGTGGGAGGGGAGGAATCAGGACTGGAACAATGACATTTGGGGAGGAGAAATTTAACCCTTTTCTTTCACATCATTGACTTAGTAAAATTCTCTCCCCAACTACCTGTTCTTGCCACCAAAACATGCACAAAAAGCACCCGCCCATTTTACAAGTTGTCTAGCTTGACCCTCAAGCGTTAAGATGATACTATTTTGTTCTAGTTAATGAAGTCCCGTAATTAATGTAGGGCTGCTGTCCAATTAAAGCTTTCTTAGCCAATTAATCAGTTGAATGAATCAGTTAAAACGTAGATTTGCATACAAAATTACTTTTTTATTTTTCCTAATTGCTCATGTTATTTCAGTATTAGCTGCCTTGAAGAACCTTGGGTGAGTGGAATATCAATATATCTTTTTAAAACAAGGCCAATTTGGCATGTTAATGCTGTGAAATTCTCCATCACATGCTCATATATGTCTAAATAAACCATATATCATAAAGTCACCACAGTCTCCGCTGCCCCTCAGTCTGAAAGGAAACATGATCCTTGCTCAGAGATTGGGGTGATGTGCCACATTATTTTAGCTGTTTTTAAGGATACGTCTGAGGGACACGGGTGGCGCTGTGGGTTAAACCACAGAGCCTAAGACTTGCTGATCAGAAGGTCAGTGGTTCGAATCCCCGTGACGGGGTGAGCTCCCGTTGCTCGGTCCCTGCTCTTGCCAACCTAGCAGTTCGAAAACACGTCAAAGTGCAAGTAGATAAATAGGTACTCCGGCGGGAAGGTAAACGGCGTTTCTGTGCACTGCTCTGGTTTGCCAGAAGCGGCTTAGTCATGCTGGCCACATGACCCGGAAGCTGTACGCCGGCTCCCTCTGCCAATAAAGCAAGATGAGCGCCACAACCCCAGAGTCAGTCACGACTGGACCTAATGGTCAGGGGTCCCTTTACCTTTACTAAGGATACGTCTGGGCATCACAGCTTAAGAAGGACATTGACAAGCTGGAATGTGTGCAGGAAAAAGAAGAAGAAGAGGAGGAGGAGGAGTTTGGACTTGATATCCCGCTTTATCACTACCTGAAGGAGTCTCAAAGCAGCTAACATTGTCCTTTCCCTTCCTCCCCCACAACAAACACTCTGTGAGGTGAGTGAGGCTATGAGACTTCAAAGAAGTGTGACTAGCCCAAGGTCACCAAGCAGCTGCAGGTGGAGGAGCGGAGACGCGAACCCGGTTCCCCAGATTACGAGACTACCGCTCTTAACCACTACACCACACTGGCTCTCAAGGGACCAGGGTGATGAAAAAAGGGGTCTGGAAGCCATTACTCTGAGAGACATTTGAGGGAGTTTGATATGTTTAGCCTGGAGAAGAGAAGACTGAGAGGTGATAGGATAGCTGTCTTTTAATATCTGAAGGGCTGTTGCATGGAAGATGGAGTGAGCTTCTTTTCTGCTGCTCCAGAGAGTAGGACCTGAACCAACGGATTCAAATTACAAGAAAGGAGATTCTGATTAAATATTAGGATACCCATTTCTGACAGTTCAAGCTGCCTGACAATGGAATGTGATTCTTCAGCAGTGATTCCTGTGTTGCAGGGGGTTGGACTAGATGATTCTGAGTGTCCCAACCCTCTGGTTCTCTGATTCTAAATCTCCTTAGGACATACAGAAGGCAGGCATTTTGCTGTTAAAACCATGCTGCTCACTTTTGCAGTTCATTTTCTCCTCACACTGGAGCGGGAATCAGAATTAGGAGGCCTTTCTCTTTCCACGCTGAATTTTTTCCTCAGGCTGCAGCCCTAGCTCCTACGTTGTGGTTTTATTTTCTACTCCCCACAAAAGTAAAAGTAGTCACTTGTTAGGAAACTTCTGGGTTTTTTTATTGTGTCAAATGGAAGAAGTCGACAAAGCCTGGCTTTGCTGTGCAGCTAAGGCAGGCTAATAAAGGCCACGTGCTGCTTCTTAAATAGGAAACGGAGAGCCTAGCATAAGCCTGGCTCCATAGTACATTTCCCTCCCAGCTCCTGAAGAAATTAGATGGTAAAATAGGAAGAGAGGTAAGGGAGAAGAGATAACCCAGGCAGGCAGGCAGGCAAGCAGGGAGGGGATCCTCCTTCACTGGGTGTGTGAGATAACCTATCGCTTTCTTTACATGTTGGTGGGGAAGCCTTCAGAATTCAATAAAAACTAGAAATGTCAAAGGGTGGAGCTGCTTCCCTGTGTGGTGTAGTGGTTAGACTGCTGGACTAGGATCTGGGAGAGCAGGGTTCGAATCCCCACTCAGCCCTAGAGCTTACTGGGTGATTGGGGGGAGGGTCACTGTCACTCAGCCTAACCTACCTCACAGGGTTGTTGTGAGGATAAAATCAGGAGGAGACAAACCCTGTATGCCACCTTGCACTTCATGGAGGATATAAAAGGTAAGATAGAAGAAGAAGAAGAAGAAGAAGAGTTTGGATTTGATATCCCGCTTTATCACTACCCGAAGGAGTTTCAAAGCGGCTAACAATAATAAACAAACCATGAATACAGATTGTATCAAGGCCAGATAGGCAGGGCATAAATTATTATTATTATTACTAAAACAATGGTATCTAACCTCTGGGTCTTCCAATATCAGCCCAAGTAAGATCGGATGATACAAATTGTTCAGTGGAGGACCACAGGCTATCCCTGCTTTAAGGGAATTGTTGTTGTTACTCTTATTATCTTTTTAAAATAAATTTAAAATTTTTTTTTACAATAACAACCATTTCATTGAAAACAAAACAAAAAAGAACTGAAAAAGAAGAACAAAGAAAAACAAACAAACAAACAACTTCTAAATACATTCTGAATGTCAATTCCATATTTTGGGATTCCTTGAATCCCCTGACTTCCCTCCACCCCCCAGCCCGGTTCTTTTGTATTATTTTCAGTTTTGCATGTCAGCAACAAAGCTTTATCACTAATTACCTCCTAATTTAAACATTGTCCATAACATTACATTGTCCATAACATTACAAGTGTGTGTGTTTTTTTAATCCTGCTAGCGTGTTGACTTGTTTAAATATGCAAAAATTACAAAATTTGCTTTTGTAAATATGCAATAAAGCTTTTTATATTTGTTATCATCTTGATTTCTAGGTTTTCCAGTTAATTTAGCCATTTCCGCGTATTCGATTAACTTAGTCTGCCAATCTTCTTCTGTAGGGACTTCTTCTTCTTTCCAATGCTGGGCTAACAATATTCTTGTGGCTGTTGCAGCGTACATAAACAAAGTTCTATACTCTTTTGCTAAATCAGTTCCTGTAATTCCTAATAGAAAAGCTTCAGATTTTTTAACAAAGGTTTTTTTTAAAAAAAATTCAATTCATTATATATCATTTCCCAATTTTTTGATAACCTTACATTCCCACCACATATGATAAAACATACCTTCTACTTCTTTACATTTCCAACACTTATTCTCTTGTGTTTCATACATTTTTGCTAATTTTACCAGTAGGTACCATCTGTACATCATTTTCATAAGATTCTCTTTAAGTAAGGTACATGCCATGAATTTTATATCATTTTCCCATAGTCTTTCCCAGTCTAATATATAATGTTATGTCTCACGTCCATTGCCCACTTTATCATAACACACTTAAACTCTTCATCCTTGGTTTCCCATTCCACCAATATGTTATACATTTTTGATATTATTTTATTATCATTTTCTATAATTTCTCTCCGAAAGTTTGAAATTTCATAATTAAATCCTATTTTGTCATTTTTAAATACTGTACCTCTTTTAACTGGAAGTATTGTAGCCAATCTGTTACTTTCCCTCTTATTTCTTGAAATTTCTTCAATTTTAATTGATTATCAGTTTCCATTAACAGCTCTCTATATGTTGCTCAATCAGTTTTTGTATTTGATTTTTTCATTGATATTGCTTCCAAAGGTGAAAACCACCATGATTTTTTTTGTTCTAAGGTATCCTTATATTTTTCCCACGCTTTGAAAATTGCATTCTTTATTATATGATTCTGGAAGCTTTTATGTACTTTTGCTTTTTGATATCATAGATATGCATGCCAGCTAAATCTATTTGCATGTCCTTCTAAATCTACTAAATCTGTATTTTTTAATAATATCCAATCCCGGATCCAGCAAATGCAAGAGGATTCATAATATAATTTTATATCTGGTAAGGTGAAGCCACCTCTTTCTTTAAGATCTGTTAACAATTTATATTTTATTCTTGGCTTCTATTGCTACTCTTACTATCATCCTCTTTATACAACAACAGTAGTTATTAGTGTTGTGGGTTTTTCGGGGTGCAAGGTCCCCCTAAAATTCCTGGGTGCCAGGTTCTCGCCATAATTTCTGAAGTTATTAAATTGTGAGGTTTGAAGTCTAGTCAGCCTCCTGAGGAGCTGGGCTTAGAGAGGTGCCATTCAAGAACAAAGACAAGCGATAGCAGAGTCAGTAGCCTGACAAAAGGTAAGATGTTTGGCATCAGGCAAGAAAGGGGGAGGCTGCCAGGATTACAGGTGGCATGTAACACTGTTTTATCTAGCAGCCCCAGAGCTAGGGATGTACAGTAATTGATTTGGTTGTTATTGAAGAAGAGAACAACCCGCTCATAGCTTCACAATGGTAAAAGATGAGACTGTATTTTATAGTTTTCCCCTTTAAAATATTTCTTATGTGATAGGAATTTCTCTTTTGTAGAACTGTTTGCTTCTTGGTGAAGGCTGTAGGGCAAAGGTGGACAAGAGTATGGTCAAGATATCAAGATTCACCTTGTTTAATGCCTTCATATCACAAAAGAACCGTAAAGGCAAGCCTTCAGCTGGACAGATATTTCACAGATTCTAGCAACTGACAGTTGGCAACCTAATTGCATTAGGATAGTGAGCGAGCTGGACCTAACTCCTGTGGCTTAAAAAGAAAACTTGGAAAAGATTGAGTCATGCAGGCAGATTCCCATGATAAGAGAGGAGTGGTAGATAGCAGCTTCACAGCAATCCTATTCCCCACAATAAATCCTGCTGAGGTCAATGAGACTAAATTTCCAGAAAAGAAGGTAAAGGATTACAGCTGTTATGTATTCAGTGGTCTGTGTTTGGCTGAGATTGAGTCTGGACTAAGGATTCTGAGCCCCCGCGTTCTGATTCGATACATGATATCCAATCACAGAACATTTCAGGATTTGGGACTCTGCCATTGGCCGTTAAACTCTGAGTCATGATTTGCAGCTTGGAAGTTTAGATAGCCAATCACACTAGAAGTGGGTTTGGCCCAGGCATTCAGAAATGTATATAAGCAGTTGCTTTGCCCCTGTTGTCCAGTTCTGTTAGTTCAATAAAGGTTCCTGCTATTTTCTCTGTGTCTTGCCTTGTGGGAACTCACCTACACTTCAACAGCCTCATAAGATGAATTCCAAAACCAATTCTGTTTGTTTTTTAAAAAATTATTTCAGGCATGGGAGAATGTCTTTAATTTTCACCATGGAGGGCCAACCACCATCTTGCTTCCTGCAATGACCAAGCAAATGACCCCCTGAGAAGGCTACAAGCTTGGCATGAAGGCAACGACCTTCTTCCACTGCTGCTTCCTAGTAGCTGATATCCACTGATAGACTGCCTCTGAACATGGAAGTTTCATGCAGCCATCTTGACTAATAGCCAGTGATTACCCTCTTCCTCCGTGGAACGATCCAATCACTTTAGATAGGGGACATTGCCACATCTTCCTGTACAGAATTACATTGGATTAAGCCGGCATTCTGTCAGGGATGGGGAATCTGTGGTCCTACAGATGTTCTCAGGCTACAATGTCCACCTGTCCCATCCGGCACGGTCAACAGTCAGGGAGGATGGAAGCTGTAGTTCAGCAGCATCAGGGGTGCTGTAGGTGCGAAAGGTTTCCCAACCCTGCATTGTCTGCGGAAATGCTTTATTGTTGTCTGTCCTGCAACTGCTGCAAACCAGCTTCATTGGACGACCCCAACCTGTCGACCTGTCATTTCTCTCTGCAAGCTTCTCTTTTCTATTTGAGAGCCTTCCTGGGTCCCTCTTGTACATGGCTTTTATTCTTAGCAATCCCTCCCCCTGCAGTGCTTGGCAGTCTGTGTGTGTTCGTCTAAAAGGCATGCTTCTGTTTCTGCCCTAAGATTCTAGTGAACCAAAGTAATTTGTTATCAGCTGGCATGGTTGCAAGAGTCTGGGAGGTCAGGAGCAGAGCTTGAGCAGATCACAATGCACTGAGATGATTTTAATTGGACATGATTCCGCCCAAGAAAGGTCTGAGCGACTGGTGTCCTGCTGGTCTCATCAGCTACCAGCTTTCCTGCTCCGCTAATGCCTAGCTGAAGGAGGCAATCAAAAGGCAGCTGCATTTTAGTGTTCCTCGCTTATTTCTTCCCTCAGCAACATCTCCAGAAGCGCCTAAATTATGGATGCTGCTCTTGCCCGCCTTGCCAGTGCCTGTCGTTCTACTCCTGTCCTGACCCACTTGCTTGTGAGAATCTTAGCTGTGTGCGTTGTGGGGCAGGCGTGAGGAGTGGTGCAGCTATATCTGTACAGAAACTGTGCTGCCGACGGTATAAAATTGAGTTAGTTTGCGGAGGTGTTTAAGGAGCCCTTACTGTGGGGGCCTATCCATGTTCAAATGCGGCCCCTTATCTCTGCCACAATTATGGCCTCCGTGCCTCTGCGCCACTTACTCTTCATCATTTATAAACCAGGCAAATAGAAGTTTCCAGCTTTATAGAGTGATGTTGAGTGGATAACTGTGTTAAAGATTACGAGGCATTCTGATGCTATGGATACAGCGCCAGTAGGAGACAGATGGAGGGGTCGGGCCTGTCAAGAGTGTGTTGTGAGAGAATTCGTGCATGCCTAGGTACAGCTATGGGAAGATTTCCTGATTAAAACCTCTTTGTTTTTCTGTTGATGAGTGTTGGCAACTACACCTACAGAAATCACTCCCAGCTGGTGTCTTCTCCACACAACAGTCTCTAGTCATGCATGTACTTGTAAGTGACTGTATGGATCCGTTTCTCAGTATATACCGCCCTTAGCAAGTCAGTGTTCTCCGGAGACCTTGGCATCCTGCAACTTTTTCTTTCTCTGTTTTTTTGGACTAGGTTATCTGCACAGACCCACGCAACAACAAACAACAACACCCCCTTCTGCCATGCCAAAACACACATAATATGAAACGAGATGGTGGTTTTTGTCTCCACCTCGCTCTCTTTTAGCAAACAGAGAGGTGCTCAGCTGGAGCGAGCAAGAGGCAGCACGCACCCCTCTGTGCAAGCAGCATGTCTCAGCCAGCGAGTGCATTGTCAGGAAATCAAAGCAACCTGCTATTATTTCCGGAGCCCAGGATATACTCAAATCAAGTTTGCCAAACACTCAAATAGCACTGTCCCTGATTTGAAAGAGCTCACAGGTGAGAGAGAAGAAACAAGGAGTTCCTTCTTGGGTAGCCAAGAGAATTTACAAGCTTAAGGAATTGAGGAGACTCATGAGAATTTATGAGCTTCCGAGGGGGAAATGCCGTATGCAAAAGGCAACAGTTTCTATGGTGCCAAAACAGAACATTGGCACAGAACTGCCGCGAAACAAACCGTTAAGAGAGCTGGTATGTTGCCCACAACCACAAGCTCCACTGGTCACTGGTTCCTACATCATTCTGTTTTGTTTTTTTAAATGATATTTATTAAAGTTTCATAGAAAAAGAGAATTACACAAAAACAAAAAGTAAAGATACAGGAAAAATACAAAATACAAACTACAGAATACAAGAATAAAAGACACTTAAGAAGAAGAAGAAGAAGAAGAAGAAAAAAGAATAATGGATCAATCTTTCCATAGCTTACGTTCATATCCTTGTTTCCCTGACCTCCTCATACCTCCCTTTTTTGTATTCCAGTTCAATTAGTTAAGTCAGCAATTTCTTTTCCTCTTTGTTTTCTCATGATCCTTTAACTTAATATACTATAACTTTAAATTTTCATCTGTTATCAAGCCTTTTTTACATACACCTTTATAGCGTTACTGCTTAAACCACCTAGCTTCAATCCAACATCATTCTAACATTCATTAATTTTGCAATATTTCTGTAAATAGTCTTTAAATTTCTTCCAATCTTCTTCCACCGACTCTTCTCCCTGGTCTCGGATTCTGCCAGTCATTTCCGCCAATTCCATGTAGTCCATCACCTTCATCTGCCATGGTTCCTACATCATTCTGCTCACTGCTGGTTCATTTCCTCCTGCACCAAAATCCAGATGCATAACTTCCAACATGGGGGACAGATGGAAGTAGCCCCTCATAATGTGGTACATCACAAAATGCAACCAGGGGCCATTTCTGTCATCTGACACACCCACCAAAGAAGTGTGAAAACCTAAAATATAGAGCTCCCTACCAGCAAATATTAGATCCTATTATTCTAGGCTCTAACTTTTATGTTTTTTGTTGTTGTTGTTTTAAAACTTAATATACAGCACACTAAATTGCAGATCAGATAGCAAAGTAAAGGGGCAGCTGTTATTTTCTGTACAAGAGGACACAGCATGTACACCACAGTACAATGTGCAGATGTGGTGTATACCAGGTTCCCCCAGATGTGCCTGGGCCACAGCTTCCACCAGTCTGGCCCAGCATAGTCAATGGTCAGGTGTAATGGGAGCCATAGTCGAAAACATCTGGAAACCAGGCACCAGCACAGGATTTTGTTTTGCTTGCTACAGATTTAAAAACCAGAGCAGCAGCAAATGATAATGCATTTGGATGTTGTTTATTGTACATGACTTTGAGGTAGTAGGTGGGCTACAAATGGGTGGATTGACTGGCGGATTTAGACAGGAGGAGCCCGAACCACTTTCAAAGCTTTCCAGAAAAACTGCCTGCCATATTTTCCTCAGACCCACCCATGAGGCAAGGTGCAGTGAGCACCACAGGTGGCAGGATTCATAGGGGCAGCAGACCCCAATACTGACTTTTATTGACCTTGGACAATGTCATCAATTCCAGGCTACCTGGGTGGCTTCTCACTTGTGTTGATGGATGGATGAAGTGCTAGTGGGTCAACGTCTTTCTTTCTGCAAGCTGCTTCTTCCCTTGAGGTCTTTCAAGTGTACTGTGGGCCAGCCATCCCAAGTGTGCTGGCTGGAGCTAATGGGAGTCATTGTCCAAAGAATCTGGAGGGCACCAGGTTGGGGAAGGTCACTACAGGTCAAGTTGTTTCCTTCCTCCTTTCTTCCCCGTGGGGTTTTTAGAGCATGCTATGGAGGCTGCGCCATCTCCTTTTTTATTTTGTGCTTCCTTCCACTGGTGATAGTGATAAATTATAATTAGACCTGACTGGAGCATTAAATTAACTGCATGGTTTTTGTAGTTTTCAAAAGCTGTATATTATTATTATTTTTTTTGCAAATAAAGGCAGAGCAGTGTGTTTCCTGGAGTCATGTGCATTCTTAGTCATGTTTGTTTGGACAAATGCAGATTAATTATGAAAATTCCTTATGATTCCTTGTCTCTCTCACATTTCTGCTTATGTGCACAAGTGCTGCCTGCTGAGTTCTTTTTAGGTTGCCTTAGTAACTTGCTTCCACTCTCGCCTTACCCCCCAAAACCTCTCTCCACTTGGTGCTGTTCAATTCATGATGGGTTTTGAGAACCCTTGGTCTGGGTTAAAACAAAGTCACTGAAACTGAAGAATAAGACAGCAGTGGGCCATGTCCTCCGCAATCAAGGTATGACTCCTGTGATTGCAAAGTTGAAAACATCCAGGTTTTAAAGACCTAATCTGAGGAGTGGTATTTGGGATGCCATTACCCATTTGACTTTGCTTCATCCACGCCTACAGCATCGGTGTCTCTGATCCAGCTATGAAGGTCAACATGTTTAAGGCTTCCTAAGGCTTCATAATACCAATTTCTTGCTGGATGAGGAAGCACCGGTATAACTCTGGTGTGCATGCAAACATGGATGTCACGTGTGTGCATGCCGTGTTGGTTTCAAAGGCTTGCATGTACTGATTCACATTCCCAAGTGGGCTTCAAAGGGATGTACGTGTATTCTAAATGTTCACTCAAATAATCAAACCCATTCACATGTGGGCACAACAAGTAAATCCCTTTTAAAGAGTTACTAGACCTTGAATCATAGAATCTTAGAGTTGGAAGGGACCTTGAGAATCATCTAGTCCAACCCCCTGCAATGCAGGAATCTCAACTAAAGCATCCATGACAGATGACCATCCAATCTCTGTTTAAAAACCTCCACGGAAGAGGAGTCCACCACCTCTTGTGGGGGTCTGTTCCACTGCCAAACAGCTCTTACTGTCAGAAAGTTTTTCTGAACGTTTAGTCGGAATCTCCTTTCTTGCAACTTGAAGCCTGTGGCTCGAGTCCTACCCTCCAGAGCAGGAGAAAACAAGCATGCTCCCTCCTCCATGTGACAGCCCATGAGGTATTTGAAGATGGCTATCATATCTCTTCTCAGTCTTCTCTTTTATAGGCTAAACATACCTAGCTCCTTCAAGCGCTCCTCATAAGGCTTGGTTTCCAGGCCCTTGATCATCTTGGTTGCCCTCCTCTGCACATGTTCCAGCTTGTCAACATCCTTCTTAAATTGTGGTGCCCAGAAATGGACACAGTATTCCAAGTGTGGTCTGACTAAGAGCTTTACGAAGCAGTTCTCATGACAGAGGGCCTCTTTTGACGCCAGCACATTCTGGCAGCTGGGGGGAAGTCACAACCCATCCCAACACGCAGCCACGTCAGTCCTTGGCAGGCAACCATGTGTCCTGCTGTTGCATACTGAACTTAGTTCAGGTTGGCTTTTGCAAATGAATGAGCACCTAGAACTGTACCCGCATGCTGAAAATTCCCCCGGGACAAATGGCAGCATGTGGTGATGGAACGTGTATGATCACCATGTTGCACAATAAAGGGCTTGGGAGACAGAGCATTTGGGGAGTATTCATACAGACATCCACACACTGAGATGATTATTGGGAAAGAACCATAGATGAGTAATAGAACATCTGCCTTTCGTGTAGAAGCTTCCAGTTTCAATTGCCCACAGCTCCAGGGAGGGTGGACAGAGAGCCACTGACAGTCAGGCCTGGTGTGGGGAACTTTTGACCCTCCAGATGTTGCTGAAGGACAGCTCCCATCATCCCCAACCACTGACCATTCTGACTGGGGCTGATGAGAGTTGTTGCGTGGCGAGTTCCCGCCCCCCACCAGGGTAAATAAAGACTCAAGACACCAAATTTAAGGTTAAATGGGCGAATTAGGCCACAACTTTATTGAATTCAGGAATGAGAGGCATTGGCTTAGGCATTGGTCCTATCGACTATCCGGCTCCAGCCCATTTGCTGGAGACACGGGAAGGGTTAACACCATAGAGGGGGAGTCTCCTGCTGAGGCACGTCAACTAGGAGCTCCCCGGGTCACCGCTCGGGGGCGTGCCTTTGGCCCACACCTCCATAGGCTTCGGACAGGGCCACGCCCCCCGGAGTCCTTTATCGGACCACCCTTCGTTCACTGGGGGGAGGTGATGGCGTTCCTCCCCCCCCATCCTCTTAACCCCTTCTTACCAATGCCTAACCGCCAATGCCAAGGAGTTGTGACGAGTTGCTATGAGGTAGGCGAAAAATCAAATGGCTATAAATTGCCAATTGGGAAAAATTCCTACCATGCCCCTTGTGGCGACAGACCAAAGTCCATAGCAAAGTCAGAGACCTACCTAAAGCCTACCCACAGGGAGGGAGGGTGGGAAAACGTGGGGCTAGCTGGCGAAAAGAGGGCGAGCCCCCTCTGCGCCGGCCCTAAATAGGGCAGGCCACCCCCCTCAGCCAGACGATTGGCTGGCTGGGGGGGGAAGACACGGCCGGGATTCCCCTGCTCTCACGGGGGCTGAAACCAGCCCCCGCTCAAGTGGGGGTGGGCGTGAAGCCCGCAACCCCACCTCCTGGGCAGGCCGGAAGTGGCTTTGTTCAGCAGCATCTGGAGGGGCAAAGATTCCCCTACATCTGGCAAACATAGTACTGAACTAGTGGCCTGGCCTGGTGGTAGGCGGCTTCCTGTGCTTTACATGCAGACTGTATATAAACACACTTGGTCCATGGTCTTGGTGTACCAGTCATGTGAAACCAAGTGCATACAAGGTAAGTTTTCTTATCCAAACAATGGTGTAGCGATTAGTGTGTGGAACTGGATGAAAGTCAAAATTTCCTGATAGCCATATAGTTCAGTGGGTGACCTTGGGCCTGTTACGCACATCTGTTCTATCTCACAGAATTGTTGTGTGCATAAATTGGAGCAGAATTGCGTATGCCACCCTGAGCTTCATGGAGAAAGGGTGGCTGATATCCATCTGTCTTGGGAGACAATGGGGGAGTGTGCTTTTTGGGGTGAAGTCAAGCTGTTAGATGGTTGCAGTGCCTGCTGTGGCTGTAGAGACATGTTTTGTTGAAGCTGGGGTAGACAAAGGTGTCCGGTTGTGCTGCTGCAGATGCACCATGGCGTTTCATTTCAGTCTTGTCTGATTGGCAGCAGCTCTGTAGGGACCCAGGCAGGGGTCTTCACCCTCAAGCAGTTACCTGATTGGTTTAATAACTGGAGACAGGAAGGAAGCCTGAGCCAGCTTCCTTCTGCATGCAAAGCATGCATGCTGCCACTGAGCTATAGCATCTTCCCATCATAAGCTATAAGCACTATTGATTTTAATTTAGTCGCTCCTCTAACTCTGTTGTTAAATTTGGCTGACTTAACAAGTGCTTTTGGAAGCCTGATCTGATTCTAAAAAGGGTTCTGGGTCCCTCCTACTTTGTTTGGTCAAAAAAAGAACTTCCTTTTTAGATTCAAACAGCTTTGAGAGGTTAGATTTCACCCACTATTTAAGAAACAACAAGAAGCTGTACCTCCGCTCTGCCAGTGGGTAGTTTTTTAGCAGTGGGTTGCTAAAGATTGTGTGCCTTTTGCTGTGAAATAGATTTTCAGGAGGGAAAACACAATTCATGGGAATTAATATGCAGTTTGTTCTTGCTTGAAATTTTCGTGTGTCTCCCAGCATTCTTGTGTCAGTTTATAAATATTAATAAATAACCATTAGTTTTGTCTGACAGATGCAATTAATTAATGGCTTGTTTTTTCGAAAGTATTTGAGCAAACACACCCAGACTGTTTGGTGAATTTCATGTGCTCATCTGCTTTCTTTGCCATATATATTAGGTTAACATTTCAAAACTTCCCTTTCCGTTCCTTATGTCTTCCTCATTTTCTTCCTCTGCCAAACTGTGGAACAAAGTACAGGCCGGATGTTATCTTCCCATGATTAATGTAACTAAAATCAACTTATGTCATGGATAAATGTGAGTGAGTCTGTCCCATCAACATCTACAAAATGAATCATTCCAGCAGAACTGGCATTATTATTATTAATGATTTGCAATTTGAATTGCTTATTAGAAAAGAGGTTTGAAGAGAGTCTCTCACACTACTGGCACCACTTAGCTCCTTTTAAGACCAGTGGCAGTCAGTGGCAGTGGTGGTTCACTAGGCCAAACTACAGCCAGCATAGCACAGAAATATGGATGGAAAAGATCTTGCTGCCATTGCCTTTAGGGACCAGGAGGCAGTGCTAGAGGTGGGGTGGCATAGCCAGCAACATGTTGGCATCTGTCTGTCCATGAGGCAATGGAGTGCGCCTCTGGGGGTGGAGTCAAACCATGATGTTAGCAGCACTGAAGTGCCCTCTCCGAGGTGCAAGCCTGGGCAGTGTGTATGGAGGTCCTGGGCTGCCCAGATTACAAGACACACCCACCCCCAATCTCGACCACACTGATGTGGTCAAAAGGAAAGCAGAGCAATCCATCTGGTACCAGCTTGGCTGCAGGAGTTGCCAGAAGGAGGCGTACAAGGTGCAAGGCGTACAAGGTGCCATCTTAGGGCCTCCACTCCGGATTTGTGTAGAGTTTACGCCTTAACTTTTCTTTTCCTGAAACTATCCCACGAGGCAACAGAGGTTTTCCTTTTCCTTTTTTTGTTGTTGCTAATGTCATGTGTGTGTTTTTAAAAAATATTTATACTTTTCAAGTTTGTTTATTTCACTAATTTTACAATCATTTTGACATTTCAAAACTTGACTTCCTTCCCCCTCTTTCTACAGTCCCTTAAATTTATTTTTAATATCTTCTCCATATCCAAATTAACAATTTACTCATTTATTCATCTTCTTTAAATATACAGTAGAATCTCTACTTATGACCACCTCTACTTGGGCCTGATCCAAGTTGCGACTGTGGCAAACCCGGAAGTAAATACCGGGTTTGCTGTGATTTGCACACACGCAGAAGTGGCTACCGCCGTCTGCACATGTGCACAACGGCGCTTCTACCAGTGACCCGTTTTGCCTAAAGGACAGGCCGCCACAATGTTCCACTGTATACTCTTATGAAACTGCAGGTTAGTACAATACAGTGGTACCTCGGGTTACATACACTTCAGGTTACATACGCTTCAGGTTACAGACTCCGCTAACCCAGAAATAGTACCTCGGGTTAAGAACCTTGCTTCAGGATGAGAACAGAAATCCTGCGGTGGCGGCACAGCGGCAGCAGGAGGCCCCATTAGCTAAAGTGGTGCTTCAGGTTAAGAACAGTTTCAGGTTAAGAACAGACCTCCAGAACGAATTAAGTTCTTAACCCGAGGTACCACTGTAACTCTGCCAATGTTTTTCTCTGTTTTCAATTTATCTGTAAATATTCAATATGAGTTTTCCTTTTCCTAGATGGACTACCTTCCCAGACTGACTAGCCACATCTGCCCCTCACTTCCTTCTACAGCATGTGCAGAAACCACCTTCTTGACCATTGGAACCACTATTGGCTCAATCTGCCAGAGCCTGTCTTCACATGCAGCAGAAGTCCCTAACTCACTGAGGGCTCGGGACCCATTGGGCTGCCCTCACCTGGTTTAGCCGGCTACTTGAAGCCGCTCCCGGGGTGTGGCTGCTGTCACATGCTGACAGCTTCTAAGAGCCACAGGTGAAAGCTGAACGCAGGGTGGGGGTCAAAGGGTCTTTCACTGTTGTCTGGGAAAGGGGGTATTATTGCTGTCTGGAGATGGGTTATTAAGAACAACAGGCTCAGGTAATGAATTGGCACAAGTACAGCCGCTGTCTCCCACTGCAGCAGAGTCACCTGCATTCCTTAGCCCCTCAGGTCATGTTCAAGAGGTGTCTCCTGTCCCTGGCAGAGACCGAGCTTAGATTTCTGAAAAAATGCAAAAGTGGGCACTTTCTTTTAAACTGAGGCAGACTATGCTTGCTGGAGGGAGCCCATCACTTGCAGAGGATAAATAATGGCTGGATTGGAGGCATCGTTTGCGCTGGATGTGATGCTGTGACTGGGATTTTTATTAAGGGAACACAATCATGATGTCATTCACTGCGGGGAAATGTCTATTTACATGAGTCAGCCCTTGTAATTAGGCAACCTTTGGGGATTCCCATCAATATATGCAACATGGCTCAAGCTTCCTCATATCACTTTCATTTTGCTCTTTGCTCACAAGTGAGGTCATAGTCTGGAACTGACACTCCCTTCTTTGGGTGCAGTTGTCCATTGTGAAAACAGGATGCTGGACAGGATGAGCTATAAGCCTGATCCAGCAGGCTCTTCAGCAGGTTCTAGGGACGCGGGTGGCACTGTGGACTAAACCACTGAGCCTCTTGGGCTTGCTGATCAGAAGGTCGACAGTTCAAATCCCTGCGACAGGGTGAGCTCCCATTGCTGTCCCAGCTCCTGCCAACCTAGCAGTTCGAAAGCACGCCAGTGCAAGTAGACAAATAAGTACCGCTGCTGTGGGAAGGTAAACAGCGTTTCCGTGTGCTCTGGCACTCATTACAGTACTCTCTGCACCAGAAGTGGTTTAGTCATGCTGGCCACATGACCTGGAAAGCTGTCTGTGGACAAACACCAGCTCCCTTGGCCTGAAAGCAAGAGGAGTGCCGCAAACCCATAGTCGCTTTTGACTGGACTTAACCGTCCAGGGGTCCTTTACCTTTTTACCTTTACCTTCAGCAGGTTCTGATGGTTCTGATGGTCCCCCTTCTCACTGTCTCAGAATTCATGTACGGCCAATGTTCTGGCGGCCGCATGCCAAAAGTGGGTGTGGCTACCCCATATTTGTCTACACACTTCTGCATGCACACACAACACACACACCCTCCCCTCCTCAGCTGATTTGTTGCCTGACGATGGGCGAGGAGGGTTTTTTGAACCCCTTCAGGGTGCTTCCCCCACCCCAGTGTTATGTCTGCTTTTTTAATTTTTGCTTCCACTACCAAAGTCAAATGGGTCTTGAATTACCAGAAAAAGACTGCTTTGTTGAGATGGATGAAGCCCCCTAACTATGTGTTGGCCACCCCGTTCTATGTTTTCAAAAGCATATAAATCGGAGTCCTTAAGCCACTTGTCTGCTTATGTAATCCTCCTTCCTCCATTTCCTTTTGCATTGCTTCATTCAAAACCTTTGAAATGCAGCCGACAAAGGAGGCTAAATAATATCTAATGCATAAATAAAGCATTTTCGATGAATCTAAAATTAGATCTAATGCACAAGAGAAAGAATGCTATGCAGTTGTAAAATACATAAGAACGCATATTTCTCCTCAGTTCATAACATGCTGCATTACTCCTTCAAGGGTCATTTCAAAAATGGCAGTCAGAGAGGTCTCCCTTTTGACTTGCACCTACTCAAGATAGATGGTATGCTATGGTTAAAACATGAAGGGGAAGTGGGAATATCAACCACCAGCTTGTTAGGGCAGAGAACAAGACAGCTGGCAACGACCTTCACTGGGGGAAAAGTGACTGGAAGGAGACCAAATGTATTTATTTATTTAAAATGTTTTTACCTAGCCTTTCCTCGAATAGGTCAAAGCAGCTTAAAAACAAACAAACAACCACAACCATCAATTTTTAAAAACTGCAGTAAGAGGCATGATAAAACAAAATTAAAAAATTCATTTGTTGAAAATGGTAAGGATTGGCAATTGTTATGGCAGGCAAGCAATCATCCACTGAGGCCCTTATTCATGTGCCTCCTCCACAAAAGACCCGGAGGGTGGCCTTTTCTGCAATGGCTCCCCATTTGTGAAATGCTCTTCCTGGGGAAGGTTGCCTTGCCTGGTGTCTTTGTTACATCTCTTCAAGCGCCTGGCAAAAAACATTCATCTTTTCCCAGGCCTTGGGCTAATTAAACAAGCTATGGATTTTGAAACTGTATGATGGGCGGGAGGCAGGGGGCGGGATTTTGTTTGTTTGCTTGTTTGTTTGTTATGTACTTTTGTGTTTTTGTATTGTAAACCACCCTGTGAAACTCAGATGAAGGGCAGTATAGAAATTTAATACAGTCAGACCTCGGTTTCCAAATGCCTCTTCTGTTTTGGAACCTTTCAGCTCCCGAATGCCAAAAACCCAGAAGTAACTGTAACGATTTTCAGAAGCAAAACGAGCTTCCGTTTTGAGTTTCCCTGTTGTACTGAGGCTTCCGCTTTCAGTTTTCGGTTGTCGAACGTTTCTACAACCGAGGTTTGACTGTAAATTACAATAATAATATCCAGCCTTTGAGGGCCAAGGGGCCATTCTTTATAAAAAGGTCTGAGTGCTGCAGCAGAAGGCAGGCAAGGAGGGGTGGGCAGTGGGAGCCGCCCTTGGTAGGCCGCTCTAATGTGTGGGTGCAGTATCAGAGTAGCACCCCCCCGACCTTTCCCCCCTGTCCCAACCAAACATGGCCCTGGACCTTACAAGAGGTCCTCTGCAGATATATTGCAAGGGCCCTGTAGGAAGCAGGAGCAATGTGTGTCCCTTTGTGCAAATTCTATATTTATAATCAGAAGCTTCTTCAAAGCCCCGGTGCCAAGTATCACTGTTACGTCTTGTAATCCCTTCTTCAGTGAGCTTCCAGCAGTGCTTTCCTGCCACTTGCAGCTTGCGCAGAACGTGGCATCAGAGTTGTTTACTTTACTGATTTTGACAACTGTGACCATATTTCTCCAGCTCCGTTCTCTGCATATGCTGCCTGGAGGTAACTGGATTAAAATCAGCATTGCAGAGTTTGTTTCCAAAGCCGCAAACCGAATAGATCCTGGCTCTGTCTGAGCACAGACACCATGCATGGTTCGGGGACCCTGCCATCATAGGATAGAATCATAGATCTGTGGAGTTGGAAGGGACCCCAATGCAATGCAGCAATCTCAACTAAAGCATCCATTACAGATTCATCATTACTTCTCAAGTCAGAGGTTTTTTAGGTTTCCCTTCTGTATACGCTGACCTGTGAGTAGGAATGGGTGAACTTGTCAGTATCTCCTATTTCCAGTCTTAAATTCAGTTATCTACATTTCCACACCAATCTAATGTCCTCATAAAAATCCATCAGCATTTTTCGTGCAAATCTCTCCTAATGACACATTTTGTATGCAATTTTGCCCAATATACACATTTTTGCAAAGCATATTCCCCACCGCACTGCCAATTCAATGCATTTCTGTTCAATTATTTTTCACTCACATATGCAGTTTTTAACGCACACTTTACCCAAGTACATGCTGTTTTGTACACATTACTCAGCTGGAGAACTGCATTTCAAAACTGGAAGAGGTGCAGTTTTTGAAGGAAGACTGTGCTTCAGCTCCTTTATGGTTTTGGGAAGTATGAATTAGGAGGTAGGTTCACTGTTAAAGGGGACGCAGGTGGTGCTGTGTGTTAAACCACAGAGCCTAGGACTTGCTGATCAGAAGGTTGGCGGTTCGAATCCCCGTGACAGGCTGAGCTCCCATTGCTCGGTCCCTGCTCCTGCCAACCTAGCAGTTCGAAAGCATGTCAAAGTGCAAGTAGATAAATAGGTACCGCTCTGGCGGGAAGGTAAAGGGCGTTTCCGTGCGCTGCTCTGGTTCGCTAGAAGCGGTTTAGTCATGCTGGCCACATGACCCGGAAGCTGTATGCCAGCTCCCTCGGCCAATAAAGGGAGATGAGCGCCGCAACCCCAGAGTCGGCCACGATTGGATCTAATGGTCAGGGGTCCCTTTACATTTACTCACTGTTAAATGTGAACTGAACAATATACCCCCCCCCCCAAAAATCATCTGCAGCATCAAGGTGGCAGGTTAAGAGGTGCCATATGGGCAGCAGAAGTGACCTTATGTGCCCCCCCCAAAAATGTGGCAGCAACTAGTAATACTAGAGGTTGCCATGTCATTAAAAAACCAAGAATTTGTCTTACCAAAATCCATAAAATCCAGGATTAATATCTGTTGGGGATAATAATATAATCTACTTTACTTTTCCTTACTAATTGAAGTTGGAAGTGGACATGAGTCCACAGAGATTTGTGCCATGACAAATTTCTTATTCTTCAAGGTGCCAAAAAACTCTTCAGTATTTTTGGTGCTGATGAGGATAAAGTGTTTGAGCAGTAATTTGGACAAATACTGATCATGGCTTTCGTAAGATGAAGCCTCTGTTTCTAAGGTACCATAATCTTGCTTCATACTTGTTTATTTTAATTTATTTATTACATATATATATATATCCCACCTTTTTCTCTCTCCAATGAGCTCAAGGTGGTTTACAAGGTTCTCCTCCTTTCCATTTTGTCCTCACAACAACCTTGTGGTGTAGGTTAGGCTAAGAAACAGTGACTAGACCAAGGTCACCAGTATGTTTCATGGCTGAGTGGAGACTCAAACCCTGGTCTCAGAGGTCATAGTCCAACACTGGGTCTCTGGTTGCTTCACAAATGTTCACGTAGTTCTGAGGTGTCTCTTTTTGCAAGGAATACCTGCAAAAAGATGCTCTTCTCGCTGAACTGAATGGTTTCTACTCTTTCAAATCCTGTTCTGCTGCTCAATGAAGCTGCTGTACGCACAACTCCGAAGGCTTTGGAGGAAAAAGAACCTTGCAGACAGCCTATCCCTAGAAGGACCTGGGAGGGGGCACGAGGGAACCACTGCGAAGGAGAAAGAGCTAGTGTGGGATTTGTCCCCTTTTAGGAACATAAGAAGGCAAAGGATCAAGCAAACAATGGGAGTGTTATCCCAGCTGGTAGACCCTGGAAAAAAGCTACTGCTTGTATCAGCCAACACTTATCTTAACAGGCTCTTTGTGATTGCAGCAGATATGTAATATCCCTCTTCATAACAACTGGAACATTTCCAGCTATTCACAGAAAAGAGCTGGAAGAGCTGTGTGAAAAACATCGTTATTACAGGGTTTTCAGCTTTTCAACCCCCCCTCTTTTCCCCAATCATTTAATTATGCCTTTTACTCCTGCGTGTCTCTCTCTGATGTCTCATAGTCACTGTCCTAACCTAACCCCGTCAATTTTCCCCACCCTCTCTCATTACCATTCTCTTTCATACTCATTTAAAATCTTTTCTGCTGCACTCTGCTGCAGTTGCCATCGAAATAAACAGGAACTGCACCAATTTGTGCTTGGCTTTCGCTGTGTTGGCCGTGCATCCCTCCATTCCTTTCATTCAGGCTTTCCTTCCCCCTTCCTTTAAAAAGCTGCACCATTGCAGCCCTTCTCTCTCCCTCTCTCTCTCTGTCTCACCAATACGCTGTTTTGGATCAGAGGAGGCTTTCTGTTCCTCAGATCAAAGTATCTTTTCCTGACTTCTGCCACCTTATTATTATTCATTCATATCGCACCAGATGTGCATGGCGTTTTACAAAGTATGAGAATGGTCTCTTCCCCAAGGGTCTTCTAATCTAAAATAGGAAGCAGGAAAGGCAATACTGGAAATGGAGGGAGATGGGCGTCAGGGATGTAGATGGAAGAAGAGCATGGCATACAGCAATATTCTTCAATGATGGATCCCCAACAAGTTGTCAGGTTACAGCTCCCGTCATCCCTGACCATTGGCTAAGTTTGCTAAGGATGATGGGAGCAGGAGTGTGGCGGCAAATTCAGCAGTGCAGGATCCCCCTCACAGCCACACCCCTTCTAAGATTATGTAGTAATCTCATCATAATACAAGGGGTGTGTGGGGTCTTCTTCTTTGGTGATCACTCATAGCCGAGTAAGATTATCTTCCAGGAACACGGTCTTAACAGTGAGTCCATAAGTGACTGTGGAGGCCAATTCTGGATCCACACATCCTCCCACAGTGGGAGTTGATCATGGTGAGGGTTTGCCAAACATGCCTTCCTCTTAGCACATTTCTCCCTTTCTGCCCTGAGTTTGAGCGTCTTCAGAGTCCATGACACCTTTGGTAAAGGCTGTTCTCCAACTGGAGTGCTCACAGGCCAGTGTTTCCCAATTGTCGGTGTTTATACTACATTTTTTTTAGATTTGCCTTGAGAGAGTCTTTGAACCTATTTTGTTGACCACTAGCATTACGCTTTCCATTTTTAAGTTTGGAATAGAGTAGTTGCTTTGGAAGACAATATTCAGCCATCTGAACAATATGACCAGTCCAAAGAAGTTGATGTTGAAGACCCAGCACTTAGCTCTACACATATGGCTCCTTGAAGCTGCTGGTATGCGGCAGTTCCCCTGCATGCAAAGACAAGCTCCAGTGGACTGAATGGATAAGACCAATAGTGGGCCCAACGGTCAAGAAGGCAGTTTCTGCATGTGCTATAGAGGGAAATGAGGGGCAGATGGGGTTCATGAACCTGGGAAGGTAGTCCATCTAGGAGAAGGAAAACTCTGATATTAAATTCTGCTGTATTGCATGAGAGGAAAAGGTGAAGGAATAAACCCTATACAAATCCGGAATGAAGTCCCTAAGATGGTTTCATGACACCATTGTACACCTTCTTCTGGCAATTTCTGCAGCCAGCTGGTGCCAAACATTTTGCTCTGCTTTCCTTTGGATCACATCAGCAAGGCTGATAGGGTTGCAACCCAGGATCTCCATATACAATGCCCAGGCTTGCACCCTGGGGAGGTCACTTTGGTACTGCTAGCACTGCAGTTTCACTTCACCCCTGGAGGCGCACTCCATTGTCTCTCAAGACAGATGGATGCCAACAACATACAATAACAATAATTAGGGATGTATTGCAACATTCAATGCAGATCTCCATGTTTTGCCTTTCAGCTGGATCTTCTGCACAGGCACCTGGGAAATGATTTGGAGTGCTCCAATATAATTTTTCAGAGTGATTTAAGTTGTATTCTTTGTGAAGTTCCGTTGTGTGTAAGAGAACTTGCACACCATTCTTTTGAAGCTGAAGCACCTTCAGTGTTCTGAAAGTCTTTGTTTTGCAGCATATGGTGGCTAAAAAGAACCATTTCATGCCAACGGGATGGCTCTTGGATGCTGTAGACAGAGACCCTGCTGCAGAAATAGTCATGGATCTTCAACCCCCTGAAACCCCAGAACGCTACACTCTTGGGTGGGATTTGTAGTCCAACAACATCTGGGGACCCAAGGTTGAAGAACAATGGTTTGAAGAAAGTGGTTGGAGGTTCTTCTCCCTCTCACATAATGCTAAAACTCATGTTGTTAAAAATAGCAACATATTGGGAAATGACCTTCAACAACTGAAGGAGAAACAATATAGTTGAGTGTGAATGATGCAGAACATCTCTCATTGTGGAATGTAGATCTGCAAGGGAAATGTCAATGTGACACATTGTAGAAAACAGCGAAGGGTTGTGAATATGGTTGGGAACAACAACAGAGCCTCGACAAACAGTGACAAGGGCAGGATTAGACAACAGATGGGATTAGAACAAGTCATGAATTGCTAACGTCAGCTGGGCGAGGGGATCAATTTGGTCATGATAGTTCTTCAGATGAATAAAGCCCTGGAAACAAAGCAACAGAAAAAGTCTGCTGGCAAAGGACAAATAGAATTAAATAATGGGTTGCAGCAGGGCAGAAGGGAAGAGACATGGAAGGAAAGGAGCAATGGAACTCTCAGCAGAAGAGAGAACAGTAAACCTGAAGGTATAACTAGGCTCAAGCACAAGCAGAAGTGGAGGCTGGTCCTTGAGGATGAATGGGGCACTGCCCCGGCAACCTCTGTCTGCTCTCAGCCAGCCCCCACCATCATATTTACAAGCAATACGAGGGTGGCTCTGCCTGTCAGCTTCCTCCTCCTTAAATCCAGTGTTGCCCATTGTAGAACTCAGCAAAGGAGGCGGAGGGACAAAATTAGAATCAGGCCACCTTCACATTGCAGATTTAAAGCACTATGATGCCACTTTATACAGAAACAGCTACACCCAAAGAATTCTTGGAGCTGTAGTTCGTGATGAGTCCTGAAAGTTGTTAGGAGACCCCCCATTCCCCTCACAATTTCCAGAGTTCCCTGTGAAGAGGGATCAAATGTTAAGCCACTCTGAAAATTGTAGCTTTGTGGGAGGAGCGCTCAGCACCCCTAAGAAACTGCAGCCCCCAGAATTCTTTGAGGGAAGCCACGACTGTTTAAACTGGTATCACTGCAAGGTATGAATGTGGCCACAGCTGGTTCTGCCTGTCATTGGTTCTGGCTCCACCTACAGGGTGGGTTCCCTACCAGCTCCAACAGATGCTAGCTGTTATGTACAGCAGAGGGATACTGTAGATAGTTATGCAAATGAAGGATTGAAAGTGACGTTCAGTGATTGGATAGTTTGAATGCAAATGAAGGATTGAAAGTGACCTTCAGTGATTGGATAGTTTTAGAAAGTTGTTACAGTAACAAGGTACTGGAGCTCTATATAAGCAGGCTGACTGAGCCCTTCAGTTCAGTTCAGTTCTGGCCTCAGAATAAAGAATAAAGAATAAAGAATAAAGAAGAGCTGTTTGAAGAATTGCTGTGTCGTCTGATATGTTCGCCCACAACCTAACACTAGCCGCCACTGAAAACAAACACCTGAGAAGGGAAAGAAAGGAAACACCTGCTTGCAAAAGAAAGGAGAAACGGGGATTGGTTTTTGAGAAACTGCATGGACTTATTTCCCCTCCTGGTTTGAAAACAAGGGAGTTGTTTTTGCCTCATGCTTGCTCTGAAGCCATTACAGAGGCTTCTTAAACCTGCGGCCTACTTCTCCATATTGCTCACCCGGCCACCAACAAGACCATCACCACTGTCTCTGCCGAGCGTACAACTTGTGTGGTGCACTTGGAGGTGTCTGTGCCCTCTTTTTGTTCTTGCGCCTGTCTGAGGTATAGAGGACATCCAGTGAACTTTGTGCGCCACGTCTCACTCACAAAGCTTCTGAATACTGGTTGCTAGGGAACAAGAGCTAGAAAGGTCTGTCGTCCTCAGGTTCTGCTTGTAGGCTTCTTGGAGGAATGCTGGTGGTGACCACCATGCGAACAGAACACTGGAAGAGAAAGGCCTTTGGTCTGATCCAACAGGGTCTTTCTTGCATTCACAAAACCTGTGAATTGCTATTCTTGACTCCGACTCTTCCTCCATCTCTTTCTCTCTCACACACACAAACTTTCCCTGTGGGGTATGTGAAGTAGCTTAGACTCAAAGATTATGGCTCACTAAATGCCACCCAGGGATTTTCATGGCTGAGCAGGAATACAAAACCAGAGCTCTTCGATCTAAGTCAGGGGTCAGCAACCTTTTTCACCGTCCCTCAGAGCATGTGGTGGGCTGGACTATATATTTTTGGGGGTGGGGGAGAGGAATGAACGAATTCCTATGCCCCACAAATAACCCAGAGATGCATTTTAAATAAAAGGACACATTCTACTCATGTAAGAACATGCTGATTCCCAGACCGTCCGTGGGCCAGATTTAGAACGCGATTGGGCTGCATCCGGCCCCTGGGCCTTAGGTTGCCTACCCCTGATCTAAGTTCAATATCACATTACACTATTTTCACAAGGGGACCCCTAAGTATGTGCACCAAAGAGGACTCAGGCACAGAATACACACAGTAACAAGGGTGATGGTGCCTCTGAGCATGTGCAGGGTGCCTTTCGTTTCCCATTCATTCCCCTACACAGGGGCATCAGGAAGTGAAGTTTTCAAGTAAAATAGCATTGCACTCAGCCTCTGCACTGATTTTTTTTAAAAAACAACCATTGTTTCAGCAGCTAATTGTTCCATCTGGAAAAAGTTATTTTTAATGCCATCAAAAATACAAGCAAACAGAATAATACGTATTGCAAGAATCGAGTCCCTGTCAGTCAGCAGATAGCCTGCCTATCTCGTACTTCTGGCCAGCCAAATATAAATGAAAGATAAACCCTGATCTTTCGGCAGCAGCTGTATTTCAGTATGGGGTGAAAGGCACCAGTGAGTGGCATTCAGGGTTAACCTGGTCAGCACTAGAAAACAGAAGTCTGTTTGTGTTTCATTTGTTTTCACATGCCCAAGAGGAACAGATAAGCAATGGCACCATTGTCTGCAATATGTGTGTGCCCATCCAGTTGAAAACACAGGATGGCATGGTGAAAAAACAATTAACCCCTGATTAGATAATAATCCTGGAAGTGCTACACAAGTTAGCCCTCCTCTGGCATCCCATCAGCATGTTAAATGAACACACAAGGAGCAGGCAGCTGTGAGGATAAGTATGGTAGCACCATCCTCCAATGCAATGGTATTCCCATCAACTTCCCTGAGCTGGAGGGCAACTTTGCAAAGCAAGGAGTCTCCCGTGCTCATGGAACCTTCCAGCTCATTTTAGAACCCTGATTTTTCAGGATTCTAAAATGTGCAAGGAGCCTCCGTGAATACAGCTATTGGGTTGTTGTTTTTATTTTTATTATGTATTTTGTGGTTTTAGATCTTGATTTTATTCTGTGAACAGCTCTGAGACCCCCGGGTATAGGGCAGTATAATAATAATAATAATAATAATAGAGACTCACTTTAACAGGCACTCCCCAACTCACAGACAGTAATATGAATTGTGGGGCAGAACTTGCATGCTCAATCCAGGTCCCGCCTTAATCTGTTTCCTGAACAGGCTCACATAATTTCTGAAAATGCTACAGTCTGAAAGCAATGAAAGACAAAGGCTTAGAATATACAGCGATGGTTAAGAAATATACCTTTGAGAACTCATGGTGATTATTACCCCTTTTCAGTTAAATATAAAGTTGAACAGCATCCTGTAATTACTGGAGGTGCCAATGGTTTCTCACTAGTCCAAAATATATATTTGCCCAAATCCATCAGCTCAGCATCTTTCTCTCACTTCAGAAGCAACTTGGGTACCTGCGTGCCATTTATGAATTAGGAGCAGAAAATCACCCACTTTGTCTTCCAGCAAAATTCTAATTTAGGCAATTATTATTTGTTGTTGCTTTTGTTGTTATTAATCCAAATTAATTGGAACAGATGGAATTTAGCAGCATTCGCTCCATCTCCAGAGTCAAAAATTGCTACATGTAAGTTGCTGAAAGGTTCATAAGTCTCATGGGTAGACAAAGATCTGTCTGGTTTTATTATAGGTGTGATCAGTCAGTGCGCTGTTTCTCAGATATCAGTGGAGTTTTGTTGGTGCCTGAGGGTTTCCAGATATGGAAGAAGAGAGGAGCGATGAACATACAGGCCAAGAAATAAATAAGATGGAAGAGGCCAGAACAGATGAAAAAAAAGATGTTAATGTTTTCCCTCACTTTTAAAACTGACTTTACTGCTTGCAGATTTGCCAGAGCATTTCTGTGGGAATACGCACCTACACAGACTGCAAGCCAAGGCTATTTTCCTTAAAAACTATGGCTGATGGGCCTAATTCCTTTCCCCCCCCCAGCCCCCTACCCACACCCCTTGGTAAAACAGGGAGTTCCCAAGAGGGGAACTTTTTTTGTTGTTGTTTAGTCATTTAGTCATGTCCGACTCTTTGTGACCCCATGGACCAGAGCACGCCAGGCACTCCTGTCTTTCACTGCCTCCCGCAGTTTGGTCAAACTCATGTTGGTAGCTTCGAGAACACTGCCCAACCATCTTGTCCTCTGTCGTTCCCTTCTCCTTGTGCCCTCAATCTTTCCCAACATCAGGGTCTTTTCCAGGGAGTCTTATCTTCTCATGAGGTGGCCAAAGTATTGGAGCCTCAGCTTCAGGATCTGTCCTTCCAGTGAGCACTCAGGGCAGATTTCCTTAAGAATGGAGAGGTTTGATCTCCTTGCAGTCCATGGGACTCTCAAGAGTCTCCTCCAGCACCATAATTCAAAAGCATCAATTCTTTGGCGATCAGCCTTCTTTATGGTCCAGCTCTCACTTCCATACATCACTACTACTTCCCAAAGCCCTCCCTTCCTTATCTACCACTGAGCAACTTCTGCAGGGGTAGCACAAGCCATGGAGGAAAGAAGCCCATGCAGAGAGGAGGACCCACTGAGAGCATCTTGCCCCAAACCTGGAATTGGCATGGGCTATGACAGTAACCCTGATGCGGGGTTTGTTATGTATACAGTGGTACCTCGGGTTATATACGCTTCGGGTTACAGACCCTACTAACCCAGAAATATTACCTCGGGTTAAGAACTTTGCTTCAGAATGAGAACAGAAATCGTGCAACAACTGTGCAGCAGCAGCAGGAGGCCCCATTAGCTAAAGTGGTACCTCAGGTTAAGAACAGTTTCAGGTTAAGAACGGACCTCCGGAACGAATTAAGTACTTAACCCGAGGTACCACCGTACAGTGGTGCCCCGCAAGACGAATGCCTCGCAAGATGGAAGACTCGCTAGACGAAAGGGTTTTCCGTTTTTTGAGCTGCTTCGCAAGACGAATTTCCCTATGGGCTTGCTTCGCAAGACGAAAAACGAAAACGTCTTGCAAGTTTGTTTCCTTTTTCTTAACACCGTTAATACAGTTGCGACTTGACTTCGAGGAGCAACTCATAGAACGCGGTGTGGTAGCCTTTTTTGAGGTTTTTGAAGACTTTGGTGATTTTTGAAGCTTTTCCAAAACTTCTTTTAAACTTTTAAAACTTTTTTTTGGGGGGGTTGGATTTTGGGTTGGGGTGTTTGGAATTCAAGGACTTGGTGTTGGGGAGGGGTTTGCAAGAATTTGGAAGCTTGTGGTTTTTTTCTGCATTTTTATGATTTTCTGTGACCATTGGGCCACTCTGCTGTTTTTTTTAAAAAAATTCTGGATTTGAATTTCTGTGTGGTGGGCGGCTGGGGGAACAGTTGGGGAGGGGGTTCTTCAGCAAGAAGCAAAGAGTGGAAGAGGAACCTTCTTCGAATTGTCCCCCAGAGTCTTAGAAAATGTACTGTACACTTTGTTGTTTTTTAAATGTTTTTCTGTCATGTTTAGAAACTTAATTTATTGTTCCTTCAGTTTTTGAAATGCTCTTTACAGTATGTGTGACTTTAAAGAGCACTTAATAAACTCTTGTTGTACCAAATTTGGCTTTGTTTGGACTTTTTTTGACCATAGGAACGCATTAATTGAATTTCAATGCATTCCTATGGGATTTCGTGCTTCGCAAGACGAAAAATTCGCTAGACGAAAAAACTCGCGGAACGAATTAATTTCGTCTTGCGAGGCACCACTGTAATTGGTTTAATTCACACTGAAATGTGAATGCCTGTGTGTATTGCAGAAAGGGTTTAGCTGGAAGATTCAATTGAAGCCAAATGAAAGCAAAAAGGGCTCTCTGAGCTGCCTTGATGGGTTGATAATTAACTGTTATTGTTCTCTGGTAGCTCTGATGTGGCTTTTAACCTTAGCTCACATGAGAGGTATTGAATTGCAAATTCACCACCTTGAAAGGGAGGTGGCTGAAGGTCTTTGTTCCCAGGCTCTGTGAGAGTAAGGATGTAAATGAAGATCTCCAGGTAAACAGCCTAAGTTAGGATGCAGGCTCGAATGCAGGCTGTCGGAAGAGAACCACCTCTGCTTTTAGGTCTGTTGGAATTATTAAGAAGAAGAAGAAGAAGAAGAAGAAGAAGAAGAAGAAGAAGAAGAGTTTGGATTTGATATCCCGCCTTTCACTCCCCTTCAGGAGTCTCAAAGCGGCTAACATTCTCCTTTCCCTTCCTCCCCCACAACAAACACTCTGTGAGGTGAGTGGGGCTGAGAGACTTCAGAGAAGTGTGACTAGCCCAAGGTCACCCAACAGCTGCATGTGGAGGAGCGGAGACGTGAACCCGGTTCCCCAGATTACGAGACTCTTAACCACTACACCACACTGGCTCTCTCATTAAGATGCTGAGCCTATGCCTTGAGCTGCCATATGTCTTATGGAACTGTTTGGATGTATTGTTTGATGTTTCCGTTCTGTTTTGAAGAAAGTTCTGTAAGTAAAGTTTTGAAATAAACTCACGGGCCTTAACAATGTTTTATTTCCAAAAGGGCTCAGTTTTTATGCCTCCAGTCGCTTCAAACTGTGCAATACTGCAAACTGTGCAAAATCTGCAATAGGGTACGCCATGTGAATTAAGCAACACACCTTTCTAAACTAAAACAGTGCCTGGACCCGATGAATGGGATACAAAGAGAGCTCTTCTTACTGACAGGCCAAACTCATTGACAGTCGTGTGAGCAATGCTAGTTCGTTGAAACAAATGAAAACTGTGCCTTGGTATATGGATGCAGAAAGTGAGAGCTAGCCTGTTGCTGGCAGGAATTCCAGTACAGCATGTGAAGTGCATTTTCCCCACTTATTAACACAGAATGGCCTCTTTATAGTATGCAGACCTTTTAAAACAGTCTTTAAATAACGGCATTTTTAAAGCTCTTGGCAACATAGAGATGCTGTGAAAACACTAAGTACCCAAACAGAATAATCTTAAGAGGGAAAACTTATGGTGGCAAAGCAGCCAGGAACGAATAGCTTACCAGAAATTTCAGTTTTATTGGCAATACGTTGAAATGCCATAAAATTGTGCTGAATCAGCCCCCACAGAAGAGTAACTGAGGCCACTATATCATATTGGCCCCTCCATCCAGTCATGGCTGTGCTTGCTGAATAATAACATAAGACCCATGAGATTTACAAACCTTTCAGCAAGTTACATGTAACAGCAGTGGTGGGCTTGGGTACTATGGAGCCTTGTAGAGGTTAAATTTGGCACCCCCCACCCAGTCTTTGTGATTCCTTCCCAAAGTCGGCTAAGGAGTTTCCAGAGAATGTAGACAATGCTCACCCCAAACTTTTGCATTCCTATATATTCTCCCATTTCCGCCCCTTCCGCAACACACAACCCAAGCACAGATTTTTAGGTTGTATTCAATCTTAGGCTAATTTTCTGTAATTGGAAGGATTTCTCCTTGCATAATGACACTCCCCCCCCCTTGTTCCCAGCTCTTAAATATCTTCTGCGGTTTCCTCCAACCTTTTGGAACAGATTTGGTGGTAGTCATGCATGAGGATTGGGACGCGGGTGGCGCTGTGGGTTAAACCACTGAGTCTAGGACTTGCCGATCAGAAGGTCGGCGGTTTGAATCCCCGCGACGGGGTGAGCTCCCGTTGCTCGGTCCCTGCTCCTGCCAACCTAGCAGTTCGAAAGCACGTCAAAGTGCAAGTAGATAAATAGGTACCGCTCCGGTGGGAAGGTAAATGGCGTTTCCGTGCGCTGCTCTGGTCCGCCAGAAACAGCTTAGTCATGCTGGCCACATGACCTGGAAGCTGTACGCCGGCTCCCTCGGCCAATAAAGCGAGATGAGCACCACAACCCCAGAGTCATCCACGACTGGACCTAATGGTCAGGGGTCCCTTTACCTTTACATGCATGAGGAGCACTACTGGCAATCCTTTTGCACATTGAATGCCACCAATAATCTTACGTAACTGTAGCACAATCTTTTCTGGTGTCCACAAACTCTAGTGATATTGTCTTACCTAGGGACAGAGAAATGAGTTGTGTTCTTGCTGAGAGCACAGAATCCCACCTCTCCCGTTATAGTAACCCCTGAATTTTCTTTTCCACCGCCATTTTCTTCAAAGCAGTGTTGCATCTGACAACAATCCCTCCCAACCCAGTCTCTAGGACTAGCTCAAGGGTGCCACTTATTTCCACTTCTGAAACGAAGAGTTCACAGGGAAGGGAGGGATCACGTGGGAAGCATGTACTAACCACAAGGCTCGTAGGCTTGTTTGGGAATTTTTCACATGGTTTGCCACTCCTGTTTTTATATATTACAGGAGTACAGTGGTACCTCGGGTTACATACGCTTCAAGTTACATACGCTTTAGGTTACAGACTTCACTAACCCAGAAATAGTACCTTGGGTTAAGAACTTTGCTTCAGGATGAGAACAGAAATTGTGCTCTGGCGGTGTGGCAGCAGCGGGAGGCCCCATTGGCTAAAGTGGTGTTTCAGGTTAAGAACAGTTTCAGGTTAAGTACGGACCTCCGGAACGAATTAAGTACTTAACCTGAGGTACCACTGTAGTATGGGGTGAATCATCTGGAGGCTCTATCCATACTACCAAGATGCCATACTAATCCTTTTCCCAGCTGATGTCGATTGCTGGTCATAGTTTAGTGGTAGAACTCAGTGGCAGAGCACAAACTCTGCATGCAAAAGGTCCCAGGCTTAAGCCTCAGCATCTCCACATAGGTCTCGAAAAGACTCTTGTCCATAAACCCTGGGCAGTCAGTGTCAATAGTACTAAACTAGATAGACCAATAGTCTGACTCAGTTCAAGGCAACTTCCTATGCTTCTGAATGTTTTGAGTGTTACAGGCTCAGAATCAATAAGAGCATAAGTCCATTGAACTTGCGTGACATAATTGTTTTGAATTTGGAAAATAATTATGTAGCTCACCCCAACTGGAATTTTGCCCAGAACCAAGATAAAGTGAATAACCTTTCAGAATTATAAATTATCTCATGCTTCAATGGTATTAAAATGGAACGAGATGCCAAAACACCCAAAATGTGTGTGTGTGTGTGTGTGTGTGTGTGTGTGTGTGTGTTAGTTAATGACTAAGAAAACCGGTCTTTGGTCTCTTTAGTGATCAGAAGCGATTTTTTTTATTGAATTCAAAAGAGCTATTAGAGTCTATTCTCATAGGAAACAGCTGCAATCTCTCCATATTTTTCCATAGCAACTGCCCAGAGCTGACTGCATAGCTGTTCCAAGTCTATTAAGAGAATGAATTTTCAGATATCAAGAAACCTGCTTGTATCCGCTTTGCATTTGATGAGCCTACCAGATTATGCTGGGCCTTGTAAACCACCCAGGAAAAAATTAAAGTTGTGGATATACCTGGAACCTATCACTGGAATCTGTATCACAAGCACTTGATTTTGAACTAGCCAAGGAAATAAATCTTCAAAAGGATAAAATTCAGTAAAAATCTTAACATTTAGCATATCTGGATCTGAAAGCTGATCATTTCAGCCTTGGAATTCTAAGATCATTTGAACAGTGGTCCACAGAGGTGACATCAGGACTGAGTTGTGGGGAAGACGTCTACCCATTGCCAGCATAATTAGTAGGAAGCTGTCCCGCCCCCGCCCCGCCCCCACCCCCCATGCAGCAGGGCTCATTTACCATATTGTGAAGAGATACACATTACCATCTAAAGAGCTTCCTATTCCATAATATCAATGTTGAATGTCTAAAATTTCCTGACTGTACCATTGATGGCCAACATTGCTGGAAAGTTCCAGGAGATGGATTTTTGGACCGTACAAAATGATACGAGCCATAAACAAAAATAATAATTAAACTGATAAGAACAGAGGAATCTCTATATTAGAGGATAAAGGTAAAGGGACCCCTGACCATTAGGTCCAGTCGTGGCCGACTCTGGGGCTCATCTTGCTTTATTGGCCAAGGGAGCCGGCGTACAGCTTCTGGGTCATGTGGCCAGCATGACTAAGCCGCTTCTGGCAAACCAGAGCAGCGCACGGAAACGCTGTTTACCTTCCCGCCAGAGCGGTACCTATTTATCTACTTGCACTTTGATGTGCTTTCAAACTGCTAGGTTGGTAGGAGCAGGGACTGAGCAACGGGAGCTCACCCCGCTGCGGGGATTCGAACCGCCGACCTTCTGATCGGCAAGTCCTAGGCTCTGTGGTTTAACCCACAGCACCACCCGTGTCCCTATATTAGAGGATACTTGATTCCAAATCTATGTACAGGCAGTAAAGCAGCATACATCTTGGGAAGTGCAAGTGCATGCAAAAAATGGTTTTAGTGGGCAACAGTAGAAAATAGCACCTGATATGGTGTACAAGTCCTTCCTAGGGTTGAGGTTTGGAAGAGAAGGTCAGTCTGGTTTGCAAATGTCCAAAAAGGGAGTTTGGGGGCATGTCTGGGTTTGCTTTTTGTGTGGCTACACTAATCTTCTTCCACCATATGGGTGCTTGGCAGCAAGAGTGTTTCTCGAGGCTAGGGGGTACTCTGAGGTGGCTCCTGGGAAGTCCAGTCTTGCCTGAGTCACAGTGGCGTAAGGGATGTGCTATGGTGCACATAAACTGGACTGGTTTATGCTTGGCGGCATTCCGTGAATCTTCAAATTCATTCAAACTTTCAAATCAAATATGGAGGCCAGTGTTTCTATCAAGAACTACTTGTCACTGGGTTAGGACCGGTTTGAATGGTTTAAATCACCCAAAGCAGGAAATATTCAGCCTACTGTAAATGTATTTTGTCTTACCAAAATGTGCCTTGAGTATGGAGTGTATGTTTGATCTTCTGCGTGTTTTGATACTTGCATTAAATAAATTTAATTTTTAAAATGATACTAATAATTGGGCTCTTTGGTTCTATACTTTGTTCAGAGGACAGGAGTTAGAAAGCATCTGCCTACCATTAGATAAAAGAGGAAGGATGCTTAGTTCATATTGCATTGGGAATCTATGTGGCAGTCTTCTCTTTCTTTGCTTACAGAACAACGTATTGTTCCTTGATCTAGAGTCATCATTACCCAAAGAGTCCAGCTATTGCACATCCCTGGGTGATCCTCCGGTTGACCCCTATATGGTGCAAGCAGAATGACAAACAATGAATGTGGCAGACTTGGAAAATCATTTGATTGCCAAATACTGCACTAATTGCACAATATCTGCTCAGATGTAAGTCCCACTGAGGACCTTTCACACGGGTATGATTAGCTCCCTGTAGTTTCTTTAATAAGCCGCTTATGTTCTTCCAGATATCTCTGTGTTTTCCTTAAGCTTTGATAGTATGTTTCTTTCAGAAGCAGATCTATTCTTTCCCTTGAAAGTTTTGTCGCTTTCCTGGTGATTGACTGCGGTTTAGCATTAGGGCGTTTTTCACACCTGGCCTTTCAAGTCGTTCTTGTCATGCCGTTGTTCAAGCTATATTAGCCAGCATGCTCATTTGAATTACAAATGTAACTTTTCCTGCTTTCTGTTCTGCATCAACAACAATCAGATGTTCACACAAATGAACACACTTTCAAAGGCTTGAAAGGCGTTTAAGTCTCTTGTATGAAAATGCTCTTCATCTTGAGATGGGGAACTCTTATCGAGTGTTGCCGGTCTAGACTCTCTTTCCTGCCTATAGTGTTACAAAAGTTGCATGCCACCCCAACTTCTGCAGAGCGGTGCATGTGATTCCAGGGGGTTCCAGGCCTTCACCCAAGGTCAAGACACAGCAGAGACTGCAGTGCCTCTGAAATATACAGTGGTACCTCGGGTTACATACGCTTCAGGTTACATACTCTGCTAACCCAGAAATAGTGCTTCAGGTTGAGAACAGAAATTGTGCTCCAGCGGCATGGCGCGGTGGCAGCGGGAGGCCCCATTAGCTAAAGTGGTGCTTCAGGTTAAGAACAGTTTCAGGTTAAGTACAGACCTCGGGAACGAATTAAGTACTTAACCCGAGGTACCACTGTAGTTTATTAACACACTTAGGAATAGGCAAAGTGAATTTACAGCATTCTCAGCTCAGCAGCAGCTTGTTCTTCATAGCAGCCCAGCATTGCAGACAGAGACATTCTTCTTCTTTTTTTAATTAAAGATTTTCTTGATTTACAAAAGTGTGTGCAATGTCTCTCTCTCGTATTTTTTTCCTCCATGTAACATTTTTACAAATCAGTTTCATTTGTTGAGACGTGATAGTGTTGAGGAAGTGATAGTGACTTCCTGTGGTTAGGCTAATCGTTTCCTGGTCCCAGGAAACTGGTCTCACCTATATTTTAGCACTTTGCTAAGTCCAACATCTGGCTCCAAGCATTTATTAAATTTACAAACTTTGGGGAATCTGCCCACCACCTCCAGAAACCTACACCACTTTATTCAGGAAGACTATGGCTGTGATACATTATAAACATAGGAAGTTAAAGAAACAACATCCCCAGATCCTAATCTGGATCCTTGCAAATGGAGAAGATGCTGTTGATAATAATCACCGCCACCACCATCACAACTAGTTCTTAAGGAGCACTTACCCCACCTCATGTTCTTACCTAAAATATTAGTTAAATGTGCTTTGAATTAGTATACGCTGTATATTGTTGCATGCTACTCCAGTCTCTGAGCAGGGCAAGATTCCAGGGGTTCCAAGTGATTTGGGATGAGGCACAGTGCAGACTGTGGTGTCTTAATGATATATACACATGATATATACAATATATACCTGAGCCTGCGATGGAGGGATTCCATCATCTACACCCCAGGTGAGTCTTGCTTCTTCCTAGGCCACAGCTTTTGATTCCAGCAGAAATCCAACGTGGCTCTCTCTCTTTGTCACTCCAGCCTTCTGATTCTGCATCCAGCTTTTATCTCATATAACTCCAGCCTCCACTCTGGCCTTTTGACTTTCTAACTGACAGGTCAGTGGTTGGACCCCTTTGCCCTCTAGCACAGATCCAATCCCTTGGTTACCTTAACAACCTATATTTAATATGCCAGCTATTCCAGCAATGGTGGATCCAGGAATTAGAGGGGGCGGGGCTCATGCATACAGCCTACCCCCCACAAACTCATAACAATATAGAGCATTTGGAAACGTCTAAGGCTCACTTAAGACTGCCACCCGCTCTGTATGCAGCCCAAAGATAGATTGGATGACCCAGTATTGTCTGACTCTTCTTTCAAAAATCTCTGTAATTCTATTTCAATAAAGGTTTGAAAAAAAAGCTTACATTTCATAACTCCATCTGAAATTCAGGGGATAAAAACGCTTACAAGCAATTTACAAGAAAGCAGCAGCTACTCTTTTAGTGACCCAGCCGCAAAGTATTTTTCACGACTGGAGGATTGTGGAGGTAAATTCATCCTGGGGTAAGAGTAAAATTATTCCAGTCACAGCATGGAATACCCAGTCAAAGCCTCAATAAAGTGTGTACCAAATAGTGTGTTCACAACAGTGAACAACACTCTCACAATTATAAGATTTCAGTGTGCATTAGCTGGTGTTTGGTGTCATAAACAACACCTGTGGTAGCATCTGTTTTTGTTTTCTGTAAACTTGCTTGGGTCACATCTGTGCCATGCTTATGGTGACCTGGAAGACTTGCCATTTTAAATATTTTAATATGTATAGTTAATTTCAATTTAATTTCACTCTGTTGGCATTGCCTTAATACTGTAAGTGTGAGGACCAGTGCATCCGTTGGGCAGCTTAGAATGGTGTCCAAGATGCTCAGTCTTCAGATGGCTTTTCTTCCTCTTCCTTATCTTTGTGGAATAGATGGTTTCACAGGTTTTTAATAGTAATTGCAGACCCTCGCATTCAACAGCTGCAGTGGCTCCCGAGAAGGAAGGAACCAGAGGACTCTGTGCAGCGCAAATGGGACCTTCCTACAAACTGTGGTGGGAACTCAAAAGTTTGAGAATTGCTTTGGAAAGAGTGACAGGCTGTTGACGGGAGCCCGATGGCAAGTACGCGATTCCCAGGTTACAGCAACTACACAAATCCAAGTGCTGGTTATGCCGTGTAAACAGTGGCAGACTTCAGGCTCTCAAATTTCAGCAGTGCCAAGTGTGATGCTAAAATTTAGCTCCCCTGTGTTTCGTGCTCCATTCTACAGCATTGTTGTAACACTCCCTGCAGTGTGGTGCCCAGTGTGGCCAAATTGCTTACACTACCCCAAAACCACCTCTGCTATGAAGTCCTAAATGGCTTGGACCAGGATATCTTAAGGATCACCTTCTCCCATACAAGCCTGACAGGGTGATGAGTACTTTTGGAGAGTCCCTTCTCTTTCTCCCAATAACATCTGATGTGTGTGCTGGTGGGAACTTGATACAGCATTTTCTCAGTGGCTATGCCCAGACTTTGAAATTCCTTTGCAAAGCACCTTTCTTGATAGCCTTGGCTGACATTCTTTTATTTACTTATTCCAGCTGCTCTTATCTGAACTTTACATTATTTTACATTATTTTATTGTGATTTATTCTGTTGTTGCTTAATATTTATCACGCACCAGGTTTATTGTTAGCTGCCTGGGGCACTTTTTCATGAAAAAGTGGGATATAAGTGTAATAAATTCTCACTTTCTTTGGAGTGATTGACACTGGCCATCACAGTTTTTGAAATACAAGTCGCACACCAAGTACCATTCTTGAAGCAGAGACTTACAAAATACATACTGTCATCGCATAATATACATGTAACAAAAGTAATAATATTGCAATATTATGTGCTGTGGCAGCGGCATAGCTTCATAAATATGAGATTGGATTTGGAAAATAAGCTGGTGCCAACCAAATACGTGGAATGATAAATAGGCAAGGACCCCTACTTTCTTTAACTCAAAACAGGAACTGCTAAAGAAAGGGTAAGTGCTGCTTTGTTTTGCTTTGAATGATGAACACTTAAATTACTCTGCATTCATCTTTTCATTTTCATTTAGTTATTTTGCAGGGACTCACTGAAGAAAGGAAATAAAATGACAACTCTGATTTTTTAAAAACAACAACAAAAACAACCATGAGCCAAGACATTATGAAAATACCTTGTGCATATTTACTCAAAAGTAACTCCCATGTATGCAATGGGACTTACTCCCAAGCAAGCATGCACAGTTCCCAGTCTAAATCATGACATTGCAAACAAAAGAGTAACTTCCTTTTGCACAACAATATCTGACTTTTCCAGTTTGCAACAGACGCTTCTTCTTCGGAAGAGGTAATATAGATTAACTCTGTTGACCTCCCATAGAAGCCAAGATTTTCAGAAACCTTTTGTTTACGTTGAATAAGCCTCACGTTCCCCTGTGGGTTCATTAACCGGCTTACCTCTATGGGTATATAAATGCCCACAGATAGAGATAAATCGATACATTTCTGTCATGTCTGGCATGGTATGTGCCAAGTGTGAATAGCAAATGTATAAAGGGTATTGACTGAGGAAATGTAATTGATAAGGAGGGTTTTAAGACATATTTATATGTGTGTGAAGTTGGCTTATACTGAGTCAGTCAGTTGACCCATCTAGCCCAAGTGTAGGGAACTTCAAGACCGGTTCCCAAATAACTGGCCCTCATAACCATACCCAGACCCACATCTCTTGCTGGCTCTTCTTTGCATTCAGAGTGTTTTCTTTTGCTGGAAAGTCTCCTTGAACTCTGTCCTACTTACCTAGATGGAGCCTAGAGAGGCCGGTGTGTGTACAAACCATCTTACCATACAAAGGCTGCTCCGCCCATTTTTGCCACTGGCCCCGCCCACCACTGGCACATGGCCCTCAGAAGTTTGCCTAGAAAGCAATGTGGCCCTTGGGCTAGAAAGGTTCTTCCCACCAGTGAACCAAAACACAGACATCCTTTGACATTCACGCATCTCGGAATTTTGCAATGCGGTTTGCCAGCTAAGTAGCATGTACCAAAATGAATATTCAGAGGTAAAGTTATGCACATAAATGCATACGTCAGAGGAAACAACTTTGGGCAAATACGCGTACAAACATATTTCTGTTAGGAGCAATTCACACCCGAATGCTGATGAATTTTTATGAGGAGTGTTTCCATTGCAAACGAATACACAGAACTGAATTTACAAGTGGAAGAAGGAGAAAATGGGGGAATCCAAAATTAACAAATTAACCAATCCCACATAAAAGGAGACCTGCTTGATCAGACCAAGAACTTGTATAATAAAGGCTCAGGAAGCAGATGAAGTAAAATAACTTTGCCTGAGACCAAGGAGAGCTGTTGCCAGTCAGAAATGTCCCCAATTTGCATTTTGTGTGTATGCTTAATTCTAATCTTATTTCAGTCGTATTGTCTGTCCTTCTGCCCATCCTTTTCTGTCTATCTTGCAGATGTCCTTTCGTTCTTTTTTAAAAAAGTAGCTTGGCGATGTTCTGATGTTAACAGGCTCCACGCTGTGCCTTTCTTCAGCTGCTAATTTCTTCCCCAAAAGATGCTCTGGAATGCTCAAGAGCAAACCAGGCCAGATTATTTTCTGCTTCGTTGACAATGCTCCTTTGTGCTGCACCTGTCACATTTCTATCTGTCACCCAGTAGTTAAAAATCAACAGCAGCCAACCCAAAATCGCAATATACAGGCACGGCCAGCTGAACAGACTTTCAGCTGAATGAGAACAATCCCCAGTCCCACCCGCCCCCCCTCCACCCACTTCAGTTCCTTTTAATACTAAATTATGCCATCCCTAGCCAGATTAAGGCCACCCCATTGTGCCTTAGGCTGAAAGCGGAGTCTAAAGAGCAACAGCAGGTGGAGGTGGAGTGCAAAAATCGTTACTACTGATGGCTGGCCACCTGTGCAGCTGGGCTGCTGGAGGAATTTTAAAGATGAAAGGATTCTGGGAGGGAGGGAAGGAGAGAGAGAGAGAAAAAAAATCTGGCTGTGAAAATGTGCAAGACTTGGACATGTTGAGGATTGATTCCCCCCTAGTGTGTGTGCGACAGTACAGTTAAGTGCTTCCTCTGATGTCTTCCATTAGCTTCGGGCTGCAATCCTAAGCATATTTACTTGCAGACAAATCCCACGGAACTCAATGTGATGTATGTCTGAAGAAATGTGGTCAGGATCAGGCTATTAAAGAAATGGCAATCATGCATCTTTGGGACCAAGCTGCACCGAACACAGCCGGACTTACTTCAGGCTGAACACGCAGAGGACTGAGCTGTCCTTCTTGCTTGTTTCATTCATTTATTTATAAATCTCTGTGCAGATTATAAAACTTCACTCTGCCCTTCTGATGCATATGCATTATTCGAGGCAATTTACATAGGTTCAAATTGCAACCTCGCAATAGAACGTCGACATCAATAAAGTATTATAGATAAAGTCATGAGATTTTTTTTAAAAAAAATCAAATGTTATCTACACAGTAAGGATTTTTTAAAAAAATAATAATTATGGTAGGTGTTCTGAAGTTGGTTTCAGGACTTATTCCCACTGGCCCCATATTATTGACTGACTAAGCAAAACTTAAATAATAAAAAGACGGAGCCACACATCTGATCAGTCTGAGGAACTTTTGAAACTTGGACTTGCTGACATTCTGCTGCAATCGCTTCTCAGGAAATAACCTGAATGGCTGTTGGGGATGCAATTACTGCAAGCGAAATACTTGTGACGAAAGGAATGCCTTGGGGATGTGTGACTTTGGGCGCAGGGCACTGGCAGCAAAAATGCTCCCCAGCTGCCAGAGCACAAGCGGATCGTCTCATAGTGTAACAGAGGACTGAAGTGTGTCATCTGTTTCTCCCTCCCTCCCTTCCTCCCTCCCTCCCTGTGTGTTTCTGCACCCTAACACACAGCTGCACAGAGAAGACAGCACAGCACTGACATACTGTGTAAGAAGTCAGAATTTAAACAAACAGCATCTTGCTTGCTTTTTTGTAAAAAAAGTTTTTTAATAACCACATTTGTCAAATTTTGGCAATAGGACCCAGCCGTACAATAGAGATCTGAATTTCCCACAGTTGCAGTTTTGTTGGCGCAAAGGTTCGGTGATGCAGTGCGCAGCTGTTGCTCCTTGCATTTTGCAAATGGCAGCTTTCGTAACCGGCTAATCGGTGCACCAGGAAGAAGGCTAATCGAGTGGCATCACTTTCTCTGAGCTTGTGCCCCCCCCTTCTTTTGCATCAAATGGTACATAGTGGCAAAATAATATTCCACAAGATGTGCCTTTGAGATACGTGACTTTCAACACGGGGGCACCGACAGTGTAATGCTTTACAGCTGCCAGAACACAAACAGGACTTCTCACAGCGTAGCAGAGGGCTGGAGTGTGCCGTATGTTCTGCGTGGCCAGGGCTGGCAGGGACCTTTCTGGGCAGCCAGCTTGGCATCAGCTCTGAATCAGAAGCAGAGTCATAGCACTTGGTAACAGAGGGCATCATGTTAACACATGCTGATGAGCAACCTCCTTCTATGTGGGCCTTTGGCAGACACGCAGACACACACACACACACACACACACACACACACACACACACACCATGAAGAGCAGCAGAGGGAAATCTGCAACTCCACTGGTGTGGGGGGTGAACAGATGGAATCAATATAGTTGCTGGGTGACTTGTGCAGAATAGATGCTCTAATCCAATATATCTCGCCCCTGACAAAACCCTGTTCCAGAAAAAGAAGAAGGCCCTGCTGGCACAATTTGGTCTTCCTCTTGATTCACTTGATAACCAGTTATGGAAACCACTATTTACAACGAGAGGAGTAATAGCTACACAAGGCAGCATGTGCTCTCTGAGCCAAGGTCTCCCCCTAAGAGGCTATGGCCATATGAAATCTCCATCCGTTATGCGCTGACAATTTGATAAGTAGAAAGCTAATGTGACTTTTAATCTGTATTCACTCTATTGTTATTTTAACTTTCGGAAGGTCTTAAATTATTGCTATTACAATTTCTTATTGATAACTTTATTGCTTTAACTCTTTCGCAAACCACTTTGAGGGTTTTATTTTTACAATCAGGTGGTATATAAATCTTAAGAAATAAATAAATTTATGAAATAGAAAGCAAGGATGCTCTTCCTTGTTTTAATCTATGTAACCCTGCCCACTGCTTGCCACACAAAATGCACATCTCAGGCCAACACCACTAACGCTTTATAGTTTTTTATCTTGAAAAACTTTACTGATTTTTATAATAAAGGAAAGATACATTTTTTGTACACAATAATACAAAAATGATGCAGGTGTGGATGGCAGGAAGGGAATAATAATAATAATAATAATAATAATAATAATAATAATAATAATTTATTTATACCCCGCCCATCTGGCTGGGTTTCCCCAGCCACTCCGGGTGGCTTCCAACAAAAGATTAAAAATACATTAAAACATCAGTCATTAAAAACTTCCCGAAACAGGGCTGCCTTCAGATGTCTTCTAAACGTCTGATGGTGTAGAAAAGGAAAAGGGGGAGAACAGTAAAATAAATAAATAGGTGCAATGCATCTTTTGTAATGGAAGTCCAAATTAAGATAGAAAGTTTATGTCTTAGGTTATTAGCAACATACCTACCCTACAGAACACATACCCAGACCACATCAGACTGAACCAGCAGAGGCCGATGGACTTTTGCTGCTGGCACCACTAACACTTATGAGGCATCACCCCAATCGTGCATCAGATACACATGCCCAACTCCACTTCTCTTCTCACTGCTACCATCTTCTCCTTGGGCTGGAAGAACATCAGTGGGAAAAAGAACTTTGAATCCTAGCATGGCACTTTCATAATCCTAATAGCCTAACACAGGAAGAAACTAATGGGATTAAAAAGAACATCATTGTCAGTTCATGCTTTTCAGCCCATGGGTAAGTACAGAAGTCAACAGAGGTGGAGATGTCTCACATTGACATAGTATCTAGTTTAGGACTCTGCCTGGAATTTTCAAGGTGACCTGCTGAATCCCTACTGGTTCATGCACATTTGTGTCATCCCATAGAATTCTGGCATATGGGTAGTGCTAATCCAGTCCTAAATTTTCCATGAACAGAGATAGAATCATGTTGACCTGTTCTTGCCATACATGACATCTCCCTAGGGGTCACATGCAGAAGTTGTCAGCATGGCCATCATAGGACCTTATCATGACTGTGACAGGCCTGTGACACAAACTCCTCTGCAGCCTCTCCAGTCTTCAGGAGCCAGGAAAGAATAACCTCTCTATTCTTAATCTGACGGAGTCCTGAAAAAGCAAGGCAGGAAGGCCCAGCACTGTAAATAAGGGCTCTTGGAAATAAGAGGAAACAAGTGGAACTTGCAGCACAGTATTGCAGCATGGAGTGCTCTTGTTAGTTAGTTATGCCTCCTTCACCATCACCCATCATTTTCCATTACAACCACCACACATGCTCAGCCATCACTGGATTCCCCACCTCAAGGTATTTCTTCTGCTAAATATATTCTGGCACTGCCGCTTAACCTGAGGATTCCTCAAAGCCAGTGTGGTGTAGTGGTTAAGAGCGGTAGACTCGTAATCTGGTGAACCGTGTTCGTGTCTCTGCTCCTCCACATGCAGCTGCTGGGTGACCTTGGGCTAGTCACACTTCTTTGAAGTCTCTCAGCCCCACTCACCTCACAGAGTGTTTGTTGTGGGAGAGGAAGGGAAAAGGAGAATGTTAGCCACTTTGAGACTCCTTCGGGTAGTGATAAAGCAGGATATCAAATCCAAACTCCTCCTCCTCCTCCTCCTCCTCTTCTTCTCCTCCTCCTCCTCCTTCCCCTTGTGTGGTGTTATTTTTTGCTAATAAGGAGCAGCACTCAAAGTCCAAGCCCTGGATATGTATGAGATGTAGCTGATTGAGATAGCTATGCTCATCTCAAACATATTTCAAGGTCGCAGGAGCAGATTAGAGATCTTCACCCCACTTTGCCCCAGTTGAACCTAGTGCTGTTTCAGAAACCACCAGTTTCAGCAAACAGATGTGGTCAGCATATAAAATGTAGTTCTGCTCTTTCTTGGGGAACTTCCCAGCTGAAAAGCTAAGTTGGCATCAGTTCTGCTGGACCCCAAGCACAGCTGCTTCTGGTTGCCGTCACTAAAAACAGTAGAGATGGGAAGCCTGTAACAGCTTTGCAAGGACTGCAAATGAGCTGTTTTTCCCAAAATAGCAACACTGCCGTCCATGTGGCATCAGTCCAATTTACCGTACTGAAATCAGCTTGTATGGAGGAGAAAGCAAACATTTCTGCTGGCAAATAAGTTAGTTTCATTTTTAAAAAAGGAACAAGCCACCCTAACATGTAACAAACATATGGAGAACTACAAGACATGCCCCCCTGCTGCCTGGAACCCAGGACCACTTGGTCTAAAGACCTACTGTTTCATCCAAGATGCATAAGAGTTGGCCGCGGCTGCTCAGGAGTAAGGAAAAGGTACACAGCTATTGAGAGGCAGTGCAAGCAACACTATGTGTTGAGAAAAGCAATCCAAGCTAACAGGAAATACAGGACTTCCAGGATGACTATGTTAAACCACCAATGTTCTCTCCCACCCACCCTGCTTGGGATTGGAGCCTAACTGAGCTGCTGGATTCTAGATTCCAAAGTTTTCAGGTCAGGAGAAACCAAACTTACCTGCAACAGAACCCTGACTCTGTAGCAGGAACGGGGTACCAGTGGCCCTCCAGCTGTTGCTCAACCACAATATTCATCAATCTTAACCACTGGCCATTCAGGAAGGAGATCATGCAAGTTGGAGTGCAACAACATTGGGGACAAGGGCCTGATCCTATGCATGTTTACTCAGGAAAGTCCACTGAATTCAGATTCCCAAGTAAATGGGCACAAGACTGCAGCCTCATCCTGCGCGTGTTTATTCAGAAGTGAGTCCCGCTGAATTCAGCCTGAAGCATTCATGAGTTCATTGCCAAGCAAGCCTGCCCAAGGGTTCGGCCTAAGACAGGCTTTCACCACCCAGCTTCCCTAATAACGCCAAATGCTCAGTGCATTATTTTCTTCTCCCATTTGTCTAGGTAATCTGAGCTGGATGATCACCTTATCCCACCAACATGTGGCCGCCTACAATATTTCATTATTGCAGAGTGACAAAAATAGTTCTTAATTTTATTAATCATATGGATTGAATCCCTTCCCCTCAGACACAAGCACTGGGCATGAACTTAATCTGAAGTGACTGATTTAGCTTTAATGCTGCTTCTGTTTCCCACATTGATCCATCAGTGGAATAAATGACATGGATAATTGCTTTTTTAGAGCAGGCTTTTCTGCTGCTATGGCTGAGCCCACTGTTAAGCTTGTGCTTTTACAGAGCACTGTGTCTATTTGTTGGCTCAATAATGAGGAGGGGGGAAGACTCTGGTGCACCATTGTGCCATCTTACTGCTCTGTGGATGTGCAAAGCTATTTGCAAAGCCCGGATAGGAAATACAAAGTCATATACAGCTCTAGATGCAGCAGCAGTAATTACATCTATAGATCAAAGGCACAATAGGGCTCAGCTGTTTTATGGGCCTCGGCAATTACAAAATTGACAACAGTAGCAAGCAATTGTAGAGCTGCCTGTATTGATGAAATTACATTAAATGACACTTCCATATGAAATCTCACATAGACGGGCCTTGCACTTTAGTCCCAGTTAAGAGAATTCCTACCAGACGCCGGAAGAAGCTTTATATAGCATCCCCAGATCTGCTATAGCAGCCTTTACGAGGGAGAACATTTCCCTGCATCAACATCATAAAGGTGCATTTTCATGTTTTGTCAACTAGACTCTGTTGGCCTCTCTCTCATTATGAAACTGGCCCTGGGTCGCCTTACACAAAAGATTCCCACCGATTTCATCAAGTGCGAGCTCACAATGGCAGCCATTGGTAACAATTGGATGCAAGGCAGGGAAGCTGCTTCTCAGATGTTAAAAGTCTCCAGGGAGATAAACAGAGAAGGGCTCAAGACCTATGGAAAAAAGCTTGCCTGGCATTGATTGAGCTCTAAAGCACCAAGTTAAACCTTTGCCACCAACTTATATTAGCAGTTTTCAAGGCCACTGAGGGCCCCCTCCATACCGGGCTTGTATTTTTTCTGAAGAGGGAGGTATTCTGCAACATGTCCTTGGTGCAGTTAGAGTGCCCCAGTGATGGATTTATTCTGGACCATCCACACATCGTTCTGCTTTGTTGGTTGTGCACTGATGCTTCCCCAACGTTATCTCTTTACTGCCATCTGGAGGGGCACTCTTGCATTATAGCGCAACCAAAGAGGAATTGCAAATAAACGGGAACATTGTGGTATAAAAGGTTGCAGGATTTCAGCACCAGTGTACCAAGTGAGAACAAAGCAGTAGGTCCACCCTGAAACATTTGCAGGCGCAGGCAGTAGCGAAAGTGGGATCATGTATAACCTTCCTGATACCATCATGAGCACATGTGTCATGAGTGCACAGTGGAAAAGATATTTGGAAAGGCCTTTGCTATGTCAGCTTCTGCAAAATGGGGACAATCATACTGACTGAGACAATATATGTGTAAAGCACTAGACATCTGCTAAATATTATTTTAAGTGGTCTGACTTTTCCAAAATTCAGAGTATATTATTGTTAAAAAGGCAAGACAGTGATTTAGCCTGCTCAGCCTTAGCAGAGGAACATAACTGTGTCCTATAATACAGGAGATGGCTGAAAGAGAAGGGAATGGCTCCACCCACTGTCTGCACAGGACCTCTGAGGGAACACCTCAAGGTTATGTAGCCCTTGATAGGAAAAAAAGCCCCCCACCCCTGGAATATAAGATCAGAAGTCTGGAGCAGCCTTCCTGGCTGGCCTTTGATGCTCACATTTGACTCTTGCAACATATCACAGGCTTGGATCTTTCACCACTTTCTGCTTTGAAAAATGTAGGTAGGCAACATTTCATTGCTATCTTGCCATTTCTCCACTGCTTTCCCATGCAATTTATTTAGTTAGCAAGATTTCTATACAGCATAATCAACAAAAAGAAAACTTTGAGGTGTTTGCATAATATAAAATATCAATTTAAAAAATATCAACAAAAGCAAATGTTAAAAACAGTAGACATAATGTTATCAAAGTATAGATTTAAAACCATGCATAATCAGATTACAACCCTGTGCACACCACACATTAAAAGCACATGACACCCCCCCCAAAAAAAATTATGGGAAGTGTAGTTTACCTCTCACAGAGCTATGATTTCAAGCACCCTTAGCAAAATACTTCCCAGGGGAAGCTGTGTACTTTAAATGTATGGTGTGTGCACAGCCAAAATATATGGGTGGTCTTGACTAATCAAAAAGGGTTTTAGTTGGAGTCAAACCCAAAACAATGAATAATTTCATCACATTGTCTAACAAGTGTTATGCAATGTTAAGCTAAGCAGTGGTGGTATGGTGCAAGTCGTTAGAAGATATGCGTTCCAATAATTACCTCACATGCAAATCAATTTGAGCTGTGCACTTGGGAGAAAACTGTGCCAATGTCACAGAGCTGGAGGTGCAGCTGTCAAGTACCACCATTCAAGTGCTTAAGATTTCCCTGAAGTGAAGCAACAGCTGTATGCTAGGAGGCCTATGCAGCTGTATAGCAGGATAGAGAAAACCTATGACTTTAAAATTTTGATATTTTAATCTTTCGAAAGCTTATTTGTATAGTAACCTGGTATTCGGGTTTGTTTTTTTAATATAAAACTTGATGATATTTGCATTTTTGTAGGCTCAAAATGAGATACTTGCAAATGAAAAAACCTGTAGCTCTCCGTTCTGCTACTGCCATTCTGTTCTGAAATACAGCTGACTTTGGTTTTTAGTACATTTCATTTTAGGAAGGTAGGAAATGGCTTCGTTGAAAGCAGGTCTGAATATACATCCATCTAGCCAATTTCAGGGGTTCAGCCTGAGGGGTGGGGAGGGGGGAGCAGGACGACAGATGCAAGCCCCACCCCAAACATCCTCACACATACGAGCTCAACTTCAGACTTACCTGTGCTGGGCATGAAAGCATGAAGGGGCCTTGTAAGTAAGTTCAACTCAACCCCCTTAGAAGTATTCTCTCACAGGGTTCCTAGTTACAGAAGACTTCCAAGCATGAGCACACCTTTGGGCAATAATTGAAGATTCTGTCTTACTTGCCAATTCCTAATCTGCGCTTGTTTGTTTTTTGCTTATGGCATCCAAAGTAGCCATAAGCCACCAGTCTCCAGTCTCCAAATCTAGACAGGGCAAATAGGCAGTTATTTCTCTCTTTGCAAGAGCCGTTTTCTGTCGTGCACAGGGTCATAACATTTGAGGGAGCTGGATATGTTTAGCCTAGAGAAGAGGAGACTGCGAGGTGATGGAATAGCCACCCTCAAATATCTGAAGGGCTGTCAAATGGACGGCGGAGCAGACTTGTTTCCTGCTGCTCCTGAGAGTAGGACCTGAACCAATGGATTCAAGTTATAGGAAAGGAGATTCTGACTAAACATCAGGATGAACTTTCTGACAGTTAGAGCTGTTAGACAGTGGAACGGACTCTCTCGGAAGGTGGTAGACTCTCCTTCACCAGAAGCTTTGAAGCAGAGGCTGGATGGCCATCTGTCAAAGATCTGTAGCTGTGCTTCTTCCAATAATAATAAATAATAATAATAATAATAATAATAATAATAATAAATTTTATTTATATCCCGCCCGCCCCAGCTGAAGCTGGGCTCAGGGCGGCTAACAACAATCAAATAATCAAACAATCAAATAATCCAACATTCTAGAAACATTTCATTATAAAAATTAATTAAAATCAAATTAATGGCAACCGTTAAGCAAAATTCTGTGCAGGTTGCCAGAGGAGGGAGTCAGGCTGGGCCCTGACCAAAGGCCTGGTGGAACAACTCTGTCTTGCAGGCCTTGCAGAAAGATGTCAGATCCCGCAGGAACTTAGTCTCTTGTGACAGAGCGTTCCACCAGATTGGAGCCGCAGCCGAGAAAGCCCTGGCTCTAGTTGAGGCCAGCCTAACCTCTCTGTGGCCTGGGATCTTCAGGATGTTTTTATTTGCAGACCGTAAGTTCCTCTGTGGGGCATACCAGGAGAGGCGGTCCCGTAGGTACGAGGGTCCTAGGCCGTATAGGGCTTTAAAGGTTAAAACCAGCACCTTAAACCTGATCCTGTACTCCACCGGGAGCCAGTGCAGCTGGTATAGTACCGGATGAATGTGATCTCGCAGCAAAGACCCCATAAGGAGTCTCGCTGCGGCATTCTGCACCCGCTGGAGTTTCTGGGTCAGTCTCAAGGGCAGCCCCACGTAGAGCGAGTTACAATAATCCAGTCTGGAGGTGACCGTCGTGTGGATCACAGTGGCTAGGTCAGGGTGAGAGAGATAAGGGGCCAACTGCTTAGCTTGGCGGAGATGAAAAAATGCCGCCTTTGTTATAGCTGTAATCTGCGCCTCCATAGAGAGGGAGGTATTGAAGATTACACCCAAACTCTTAACGGACGGTGCTGACACTAATTGCACCCCCGCAAGAGATGGGAGTTGCCCCCCCCAATCCCATATCGTCCCATCCCAGCCACAGGACCTCTGTCTTCAAAGGATTTAACTTCAACCGGCTTCCACGTAACCATCCAGCCACAGCTTCCAAACATCTGGTCAGTGTGTCTGGGGCAGAGTCAGGATGGCCATCCATCAACAGATAGAGTTGGGTGTCATCGGCATACTGATGGCAACCCAGCCCAAAACTCCGGACAAGCTGGGCGAGGGGGCGCATAAAGATGTTAAAAAGCATCGGGGAGAGTATCGCACCCTGAGGCACTCCACACACCAAGGAGTGGCGCGATGACAATACCCCCCCCAAGCGCCACCCTCTGTCCCCGACCAGAGAGAAACGAGTGCAGCCATTGAAGGACTGTGCCCTGGATCCCCACGTCGGCAAGGCGGTGGTCCAGGAGTTCGTGATCAACCATGTCGAAGGCTGCTGACAGGTCTAGAAGAATCAGCAGCCCCGACCCGCCTCGATCCAGCTGCCTGCAGAGATCATCTGTTAGGGCGACCAGAGCCGTCTCGGTCCCATGACCAGCGCGGAAGCCAGACTGGAATGGATCCAGAGCCAATGTTTCATCCAGAAACCTACCAAGCTGTTCAGCAACCGCTCTCTCAATCACCTTACCCAGGAATGGAAGATTCGAAACCGGGCGGTAATTGGATAGATCTAAGGGATCTAATGATGTTTTCTTTAAGAGCAGGCGCACCACTGCCTCCTTCAATTCCCCTGGAAATATCCCGGTGCCAAGGGACAAATTGATGATATCCCCCAGGGGGGCCCGCACCTCGTCTGGACACGCTCTAATCAGCCAAGACGGGCACGGGTCAAGAGGGCAGGTGGTGGGCTTTCCAGCTCAGAGGAGTCTGTCCACATCGGCTGGGGATATCCGGTCAAAGTGGTCCAATACTGGACCCGAGGACAGTCGAGGGGCCTCCAGTTCCTTTATTGTATCCAAATTGGCAGGGAGGTCATGGCGGAGCAAAAAAGCTCGCAAATGCCTCACAGCTGTGTGTCAGATTGTTATTTAAATTTGGCTGTCCTTCAAGGGACGTTAAAGACCTAATTATACTAAATAATTGCGCCAGGCGAGAGCTAGCGGATGCAATGGAGACCGAGAAGTAGGACTTCTTAGCGGCCTTCACTGCCATCTCATAGGTTTTCATAAAAACCCTATAAGATGTTCTTGAAGCTCCGTCACGGGCACCCCGCCATACTCGCTCTAGCCGTCTGAGGTACCGCTTCATTTTCCGAAGCTCCTCGGTAAACCAGTTTCTGCGGGGTCGCAGAGGGCGCTTAGGTGCGATCTCATCGATGGCTGCAAGGAGCTGGATATTCCAGCCCTCAACAAGCTCAGTCAATGAGTTGCCAGGGGGAGCAGGGTCCCGCAAGGCTTGACAGAATCTATCAGGGTCCATCAGCCTCTGTGGGCGAGCCCAAATTGGCTCGCCACCTAAGCAGGGTGGGGGTGGAAAGTCAATCCTGGCTTTCAGAGCGCAGTGATCAGACTATGGCACCTTCATCGAAGGAGACATGATCACATCTATACCTACGCCAAAGATCAAATCCAGCGTGTGGCCTGCTTGATGTGTGGGGCCTGAAACAAACTGGGAGAGCCCTAGTGTCGCCATGGAAGACACCAGGTCCAGAGCCTGTGCAGGAGGCACAGGAGGTGGGCCCTTGCGGTTCTTTCCAACACTACAGTTCTATGATTCTATATGTGCTCAGTCTATTTAGACCCAAATAGGAGAGGCAAATGTCTCCCCTTCAGATGTTCTGTGTTACATCTGCCAAGAGAGAGATCCAAGAGTTAACACTGATTTTGTGAAGAAAAGTCAAGGCTCTCCAATCTACAGCAAAATGCTTGGCTGCTTTCAGAACCTTGAGATAATCTCCCTCTATAGCCAGTATCCACTTGCTGATAAGCTAGGTCTCAGAAGCACAGACCTTCTCATATCCAAAACAAATTATTTGAGAACAGGGCAGATAGAAATGAAATAATAATATTTCAAGAAGCCCCGTTTTCATGCTAACTCTTTCATGCCGTACCTCATGAAGCAAATAAAAAATGCTGCACCTCATTGCACCTTCTCATTTTATGAAAATCAAGTGGCAAAACAAGATGCCCAATACATGCATGCCCTATCTGGAAATGTAGTGATCGCGAAAGAAGGAAAAAGGCCTATCTAGTTCAGCCCTGCTGTCTAGAGGCCAGTCACACGTCTTGGGGAAACCACAAGTAGGAAATGCATCACAATAGGCCTTTCTTGTGTTTGCCTCCCAGCATCAGGTATCCAGGGGCATATTACCTCTGAACTTAGAGATACAATACAGAAGTAAAATAATATTATATGGTTATGGACCCAGTAAGAGCTTGGAGACAACATATACCCATCATGAGCTGACAGCCTTATTCTTGTCAGATTCCGTTTCAAAGCTATGCAGGTTGGTGTCTGTCACCTTATTCTGTGGTAGCAAATTCCAGTTTGCTTGTTTATTTAATGGAGATGTATTTCCTTTGATCTAGTCTGAAACTTCAACCACTCAGCCACACTGGGTGACCCCGAGTTCTGCTATCACAACAAATGGGAAAAAAACCTCTTTAAAGTCAGCAGGGAACATTGTACATTTTTGTGTCATCATCGACACATACAATCGGTGGAGCTGCTTGTTTGTGGCCAACGCTGTCAAGTGCTTGTCCTTGTAGCCACACTGATGGGAATATTGCATTTCTTCACAGCCAGCGCTCATAACCTTCTATAGTGCAGGTGGAGAGCTGTGTTTCTTTGGCTGAGAGCGTTGCCTCTGTGCTGTGCACAGACTCCAAGAACAGAGGTTGCCGACTGTGGGACGGTATCAAGACCAGAGAAAAGCAGGGGGAACTATGTCTATGCAAGTCGTAGGAACATAGGAAGCTGTCTTCTACCAAGTCAGTTCACCGGGGTCTATCTCCCTCGGTGTTTTCCAACCTTGGGTGCCCAGATGTACCTAAACTACAACTCACATCATCCCTGGCAATTGGGTAAGCTCACTGGGTATGATGGCAGTTGCAGTCCAACAACATCTGGGGATCCAAGACTGAAGAACACTGATTCTTGCTCAGCAAAATTTTAGTAGTAGTAATAGTAGTAGTAGTAGTAGTAACAATAATAATAATAATAATAAGTTACTACTTGTATTCCACCCATTGCCCCAATTATTCTTGGAGGCTTCCAACAACAATAATAATTAAAAACACAGCAAGACATTCATCATTAAAAGCTTCCCAATACTTGCATAGGCTGGCAGCAGCTCTCCTGGAGATGCAATTCATTGAGTCTGTGGCCTTCTGCATGCAAGGCAGATGCTCTACCACTGAGCTGCAGCCCTTCGTCAAGTCATACTTGGGCACGGTAAGCCACACAAATGCCAGTGATGTTAGATCAAAGTTACACAATAACCTAGGGCTCAAGAAATGCAATGTGCTAGATGAGAAACAGAAAGCTGTAGCCATTTGTCACCAAAAGGCTCCAGCAAGAAAAGATCCAAGTCATTTAAGGACAGATACATTCATGAAAAACAGGAGTATAAGAAACCAAAGATTCATTAATGCCCAGTTTACTCTTAGCCAGATCACATCATTAGATGTTAAGAGTCAAGCAGACCTGGAATCCTCTACCTCTGCAGCTGAATTCACATCTCCAGCATAGAATGGGGAAAAGCCCAAGTGTCATGTTTGATTATGAAAGACAACCATTATCATGTATATTTCATATTATTTATGATGTACTTCACTTTGCACTTACATTAAGGCTCAAGTGTGTGCGCACATACATTTTAATCTTCAATTTAGAACCCCAAGTGTGATTTGCGCTATATATATATTTGCCCACACAAGCTGTCCAAAATTCTACAAATGCACGCTCAGACGGACTGACATAATGGATTAACTGGGGGCCAAATGAGACACAGCAGATTTATTAGGGTTTTGTTTGTTTGTTTGTTTTACTAATTAGAATCTACAGGCTTTGAAAAACTGTGGAAGAGGCGCTCTGGGAGAAAGTGCTGAATCCTTTCCCTGGTGTAAATCTCCCACCGCCAGCTGCTACTAGCCCAACTGGGATGGATGAGAGAGACCAGAAAGAGCATATTTTTCTGTCTTCCCTTCCCTTCCCCTCCTCTCCTCTCCCCAGAGGAGCGAACATGGAAAATCTGGATCACAGATTTGGGCCGGCTGTGCGCAGTCCACTTTTATAGTATGCAGCAATTCTGGTGATTTAGTCTGCTAAAGAATCTGTGGCTGCTTTTAATGTAACTTTTTATGGACGTGTAAGCATAGCCTTGCAAAATACACAATGAATTGAACTGATCTGGTTAAGAAGGCACCTGATCATCCATGCAACACATGCTTACAGGTTTTCTGCTCAAAATTCATTTTTTCTATATAGGGTGAGATTTGGTATTCAGAATACCTAAGCAATCACTAATAATATATAAGAATAAGAAGAATCATCATCATCTAGTACTAGTGATTAAGGAGAATGGCTGGAAACAGGTGCACAGCTGGTCTTAGAGCATCCAGTGACTGCTAGGAAGTTAGTCAGTATGTCATGGGGTAGAAATCACCAGAGCCCCATCAGCAGCTACTATTTCCCCCTAAGACTTGCCATTCACCGTAATTTTCGCTCTATAGGACGCACCCAACCATAGGACGCACCTTGTTTTAGAGGGGGAGAACAAGAAAAAAAAAATCTCCCCCTCTCTGCTCAGCGCCCCTTCAGTGAAGTGGCAGGAGAAACGGAGCCCCTTCCATTTCTCCTCCCGCTTGGCTGAAGGGGTGCTGCGCAGCTCTCCCTCTCTGCTGAAGCCAGGAGAGTCTTGCTCTCCCGGCTTCAGCAAAAGGAATCCGAAGCCTTTGGAGCACAGCGGGAACTCGCGCTGCGCTCCAGAGGCTTCAGGCGGCTATCCCTCAG